CATAACATGATATAATATAACATGATATAATATAACATGATATAATGATATAATATATTAATAAAAAATACATACATTGATATGCATGTTGATATTGCTGTTTATTATGATGCTGTTTGTATGTATGTTTCTCTTTATGCTTGCATTTCTCTTTAATCGTTTAAGCAGCCCCCTGGTGATAAACACACTTCCTCTTCCAAACAAAGCAAGGGCAGGATCCCCAAAAACTGACCATGGAGATGATCCTCATGGTAAACAGAAGACATTTCGGCTTGCAGACTAGGGGAAACGATTGTGTACCTATTGCAGCAACCGCCAGAAAAGTTGGAGCACCAGCATCCAGCACATTCTGGGCTGTCTAACCTTCGAAACCATACTGCGCACCTGGTCTCTTCAAAATGACACGGATGTTGCACGCGTGCAAGCGAAGACGAAATGGGCGTACAAGACAGGCAATATGGATGACGTATGTATGTATATGTATATGTATATGTATATGCATATGCATGTATACGTATGTGTCTGTATATGTATATATACAAATTAAGTATGTAAGTATGCCTGTGTGTATGCACGGATGTATGGGTGTATTTATACATGTATGTGTGCATTGTACATATATGTATACGTACAGAAACCTACATATACACACAACTATATATGTATAGACGTATTCATGTAAACTGTGACAATGTGTACGCAAATAACTTTGTAACATACTGCATTGGTTGATTGATCTCAACATTGCTCAACATGGTTCGAGCTCACATCCTCCAAGCGATCAGCCCCTCCTGACCCCTCAATATCACCAAACTCTGAACTCGTACTTCCAGCAAGGGCCCTTCCCGAGGCGACTTTGGCACTGCTGCCGGCGGGAGGCTGCTCGTTCTTGCGCTTCAGCTCGTTGAGCTCTCGTATATTGTCCCGCTGCCTGAAGTGGAATTTCGGAAGCATGGTGAGTCTGGAGCCTAAGGTTTAGAGTTTAGCTGTCGGTCGGGGCTCGGAATTCAACGAATCCCTGGCCGATTGGAAGGTTGTCGAAATCTGCTTTCGAGGTACAGTCTCGCGATTAAGCGAGAACGTATCACAAATATCATACATGCACATCGGAAATTCGAAACACATCATAGAATATCCATGCTGTAAGGGGCTGACTTCAGCGTCATTTGACGCTGCAAAGCCGCAAGGCGCTCCTGCAACCATGGCAGATGATGGGGCTCTGATTGAACAACTTGCCGTGGTGGAAAGCCTGTGCTGGACCTTTAGCAGCAGCCGATCTCATCATGCGGAACTGACTGAAGCAATTCCAGAGCCCCTGGAGCTACGAGGCTACAAAACGGCGGTGGTTCTCAGGATTAAGGTGAGGCTGGTCCTCCATCGCCTTCTGCAAGGGTTCAAGCTGCGGCTGAAGTCCTTGGAATCAAGGCATTATTCGGTTTCGTGGTTATAAGGTTTGGCATTGGGATTTGGGATCCTTATACTGAGCCGCGGAAGCTGGAACATGGGTTAATTTCGGATGAGGTGGGCCAGTACTTAGCCTCGGGGGCATGCAATGATGCTCCAACTTTCTGGCTTCTCTGGCGTCTTGAAACTCGGACGGATGTCTTTGTGCGATCAACCTGAGATTACGTCAATAGTGTAATTGCACAAAGGTATCCTCCCATTTGTGCACACGACACATCTCTTCCTGCATTATTGCATAGTCTTGTCCTTACAAGGCTGACATATGGTCCGTAGCAGCATCGTTTTCCACGATGCTTCTGACGAAAGGCGAAGCGCCAGTTTCTAAGCCTCCAAAGTCCTATAGCGCTCGACCCTCTGCCCTGTCTCGCCAAGAGTCGAAGCGTCGGATATGCTACTGCGGCCTTCTCGTCAAGCTGCCTGCTTCGGGCGCTGAGGCTCATCCACAAGGGTCTCGAGGCTTCGCGGCTTCATGGTTTTGGAATCTCAGCGCCAGGGGTACGACAGGATGTTTAACGCAATAGAATTTGGACAAAGACCAATCTCGCCATACCGCCGAGCAGTACATCCAAACGAAACGTTGATCATGCCGCACCGTTGCCAGCAAGCATCTTATGTTTTACTTGTACATCCATGTCAGCGGTTCTGAAATACGATCACCCTAGCTGTCGAAACTCAGAAGCTGGTGTTGGGAGAGCGCACATACACTTGTGGAGAGCCCGTGCATGTATATGCTGAAAGCTAGGCATATATCCTGGAGACGGACTAAACCAAGAGAAACAGGTAAGGGAATGAAGACTCACACACGTTCAGGGCGAGACAGTGCATGCCCACGAGTGCGTTGTGGAAGTTGATGCAGTTTCCCTCTGGTCCGCGCTGTGTCGCTCCCGGATTGTGTGGCCTTCGTGGGTCATCTGGCGGTGCCAGCATTCCTAGAGCCCCACCGCCGGAGGCGCAAAAGGGCCGAGCTTACTGAGATCCCGCCGAGAAAACATAGGCCTATACTCACACCATCAGGTTCGGTGTTCAATGTGCAAGGTTGTTCCCTGTGCCGTTCAAAGACATGAACCTTTCACCCTGGCTAGCAGTGCTTGGGCTGTCTGTAATGCTAGGAAAATCTCGGGGTGAGGTAGTTGCTCTTCATGATTGGTCACCTGGCCACTCGATGTTCACAACAGTCCCATACATGCCGAGACTGAGTAGCCAAACCCCAAGCTACAATAAGTCGCAGTGCTTTCGGTGCCTTTCAGCATGTATGGAGCCACATCTAACAGCGGTCGGGATATATGCCGAATGCAGTGTGCAGCCACGTCTGATACTTTGGCCAATCTCTCTACAGAGACCGACGAGACCGTGGCTGTACAACCGAGGGCAAACTGCCAACTGGTAGCAGCATACAGCAGCACCGTCCTTTCGATCCCGGCTACAGTCAAGATGCAGAAACCATAACGGTGGCTCGCAACAACTTCGGCTCCTTTGTTCTTCCGTGGGCCGACCTTTCTTCGCCTCCGAGTCAGAGACGTACGTGCAAAGATTCGGAAGTATTTGCTCCCGTCACCGCTATCTTCATTGCTTGGACCAGATGTAGACATGTTGATTCGACATAACAGGACCCAGCTGCTGCAAAGCTGAACTCGCACAAAGGGTTCAGGCTTTGGGAGTTTATTATATGGACTAGGACACGTTTAGGGTGCGGGATGCAATCGAGCATAACCGAAGCGAAATCTCGCACCACTCTAGCGGTCGGGGACGTTCGCATTAAGCCTGGCGGATGCACCCGCGGCAGACGGAGGTTGAATTACGTGCATGCAAAAATCATGCTCCCAGCTCCGGCTTGCGGAAGACACCTAACAGACCTAACGCCTAATGCCGGGTGCAAAAAATCTGGGCACTAGTGGACATCGGGCTTGGCTTTCCGATGTTTGGCTATCCAGCTCTGGAGCTCTGGCATTGGCCAGGTATGGAATGTGGGCCCCGTCAGGGTTTCTAGTTCTGGGTTTGCGCGCTTGCAGTTGACAGGGCGGGGTTTCAAAGGTCAGCACACCCCATGAGGCTTCATAATGAGGCTGCATATTTCGGGGCTTCAGGAGTTGGAGCTGCGCTGCAGGAGTTGCTTTCGGCTGAGGCCGGAGCAGGGAGAGCACAATCTCACGGACAAAGTTTACATCTGGGGTCTGGTGCCCATGGACGAATCCGGAAAGCTTCTGCTTACTTGCAGAGCGCTGTTACAAACAATCCTCCAGGAAGATCCGTGAGACGTGTCTACGTGGGGGGCATTACCACTGGCCAGGCATTGGTCAAAGACTTGCTCCTTCATGCCCTGAGGTTTTTTGCAGCCACCTGCCCCTCACCACAATTGCAAAGATTATCGACTATAAGAAATCCACATCATAGCAATGGCTGACATGATCTACTACCACAGCCACTGTTGCCACTGCTTCTAAAGTGCTGCAACCCGCTGCCACTACCTGCAGGTGCCATGTGACAGCCCGACAACTTCCACTCAAGGTCAGGAGCGGGAAGAGCTAGCCACACGTACCGGCATAGGGTTTAGGGGTAGGCGGTTCGTATTGGCACAGCCAAGGATAGCTGTCTTCAGAAACGACGTAGGACAGAATCCACACAGAATACACTTGTAACTGACATGCTCACTGAATGATCTTAACTGCTCGTACCCACACCTGAAAGCAAAGCCTGCGTGCTGTAGTGCCCACAGCTCAGCAAACCCACAACAGTCCCATTTTTTCTTACGGTGTATATGTGTAGAGACACACGTATGCATACTTGCATAAACAATCGTAAGGACCACAAGAACGGCAAAGTGCAACAATATTGAAAATTAGAACAATGATAAGACGAACAAAGTACCAAGAGCAATATATACTGATGGCAATAGTGATGTCGGCAGTAACAAAACCATGCAAAGGTGATACCAGTGCGAATGATGAAAATAACTGTGCTACTTACCAGCATGAGCACCGCCATCATCGTAAGAAGCAGTGTAAGTGCGATAAGTTGCAAAACAACATTTTTCCCCGACATCACCATCACAACCATACTGGTCATAGTACCATGATGATGCACATAAGAAGAGTATGGACTAAATACATGTAGACCGAGTAAGAGATCATGGGAACAATTGTCAGAACTTGCCTGAGAAGAGGAAGGAGAAGAAGAAGCAGTCATGTCAATGACCTCTAAGAAAAATCGTCTGCTCGTTTCATTTAGGCGTTCTCCAGAGCTGTGACCAATGCGCTGTGGCTCTCCGGGCCAACGGTTCGGCGACTCCGCGATCGGAGGCCAAGGCTGAGAGGGTTCGAGGCTTAGGGCTTAGGGCTTAAGGTTTAGGTGTCTCAGGGTTTGGGGCCTTTGGGCGGTTTTGGGCTTGGGGGTTGAGTGATGCCTATAGCGCCCGGAAGACGAGAACTCGGCTCTGATTGACCTCAAGGACCTTATACTCACGACCATAACATGATTACCACAATGTGCCGTGGGGTTAGTCTGCCTTTGAAGCTAGAAAGGTCGAGGTTCGGCGGCGCTCAGAGACCCAAGCCATCGAGTGCCCGCTTCATGAAGCCGCCGCCGGACTCGGCCTGACAGGAGGGAACCCTCCCTGGCCCTGGCCGAAGGCACACGCGAAGACCAAGCCTGTGTCTTCCTGCGAACACGCTCTCCCTGGATGGCTTCTTCGGCAGATCCACCGACGCTTTGCCGCCTGGTGTAGGTAATCTGGGGGCTCAGCAGCTTGGGAGTCAAGTGTTAAGGGTTATGCGGTTTGAAACGAGTTGCGTCGTCGAGGGGTCTCGAATTCAGATTTCAAAGCTCCATGGCCTGAAAAAAGGGGTGGTCAAGCTGTCTAGCTCAAGGCTATGGACGCACCACCTTTCACAAGACTGTGCATGGACGGCTTTAAGTTTTACCCGTGATACCCGAGGAGCACAACGTCCCATAGGCAGATCGGAAGCCGATGCTGTGGACGATGTGCGCCCAGTGCACATTCGTCTCCGTCACTCCCCTGCCACTTCTCCACGAGGTCTCGACCAGGACATCGATCTGAGACTATGACTGTTGGGCTGACCGGCATGTGAATCCCGACATTCGCCCGCCTTTCGCGCGGCTCGCCGGGCGTGCTCATCCCGTGATAGATGTCTTCCAGCAGGCACTCACCTCCGTGCAGCGATGCAGATGCAGAACGAAGCTCATGTGATCACCTATAACGAAATCCTCACCTCACAACAGATGCAGTGCCAGTTGGAATCTCTAAGCTTCCGACGCCGTTCCCTCCAGCTTCTCATGTCGTTCTGCCTTGTCGAAACCGGGTTGAAAGCATGTCTGGTATTTCAGCCCACAGTCTGGGCTGCTGGGAGCCCGGGGTTGTTCCTGACCAGAACATCCAGGCAAGGAAGTCTACAAAACTCGTGTAAAGATCCTTCCAACTGCTGCTGCTGTTCTCGCAAAAAGCCAACCATCGCTGATCAATTCAGAACAACGGTCCAACCGTCTTTTGTCGATTTACAACCCGGCATGGAACCCGAACCAATCCCGAACCTGCTCGTGTCAACTCTTCGGTCAGATGGTATACCTATTCGGGCTTCGAATCCCGAATCATTAGGTCTTTTGGGCCAATTCGTTTGTCATAATACCGTGCTCGCTGACGGCCATATCTCACCGACTGCACCGGATCTCTTTTGACCTCCGAAATTGAGTGGTGGAGAGCTCGCCTAGTACTGGCATGGGGGACCGGCTGGGAAGCGCTTCGGGTGCTGTCAGCTTTTTGTGAAGGAATCCTGAGGTTAGCAGTTGCGACAGGTTTATCTGCCACTGCTGGGCAGTAGGATATCCTTGCTTGTTGGAGTCGTGCCTCTGAGTTTCGGTGGTCGGGGCCAAGCCGATGAGAGGATACTCGCTGTCGGGAGGCATGCTGCTGTCCCACTTGGCGTGGGAATTGAAGGGTTTACACCTGGAGTTAAGCGCTCAGTCGGGCTCGGCGAGATTTGTCAGCCAAGAGTTGCTGCAGAAATTTGTTGCAAGCACCCTTGGACAGGTCACATCGCATCGAGATTGCAGCACAAGGCACCCCAAGTCCAGCCTGAGATGCAAGCTCACAGCGCGCCACAGACTTAAAGTGCGCACATGACTTGAGGAGTCGTGTTTGCTCGCCTTCGGCTGGCGGCTAGCCAGTCTAGTCCAAGGCGCGCTCTGTTCTTGCACATGAGCATGTGCACCAGGGTGGAGACTTCTTTCTGCCTTCCGAGGCACAGGAGGGTAACAGAACAGTGGGGACTTGTGGCATGAAGCGCCACTCACGCCGCATCCCTGGCCCCGCCTCTTGGTAGCATCCTCTTCCAGCGCCTTGATTCTTTTCTCCATCTGCATGCGTTCTCCGTCTCCGTCCGACAGGCTGCTTCCTCAGTGCACCAGCGGCCCACACCCCAGAGCCGGCACAGAAGTGGGTTATCGAAAGCCGGTCAACGTCACCAAAACATGTGATCTCCCCCGAAGGAACATCGCAGGTACTCAGTCCACAATGTCGCTTGATATCTACATTCACTTCCTGATTGTCGGCATGGTCTGTACTCGCATGCGAGTTCGCAGGCGAGATACGTACGTCATAGAAACAGTCGTCAGACGAGTCGTCCTCCCAAGGAAGATTTCAGAAAACAGCACTGCCAGAGGCTCAGGCTGCATCCTGCTGGGGCGGCAAGAAAATTGTTTCAAATCCTACAACATCGAGGACGAGGCAACGCCAGACTCTAACGAAGCTTCGTTTCTTCTCTGTGAGTGATGCTTGTCTAGTGCTGCACACGCCCTCTGTAGGATCTTCCCAGTGTGAAGTCCTCAAACTCAAACTATCCCAAAATAGTATCAAGCAGGACGACAGGAATCACCCAAACCCTGCCTGGAGCTGTCTCTCAACTTCTAGGCGCTGCTCCTCCTCTGGGCCCCGTGCCGAGATAAAATGAATAGGTTACTAGCTGTTACTAGCTAGCTATCCATGCTTCTCTCTCTCGCTCTCTCTCGCTCTCTGTCTCTCTGCCTCTCTGCCTCTCTCTCTCTCTCTCTCCCTCTCTCTCCCGGCATAACCGTCTATCTTTCTCTGTGTTGTATATATATATATATATATATATATATGTATACATGTGCGAAAACGTTCATACATGTAGATGTAGATGTATACGTACCCGTCTACATATTGCATGGCAAACCGTCCAGATTCATGAACATGCGGCCTGATGCAGTACGGCGGTCTCGAAGTCATGGGGACCGCAAGGACCCCCGACCTCCATCACCTGTGCAGCTCTTCAAGTAAAGTCTAATGAGTTGGACAGCCCAAACAAGCTACACGGAACAAATGACCCCACTCCGAAACGAATCTTGAGAAGTTGGGCGTGAGTCACCCGCGGATCTTCAGCAGGTAGGTCGATGTTCCAAAAGAAGTCGATGTTCGGACAGCCGTTGATGATGGCCTGCTTCTCTAAGGACTCCACTCTTTGGAGCTGGTTCTCCTCTCCGGCGGGCCCTTGCACAACTGCAAAAGCGTCCGTGCAGTCCATGTAAAGATGCACCGACATTGCGAACGTGCATTCCTCGTGGCACTCAAACTGATGAACAAACCAATTCTGTCGATTCAGCCAGGTTGTGTCTCCTGCTTTCAGCTGAAGCACAGTCTTCTTCTCGACTCCTAATTCAAGCCGCCCATCATTTCCTGTGAACTCTATGGGGTCTGTGTCCAGCACGGTTTCGAAGAACTTGCAGTTTAGGACACCGTGGAGAATCCGCACACTGCCCGCAGAGCCTCCGTGATGGTGGATTGGAGATCTGTAATTTCTGGGCCAAATGTCCAGAACGGCATTGTATAGACCCAGATCGTGCAAGCCCAGGCCGATTCTGATGTAGGTCATGTTCGAGTCACCAAACTTTCGAAGGGCCAACGTCCCCTTCTCTTTCAGTTTCTTGTGCAGGGCATGCCCCGGCTGGAGCGACATGGCAATCGCCGCGACATTTGGCGTCAAACGATTCGCAACGAAACCGTCCACAGCCGGGCGGTGTGTGAGCTCACAGACTCCTCTTGCATCATGGGGAACATCCTCGTTCGTCCTTCCGGGAACAAACAGTAGCGGCTGCGACTTGTCGTTCACGATGTAATTGCGCAAGTCGTGGTAGAGCTTGTGAACTGTGCACTGTGCTGATATTTCAGACAGCTTCTTCCTGCAAGTGGCACAATGCACTGCGATGCGGATATCGTCCTCATCTTCGGCAATGCTGCTAACGTTGGAATCAAAAATCTGTCGTGGAGTTGAATCCTTCCATCCATCTCGGGTGACGTCGAGTTCGCCTCTGTAGCATCGCCAAACACACGGCAAACTCGCGTTGTCCGTCACGCCGTTGTACTTACGTCGTTCTGGGCAGCGCCGATTGCTGCAATGGTACCTTCGACACTGTTGCGGGCAGCTTGCTGAGAGCAACAGGCCAAGAAGCTCTACTACCAGGCTGCATTCCTCTTCTTATGCACAACTCACAACCGAGAGAAAGCCAACTTTCTGAATATTCTTGCAGCTGCCTGCAGAGCTTCTCCAGCTCGGAAAGCTTTCGGTCGAGGAGTTCCGCACCCTGCTGGACTTGCGCCATGCTACCAGCCGCGGTCTCCGTACTGTATATGGGTTAGCTGCGGTTAGTGCATGCAGCATGGAACAGTTCTGAAAACTAACCTACCAAAATCCACCGTTTCAGCACGTTGAAGATGCTCAAGTCCTAGACCGGACTTCGCATCTGGAGCCGCAGGCCATGCCACAATCCGAGATTACCGCAATGGCCTCCTTGACACAGGTGGGAGGTCTAGCAGTCTAGTAGGGATTTAGTCTCAAGAGGTGCCACCCAAGTGTCTTTGCCTGATAACGAGTCTCTTGGAAGGTCCGGCTTGTTAATTTTGCGCTGCGGCCATGCGCAGCCCGGTTTCGCATTCCCTCGCCCAAAACAAGGATGCCAAGGCCAAGCGCCTGCCACAACCAATACCAGGTGGAAAAGAGGGAGCTCCTTGCTACTCAGGATATAACAAGGAATCCAAGGCCAAACGCCATGCGCAACCAAAATGAGGGGAACAGGATGAGCTCTACGCGACTCAGGATAGTATATGTTTCGGCTCTGCAATCGGAGACCCTATGAGCCCCAAACGGTAAAGCCGGAAAGACCCTGAACCCCTCAGGCGCAGAAAACGACTGGGTCAATGGCTCCGTACACGAACACCAGTCCGACAAGACCCTGAACCTCTCGGAACGGCAGACGTTGAGTAGCCTGCTCGAGCTCGTAGAATCGATTATACCACCCCAACAACGCGAGAGAACTGAAGGTAACCTGACTGCCAACAGATGACAATAGCGACTCTGCAGGCAACAGCATGCAGAATCCATAACGGTTGCTCGCAACAACTTCGGCTCCTTTCTTCCGTGGGCCGACCTTTCTTCGCCTCCGAGTCAGAGACGTACGTGCAAAGATTCGGAAGTATTTGCTCCCGTCACCGCTAGCTTCATTGCTTGGACCAGCTGTAGCAAGTGTTGACTCGACATAACAGGACCCAGCTGCTGCAAAGCTGAACTCGCACAAAGGGTTCAGGCTTTGGGAGTTTATTATATGGACTAGGACACGTTTAGGGTGCGGGATGCAATCGAGCATAACCGAAGCGAAATCTCGCACCACTCTAGCGGTCGGGGACGTTCGCATTAAGCCTGGCGGATGCACCCGCGGCAGACGGAGGTTGAATTACGTGCATGCAAAAATCATGCTCCCAGCTCCGGCTTGCGGAAGACACCTAACAGACCTAACGCCTAATGCCGGGTGCAAAAAATCTGGGCATTAGTGGACATCGGGCTTGGCTTTCCGATGTTTGGCTATCCAGCTCTGGAGCTCTGGCATTGGCCAGGTATGGAATGTGGGCCCCGTCAGGGTTTCTAGTTCTGGGTTTGCGCGCTTGCAGTTGACAGGGCGGGGTTTCAAAGGTCAGCACACCCCATGAGGCTTCATAATGAGGCTGCATATTTCGGGGCTTCAGGAGTTGGAGCTGCGCTGCAGGAGTTGCTTTCGGCTGAGGCCGGAGCAGGGAGAGCACAATCTCACGGACAAAGTTTACATCTGGGGTCTGGTGCCCATGGACGAATCCGGAAAGCTTCTGCTTACTTGCAGAGCGCTGTTACAAACAATCCTCCAGGAAGATCCGTGAGACGTGTCTACGTAGGGGGCATTACCACTGGCCAGGCATTGGTCAAAGACTTGCTCCTTCATGCCCTGAGGATTTTTGCAGCCACCTGCCCCTCACCACAATTGCAAAGATTATCGACTATAAGAAATCCACATCATAGCAATGGCTGACATGATCTACTACCACAGCCACTGTTGCCACTGCTTCTAAAGTGCTGCAACCCGCTGCCACTACCTGCAGGTGCCATGTGACAGCCCGACAACTTCCACTCAAGGTCAGGAGCGGGAAGAGCTAGCCACACGTACCGGCATAGGGTTTAGGGGTAGGCGGTTCGTATTGACACAGCCAAGGATAGCTGTCTTCAGAAACGACGTAGGACAGAATCCACACAGAATACACTTGTAACTGACATGCTCACTGAATGATCTTAACTGCTCGTACCCACACCTGAAAGCAAAGCCTGCGTGCTGTAGTGCCCACAGCTCAGCAAACCCACAACAGTCCCATTTTTCTTACGGTGTATATGTGTAGAGACACACGTATGCATACTTGCATAAACAATCAAAAAGGACCACAAGAACGGCAAAGTGCAACAATATTGAAAATTAGAACAATAATAAGACGAACAAAGTACCAAGAGCAATATATACTGATGGCAATAGTGATGTCGGCAGTAACAAAACCATGCAAAGGTGGTACCAGTGCGAATGATGAAAATAACTGTGCTACTTACCAGCATGATCACCGCCATCATCGTAAGAAGCAGTGTAAGTGCGATAAGTTGCAAAACAACATTTTTCCCCGACATCACCATCACAACCATACTGGTCATAGTACCATGATGATGCACATAAGAAGAGTATGGACTAAATACATGTAGACCGAGTAAGAGATCATGGGAACAATTGTCAGAACTTGCCTGAGAAGAGGAAGGAGAAGAAGAAGCAGTCATGTCAATGACCTCTAAGAAAAATCGTCTGCTCGTTTCATTTAGGCGTTCTCCAGAGCTGTGACCAATGCGCTGTGGCTCTCCGGGCCAACGGTTCGGCGACTCCGCGATCGGAGGCCAAGGCTGAGAGGGTTCGAGGCTTAGGGCTTAGGGCTTAAGGTTTAGGTGTCTCAGGGTTTGGGGCCTTTGGGCGGTTTTGGGCTTGGGGGTTGAGTGATGCCTATAGCGCCCGGAAGACGAGAACTCGGCTCTGATTGACCTCAAGGACCTTATACTCACGACCATAACATGATTACCACAATGTGCCGTGGGGTTAGTCTGCCTTTGAAGCTAGAAAGGTCGAGGTTCGGCGGCGCTCAGAGACCCAAGCCATCGAGTGCCCGCTTCATGAAGCCGCCGCCGGACTCGGCCTGACAGGAGGGAACCCTCCCTGGCCCTGGCCGAAGGCACACGCGAAGACCAAGCCTGTGTCTTCCTGCGAACACGCTCTCCCTGGATGGCTTCTTCGGCAGATCCACCGACGCTTTGCCGCCTGGTGTAGGTAATCTGGGGGCTCAGCAGCTTGGGAGTCAAGTGTTAAGGGTCATGCGGTTTCAATCGAGTTGCGTCGTCGAGTTCTGCGGTTTCAAACGAGTTGCGTCGTCGAGGGGTCTCGAATTCAGGTTTCAAAGTTCCATGGCCTGAAAAAAGGGGTGGTCAAGCTATCTAGCTCAAGGCTGTGGACGCACCACCTTTCACAAGACTGTGCATGGACGGCTTTAAGTTTTACCCGTGATACCCGAGGAGCACAACGTCCCATAGGCAGATCGGAAGCCGATGCTGTGGACGATGTGCGCCCAGTGCACATTCGACGTCTCCGTCACTCCCCTGCCACTTCTCCACGAGGTCTCGACGACGACATCGATGTGAGACTATGACTGTTGTGAATGCCGACATTTGCCCGCCTTTCGCGCGGCTTGCTGGGCGTGCTCTTCGTGTTCGGCTGGCCGAGAGGATAGATGTCTTCCAGCAGGAACTCACCTGGGTGCCGCGATGCAGATGTAGCACGAAGCTCGTGTGATCACCCATAACGAAATCCTCACCTCACAACAGATGCGGTGCCAATGGGAATCTGTAAGCTTCCGACGCTGTTCCTTCCAGCATCTCTTGTCGTTATTAGCGAAACTCTGCCGCCGCTGCTGCCTGGGGTCCGCCTGGCATCAGCTGTAGCCCTGGTCTGAAAATCTCTCCCGCACAACACTCAGGCAACTAGCCGATTCCGCCCCGCCCCCAGATCCACAAGCTGCCCGGAACTCCAGCAGCATCCCTGACAGGCCTGATAGATGGATGAGCCACGGGAAAGCCTTCAAATCACAAGGCTGACAACTTAGCTCCTCTCCCTTACATAGCAGCCGGTGAAAGGGGACCCATACATCGGTATACATCCGTGTCTTATTGCCACTTTGGCATGGCTGGGCTCAGGTCTGCCCTGGCTTGCGATTCAGAAGGCATCCGACGTTTGAAACAAGGCTGAAGATTTGGAGGAGTGGCCTTGTCCAAACCGGGTCGAAAGCATGTCTGGTATTTCAACACACACTCTGGGCTGCTGGTAGCCCGGGGCTGTTCCTGACCAGAACATCCAGGCAAGGGATTCTACAAAACTCGCGTAAAGATCCTTAATGATGATGATGATGCTGCTGCGGCTGCTGCTCTCGCAAAAATTCAAACATCCCTGGGCCCCAAAGCACCTCCTCGCGTCGCTCGCCCGAGGGGTGGTCGGGGCCAAGCCGATGAGAGGATACTCGCTGTCGGGAGGCATGCCGCTGTCCCACTCGGCCTGGGAACTACGAGCTTGTCAGAGGTGATCGGGTTTGCACCTGGAGTTAAACGCTCAGTCGGGCTCGGCGAGATTTGTCAGCCACGATTTGCTGCAGAATTTTGTTGCAAGCACCCTTGGACGGACCACATCGCATCGAGATTGCAGCTCAAGGCACCTCGATCCTTAAGTCCAGCCTGAGATGCAAGCTCACAGCCACAGACTTAAAGTGCGCACATGAATTGAGGATTCGTGTTTGCTCGCCTTCGGCTAGTAGCCAGTCTAGTCCAAGGCGCGCTCTGTTCTTGCACATGAGCATGTGCACCAGGGTGGAGACTTCTTTCTGCCTTCCGAGGCGAGGGGTCAGGGTAACAGAACAGTGGGGACGCCTCAAACATGCCCCCTTCAAAGGGCGATGCGGAGGGATCAGACGGCGCCCACTAACAGACGCACCCACACGTGTTCAACCCTGGATCAACCTACCGTCTAGGTCGGGGAAGAAGAGTCTCGTGGCGTGGCGGCGAGTCAGCATGAGGATGAATTGCGGGCACTCGCCGGCAACCCGACTATTCACATGCTTGGGAAGCCGACGTGCTGCCCCTTCCACCAAGACTCTTGGAGACGATTTAGAGTGCATGTGCAGGCACGGCGCCTCTTGGCGGCATCCTCTTCCAGCGCCTTGATTCTTGTCTCCATCTGCGCGCGTTCTCTGTCTTGAAGCACCACCGACATGCTGCTTCCTCAGCACAGCAGCTGCCCACAAGTCTGCGCATCGCACGCACCCAGTCAATATGTCGTTTGTTATCTATATATGAACTTCCTGAAAGTCGGCATGGTCTGCATTCTCAAAGGCAAGACGCCAACATCATAGTCATCTGTCACGAGGGCCGTAGAGCACGAGTCATCCTCCCAGGAGAGATGTCACAAAGACACTGCTGAGGCTAGCGCTGCATCATGCATCGTCAAACCTTTTTGAATGTCCACAAAGCTCTTCCATCTTGAAAGGATGTCCTCCGGCAGCGTCTTCGAGTTCCGCCTGCGCAGAGGGCTCATCAAACTCTGCATCCCCACTGAACGGCACAAGCTATGTCACTCAAGGCCTCCGGCTTAGCTTCACGGTTTCCGGGCGGTTGGTGGTTTCGATTATTGCGACGATCTCTGGTTGGCCTAAGTTTCCGTTTCGTTTGGGACAAAGGTCGACACGAAGACAACGGTACACATGCAGCGATGGGCCCGAAGCTAGCAGTTGAAAGCTAGCCGTCCTGTTGCGTGGCGCTTGCGAGAATCGGATGAAAATACTGAGAACTCATTTTCTGAAGCTCTAAACCTCTTTCTGTATCGAGGCCTGTTCGGAGAACTTCGGCAGGGTGACGCCACTTCCATGATGGGCGGGGGCGCCTGCAGCACAGTCACACAGGTACCGAGCTGCGGTTCGGGGCCTGCTGCTAAAGAGCTCTAGGCAGCATCAGCAGAATGCATACAGATGCGACTCGCCGCTTGGAGAATATGTTACGTGATGCGGCCACACGGGGGTCGTGTGGCTAGCACTCGAATCTCGACCAACATCTAGCTGGGAAATCCCGAGTGGGCAGCAACTCACAAAGGTGAAGCTTCCGTATTTCCTTGCTTACAGTTCTACTTCAATGTGTCTGCATTGTCTCTGTTGATGCGCACAGCCAAGCTAGACGGCAAGATTCTGGTTCGTGCTTCCTGATCTATGCAGAACAGGCTTCAAGATGCGGTGCACATCAGCCCGGACCTCTGCTCTCAGCTGCTTTTCTTTCTCCATCTGACGGCAAGATATTCGGAGTGAAGCCGCTTCGGTTACATGTTTCTACAACACACTACCTGAAAGTCTCACACGTGTACAGAGGAAAAGGTAATGGTCACGGGGATGATGCAAGAGATTCTTATCAACCACGGTGGAAGCTCATGAATGGGCTCAGACTTGGGAATACTATACGTACATTCCACCAGGTCCTGACCCCCAACTCTTCGACGGCTCAAGGTGAATCTCCAAAACAAAGCCGAAGCGTCAGATTGGATCGCGCCCGAGCAGGAGATTCCCCCGATCTGTCCTTGAAGAATTCCTGATCTGCTTTCAGCCTTTCCAGCTCCTGGATGATGTTGGTTTCACCACAATTTGCGGGAACTCCCAGGGGAGTATATACGCGGGCAACTTCACCAACACAGTTACTGCGAAGTCTGCGACAGTCAAGCGTAACGGTCTCTCTCAAATCAAAACTTACTTGTCTCCTACAAACCAAGCTCGGGCCCACCGACCACTCAAAGCAACCAAGCCGTGGGTCTCGAAGCCCAGACCCATGCACTCACAAATGCCCATGCACCTGAAAAAGAAAGCTACATTAGATATCACACCATGTTACATGATGCTTCTTGTGTTGTACCAGCACTGTGTAAAGCAATGTTGCAAACCCCTGCGGCCTCGCGCATTCTCTCCATTTCCTTGCGCTGCTCCTCCTCCGGGCTTCGCACAGAGGTGCATTGGTCAATGTACTCAATATAACCTATCCCATACACACATACATACATACATACATACATACATATATATATATATATATGCATGTATATGCATATACACATATACACATAACACAGAGAGATTGATGGGTCATCGTTGTCACACTTCTATGTTGTTACATTCAAGATTCTGTTGCAGCATATGCAATGCTCTGCTCTGCTTGGTATGCTATACCATGCTTTCTTGTGGTGCCATACTGTGTTATACTATGCTATACCACAACTATGAGTGCGAATGGATCCCGGCACCTGAGCTTGAAGCCTCATGTTCTCGATCTCGGCCAGCGCAGCTGCCTTTCGGTGCCAAGGTTTGGGGTGTATGTCTGGGCTTGTATATGAAATAAATGTGTTTGGTGATCAATTCAGGATATCAAGGTACGGACAGAGGCTTCACAAGCAGAGTGTGGCCTCCACGTCCACGTTAGGGATGCAAAGCTGATTGAACGGCTAGCTGATTGAATGGTCAATCTGGAATGCAGATAGCATGGTACTCACACCTTGGCGGCTTGTCTGCTGGCGTTCCCTGGTTCATCCTTATCTCAAATTTACTCCCTAGAATGCTCTCTACGCAAGGTGGTGGATCTGCAGAGCTCACGCGCGTGTGCTTGGATCTCTGTATCTCTGGTGTATATGTCGAGGGCCTTCTCAGCAGCCAGGCGCTCTTCTGCCTCTCGCTTCTCCTCTTCCAGCTTCCGACGATCCTCTTCCACCTTCCGCTGGAACCTCGGCAGGCTTTTCACGGCATCCTGCTCACTGATGCAACTCAAACCTAAGAGCGGAACATGCTTAGGCCGAAACACATCCCGTCACCACCAGGGTAAGGCATGTTGCGGTTCATCAATGAGGATGCTCAGCAGGAAGCTTGCTGCAGTGACCCATCGGCATGTAACTCATTCAATTCCCAAAACTGCCAAAGAAGAATGTACGGATTGTTGACTGCCAGCTGTCGGGAGTTTGGTGATCCGTCGGCTTGGTGTAGCACCAGTAAAGGGCCAAGCTGCTCCTCTTCTTCTTTCCGCCGCTCTTCTTCCGCTCTGCGCTTCTCTTCTGCGATTCTCTGCATCTCCTGAACCATGTGCAATAAACGCACAGCAGTTGTCCGGTCTATGCAAACCAGCACGATCGTTACCTGCGGCTGCAGTGCTGGAGCTGGAGACAGTAAGACTATCAGCCCTGATAATTTCCGCGAGATTACACCAGATTGTGCGTTAACATGCCACATCTCGCATGCAAGATACTGGTACAATATGGAGCAATAAGTATCGGGTTACAGTGTAACCGAGTAATCTTGTAACAATTTCATTTCACGGGCAAAAAAAACAAACGACAACGACACCAAAAGCGCAAATGCTAAACACGCAGAATAAAAACGCATATTCCAACCACAATTTTGAACACCTGCCCTGTGGCCCAGATGTGTCTGCTGGCTGTCCATAGATTTCATGATCACGACGACCACACGAAAAAAGAATCCCTCAATCTCATCTGCCAGATCCGAACAGAGAAGAACAGAAAAAAAAAAAGAAAAACATCTGGTGTAATATGTACAGACAGGAAAATGTAGATAGCTGGTAAGATAGTGTCCCTGGGAAGACAACTTGCCACATAGCACAGCGCAGTATATTGCACTCTATGGTGCAACATCATCGTAGGCTCTATCCCTACATCCGGTATCATACTCAATATCATCCCGCCTACCGTGCTCGATGAGCTCCGTTTTTCTTTGCAGGCGAACATAGACTCATCGGCAGATGGACAAGAAGCGCAAGAAGCGGATAAGGCCTCTAGGCGATGAGGGACATCATGTCTCCTGTTTTCCCCGGTTCCCTTCCCGAGCCCCAAAAGTCGTAGCCCCGGCCTCGGCGGCCCTTCGCTCGTTCTCGCGCCTCTCATCCTGGAGAAGGAAAGGCTCCAGGAAGAAGACTCTTAGAGGGGCCTTAATGATGAGAATAGGGTGAACAGGGTGCTTCTAATAAGGAAGCCCCCCTATAGTACATAAGAGGGCTTGGGCGCTTGGGGTTGGTGGTTAAGTGGGTGATGTTTGGGTGTTCAGGGTTTCGGGGTTCGGGGGTTTTGGAATTTGGGATTTAAGTGTTTAAGGCTTATCACATGTCACTACATGTGGTATGGGAGTCAATGTGTATGCATGCATGGCAAAGAAATTCAACTTCCAGACTGCCTGGGTCTCTAGCTGGATCCACCCTGTCGACCCTGTCACGCTGTCACGGATGTGCCCGTGACATGCTCAGAATGCTTGCCTCGTCCGTCTCTAGCGTCTGACACTGCTTTGACCCCGAGGACCCCTACACCCGACCCCCTACACCCCTACAAACATAAGCCACAAGAAGGCGTTAGTATCCTTTTGGGATCGCCAATTGGAGCAATGAGCTCGCGTTAGGGTCACAGGTGCGACGCAGATCCTGAAGCAACGGCGAGAAAGCTTTCTAAGATGCATGGTTTGGGGGGCCTGTAAGACTGAGCGGCTCTTGTGATCTTACAACCGCAGGAGTCAACAAAGACCTCGGCCCATGTGCAACATGGCCAGAGGCCCAACATCGGGGAAAGAAGATACAGTTTCGTTAGAGTCCGATGCAGTAACATGCGAGAACACCGCTGAACACCAAGCAAAAAATGGGCTCCGATGGATTTTGCCAGGCTGTGTCTTATAGTCTAGTATAGTCTAGTAGCCATTCATATGTAGTGGGCGATCGAAAATGCCAGATGGGTAAAAGCCGGAAACCCCAACTAACGAAACCCCCGAAGCGCGAAAAAACCCTGAACCTTCAAATCCAAACCGTTAAACCCGGAAAACCCTGAAACCTTAAAGCTTCAAACACTGAAGACCTAAATCCCAATTGACCGAAAACCCCCAATCACCCTAAACCCCTAAACCCCTGATCGAATGCCCTCGCAAAGCCCTCTCACTCCCTTCTTTGCCTCGATCTTTTGCTGGATCGACCTCCGGCTTCGGGCCAGCCAGGGAAGTACCCTGGCTTCGCTGGCACGTGTCGCTTCAGCACAGGGTTCAGGTTCCACGAAGGCTCTATAATATCTATACTATATGGACCTGATGTGGCTTTAAGAGTCTCGGGTTATGGGCGGACTTTTATTCTAGGCTTTGGGGTGCTGGGGCTTTAAGACTTTCAGTGCTTGGCATTGGAGGTCGGCTGAGAGGCTAAGAGTCTCGAAGAAGGCTTGATTCAACTGCCCAAACCAAGCGCTGTCCGAGTTCCTGAAATACCGTGCTGCCACTGGAGTACGAACTGCTCGTGCCACCAGCTCGCTTGATGTGCAACTACAAAAAAGAATTCTATCGATATGTGTACACATACACCAGGGTAGAATATGTACCATGTAATCTGAAATATGTAGCAAAATAGAAACACATTACATAAGGATATTATGCATATATATATATATATATATATGTGTGTGTGTGTGTGTGCGTGTGTGTGCATATCGCGTTAATGCCTATGCTATTGTGTGTATGTACAAAACTGTCTAGAATGTGTATAGTGTACATACAGACATGCATGCATACATATTTACATACATTGGGAGACACATCAAATTCTACATGCATATTGTAATACATGTGTGTATACATTTGTGATACATGTGTATATATATATATATATAGATACGTACCTATTGATTTATCTATGTGTTTTCATGCATCCTGTCCAGTAAAGAAAAGCAAGCCGGACAGCAATCATGCCCTGACCCCAAGGAGCCTCTGCTGCAACAGCAGCCAGGTGCCAACTGTTGTGCTCAATCGCTTCCAGGCTCGTTGTCGTCGAACCTGTGTGAGAATAGCTGATTGATCTGTTCCTTCGACATGGGGCGTGTGTGTGTGTGTGTGTGTGAGTGTGCGTGTGTGAAGTGTAGGGAGAGACTTCAAGCTGAACCTACTGCTCCTTTCAGTGGCAAGAGCTCCCACAACAGAGCCAAGGGTAGGCCCAGAGAATCAATCGACTAGGAGAGGGGGCTCATTATTCAGACGCACAAAAGCGTTATTTGTCAACCGACCCTTCAAGTTGCAGGAGTGCCTTCGTGCTCAGCTTGTCGACGAAGCGCTTGGTCAGCACGGCCACGCGCACCAAGACCTCTCCACGCATTGACAGCTAGGATCTGACCTTGCGACTCGTTGGGGGCTTCGGGGCAGTGGGGCTTGATTAGTTAATCGCTACAGACTACAGGTAGCCACCGGGGTGTTCCATCGCCTGGAACCGGCGTCGTAGCGCCATCTTCCGCCTGACACAGCTGGGTCGCTGCAGGATCACGGGAGGAAGCTATCAGAGGCTCGGGGCACGGCTTTGTATGGCTATGGCGGCTATGGTTGTTAAGGATGGTAGTTTTGATCATGAAGGTTGCAGTCGCATATGATCTCATTCTATGTCCAACTTCTGCCAAACGGGGTGTTCGTGGCTGACTTGCAGCTTGCATCCACTTGAGAGTTAATGTCCCTAGGTCGACGCTCACGAATTTGTCGTGAAGAGAAGAAAGGGGGCCTGGGGCATGAGTCTTGTTGGGCAGAACCTTGAATGGGTTGAACCCACGTCGAGATCACACGACTCTTTTAGTGCAGCCACACGAAGCCCTTTCCACCCACCCGCACACAGAAAGTCTAATGACGGCCGTATAAGCCTCGCATGAACCCATTGCAACTGCACATGAGCCCCGAAAAGTGCCCTGCGCGATCCATGAACCCTTTACATACAAACCAAGAGCACAACCCAGAAACCCAGTGTAAACCCCGGAAGCTCCCTCACGCACATACATGCATGCATGAATGCATGCAGACAGACAGACATACAGACATGCATGCATAGTTGTACACACATACACAGATACATAAATACATACATACATACATACATGCAAACAGAAGTACATACATACGTACACACATTCGTTTGTGCACGTGTATGTATCTTATTTGTAAAAACATATGCACAGAGAAAGGGTACGTGCCTACCCCTCCAGCATAGACATAAACGTAAACTAATACTTACAGTATGTATACATACAAATATATATATATATATATATATATATGTATACAGATATTCTCATGCACCAGGACATAACACACATATACATGCACATATACATATAGACACACATACACACATACATCTACGAACATATGTATGTACATACATGCATACATACATCCAAAGACCCATCCATCAATCCATCCATCCATCCATACCTACATGTGTATGTATATTATATACGAGATATAAACTTACACGTGTGTATGTATGTGTATATATATATATATATATATACGTATATTATATACCCATACCTATATGTCTGTATACGTCGGTGCATATATGGGATGACACATGTGTATGTTTATATAAGACTGTGATGTAGGCATGTATGTATACATGTACGTATGCATGTAAGTGCATGTGTACAATGTAGACAGGTGCAAGACTTGCAGCTCAAGGGCAAGGAGTTTGAGTATAAACTGAGGCCGTAGGATGCCTCCTGCTCAGGCATTAGTCAACGCTGACTGAAAGACCTGCCGTGAATAAATGAATGTGCCTGTGCAGTTGCATAGAGAGAGAGTGAGAGGCAGAGAAAGAAAGAAGGAAAGAACGAAAGAAAGAAATACACGAGTATACATAGATATAGATAGATAGATAGATATATCTATGTGGTAGGTACATTGTGACATGTTGTCATATGATATAACATTCATATAACCCTACACAAGCCCGATACTTAACCCAGAAGCTCCCGCCTCGCTGCTTCCCGGAGTTTCTGCAGCCGACCGACAAGGAGGGCCCGAGTCGCCAAAGCACGGACCTCAGGACCCGGAGGACCCATCAAGGTTTCGGCAGATTTATCCGGAACTTTTGGATTTCCCGTCAAGAACTTGGACTTTAAGGGCTCCTTTAAGAAATCTTTTGGGTTAGGATGTTTTCGGGCTTTGTGTTGAAAGCTTCGGAACCCGAAGCGCTAGCTGTCAAGCGGTTTCGGGGGTGGGTTCTGGGTTGGCAGTGGGGTTTGGGTTCAGGGGAGGCAATGTAGAGGCCTTGACGATTTAGACTCGAGACGACACATAGACCGGGGAAGCTTTAGGAAGTGTATACAGTTCGAACTACTTACTTAGCCCCTAATGTTTAGATGAGCAAAGGAACCGCTTGTGCTGCACGGATGGCGGAGAGGAACCTGGCAGCAGCTTCGAATGTCCAGAGCCTTATAGTGGCCCGAGGATTGAAATCTGTTAGGATTTGGGTTTGGGGGCTTCAGGGCTTTAGGGCTTTGGGTCTAGGGTCGTGCGAGGGGCTCGTGATGCGAGTCAGGAGTTGGCTTGCGGCCTCAGTGTAGTGATGAAGCTTGAGGATGTCAAGCCCCTGGGATTCGTGCCTGCATGACAGCAAGGGCATCTTCAGGTCTCCAGTCTACTCTTCATGCGCATACAAGGTTTGCTGTTTACAGTATAAGATATTAAGCCCTACACTCTTTGAGGGTCCCTTGGTCCTCAAGGAGCCGAAGCAGAAACTGCTAGCATGAAAGGGCTTAACCCTCAATAATAGGATAAACCTCGACATTCCCCAAGGCGAGATCTGTGGAGACCCCGAGTTGAACCCTCCCCTGGGACCTCGGGAAGTAGTTGCAGAGCCGCACCGCGTGGCCTGCTCTGACCCACCTGGCTCTGATTCGCCGGATTTTGCTGGGGCTCGGGGTTGATTAAGAGATTCGCGGTTTAGCGCCTATGGCTTTTGGGACGTGGATTTCGGGCTTAGGGATGCTTGAGGCTTGAGCTCCAGGACACTTGTAAAGGCGCGTAGGCTGCAGCAGGGGGCCTTCCGTCTTGTCGGTTCCCACAACCACTCTAGGACCTAGGATGCTGTGAAACCCAATGCAACGTGCTTAACAGACCGAGTGGAACAGTCCAACTGAGGTGTAATGCGTTACAGCTGCGAAGCAAAAGGAGTTACAGTAGCCAGACTCGATGAAGCGAATCATGACCGGAAGGCTTACTTCTGCGTGGCTGTCTCGAACTGCCCGACAGCTACAGGGCCGTCGTGGTTTCTGGGTTTACAGCAGTTGGTTTCTGGCTCTAGGGCCACAGGCCTTGAAAGCCTCACATCTACCACAGCCCAAACTTTGAATCCGCCCTTCGGCCGCCTCTTCCGGACGATGCCACGGACGATCTGCTGCAGCTTTTCTGTGTCAGGCTTGGCGCCTGTGACTTCTTGGTGTTGCATTGGGATGTTGAGGTTTCAGGCTCTTTGCGACCCGGACTCATAGCTTGAGCCTTTCCCTTGAATTCTGCCCTCCCTGGCAGAAACAGTCCAGTGCCTTGGGCCCCACACGGGGCTCACTACGAGGAAGCTGTTCGTGTTACTATCTATGAACCTATGCCTAGTATTGCCTGTGACTCCAATAAGGCACGTTGACAAGAATCAGCCCGACTGAGATCCACCCCGAAACACATGCGGCCCACCCCCGCCTTTGGAGCGAAGGTCTTCGAGAGCCTTCAGCTGCCCAGCTTTCAGGAACAGCCGGGACATTCCCAATGCCCAGTCCTGCACCAGTAGGGCTTGGTTTGTAGTGGACAGAAAGCCGCACTTATTGAGCTCAAAGATAAAGGAACACCACCCGGAATCCTCATTCCCTGTTCACGCACAGAGGACGTGGCACCGTGGCAGTTGCCCTGCCTCTTTGGGCACATCATAGGCCAGCATGAGTGCTTCGATAAAGGTCCGGTTGCCGTACCGCTGGAAACTGTCCGGCAGCAAGCTACCTAAGCTCGCATCTTCTGATGCATGCTGGTATGATGACGATGGTGACGATGGCCTGGTGAGGGGAGGAGCAGGAGGAGGAGCAGGAGCAGAAGAGTGAGCAGGAGCAGGAGCAGGAGGGGGACGACGAGGACGAGGATACTACATGATGATGGTCATGCTGATCATCATAATCATCCGCATGAGGATGAAGATGAGCATGAGGATGCTGGTGATGATGAAGATGATGGTGAGGAGGAGGAGGAGGTGGTGGGCATCGGACGTCTGTTCGCAAGACTCCAAATGCTGGCCCTCAAAACTTCGTGCACACATCGGAAATCTCATCTTCCGTCCCTCAACAAAAACTGCTCTTCAACAACGCACAACAGAGTGTTTTTCGGAAGCGGGGAGAAGCTGTACCAAGTCGCGGAAACGAGCGACCAGTTCGTCGAAGACACAGCGGTTCGGATACCTCCGGTGCGGCTTCTTGTTTTATCCATGACCTGTGTCCATAACGCTAGGTTTAGGAACCCTGAACCGGCAGCTAGGTTCTAGTCTTCTGTCCGTCAGGTAATAGAGAAACATCAGTTACTGGAACAGGGTCGCGACACAGGAAACTCTCATCACGGAAAACCACCTCAAGGAGCTAAGGATGAAGGATATGCGGAGTTTGGAAGTTGAGGTCGTAGAATGCCAAAGCAAAGAGAAAGCCCTCAACCTTTCAGGGCCTTTGAGCTCCGCAACACAATTGAAATTCTGAACCCCGGGAGCTTATGCCGTGTACAGGAAAGAGGTCAGGCGGGTTTAGGGAGCTATCGGACTGTAGTCTGGCTCAGCGGTTCAGCTCTTTGGGTTTGGGGTTGCACAGGTCTTGGATTCCTTTCGGTGTAGGGTGAAGGACAGGACGTGGGTTCGACATGGAGGTAGAGGGCTCCCACAAACCCTGATGGATGTGACCTGGAGAAGCGCGGAACATGGCCGGGTAAACTTCAAGTTCGACCGAGCCACCCATCGTGCATGATCTTGACCAACTCAATGGTTCCACACCTCAAGGGCGAGTGGTGTTGTGCGACTGCAGATATGTATTGATTCAGACTTCAGCGTTTTAGAATTCGTTAGGGTTTGGGTTTTAAGGCTGACGGTTGGCCGGAACAAATCTCAGGTCTCGACTGAACGATCTGGTCCAGCACCAGATTGTCGTTGAAGATGCTGCGCTTTTGGAGCTCGTTAGGCTTGAAGCAGCCTCGAGCTCACAAAACAAGAATCCAACAGCCTAGGCATTGGGATTCTTATGCAGGAAGCTGTTGGAACGGCTGTGTCCGAGCTTGGCAAGAAGGGGAGGACCGCTGAAGGAACCAGGGCCCGATGATCGAGCCTTGATCTCAGATATCTGTAAGCGAGGGGCGGATATAGTGTAGATGGCACTGGTTGAGCGTCTTCAGCAAGTTTTCCAAGTCCGCCGAGTACTTCTTGCTGATGGAGCGGAAGAGCACCTAGCACTGCGGCGAGCTGCCTTAGACGTCTTCCGCTTTCATGCCTTGAAGCGCGAGTGCCAAGTTGCCAATAGCCCCAATCAAGTCCGAAACATAGTGCTGCTGTACCCTCGCAGAAGCACAAGACCTTATGCCTTGTTGATGCTTTATGAATCAAGCTGGCTGCACTCTCAGGCCACATCGCCACACCCTGCGAAATCCCAGACCACGACCCCTCCTAACAACCGCAAACCTACAACACCAAGGCCGCCTTGCTCTTCTCGTCGTCTCCCAAGGTTCGCACGAAGTTGCACTCCGAGCCGCCTGGGCATCTAGGCATGATATAGGGACCTAAATAATTGGAACAGGGGCACTAAACATCCGGTGGGAAGCCTAAGGTGACTAAGGTGCAATAACTATTCAAGCCTCTATACTAGAGGGTTCCCCTCACGCAATACAGCAGATTGTTGCTCTTTGAATACTCGTTTGAGGACCGAAATTCCAATCTCACACTGAGAACTGCAAGTGAAATCCGAGATGCACCCCAGATGAAACAGTTGAAGATTCAGGCCCAGGGACAGATCAACTCCTCACACTCGACAAGGAGGCGATCGTTGTTCCTTTTCTGGTCCACTTCAACCGACACCCCGAAACCGAAAACCAGCACAGCAACATCGGAATCGCAAACCTCTTAAGACTGCGCCCTCGAATTCCGAGACTCTCCCATCAGCTGGTTACTTGCCGCACTCATGCAACACGCATCGCGGTGAAAACTCTTGCGCTACGGGGCCGAGACTTGAGAAGGCTTGCGAGGGATGCTTTCAGAATCCGCGTCTACGGATACCGCAGGGGAGATCTATGCCGTCGGAACAGGGCTCGGAGAGTAGAGGTGCTTTGGGGGATCAGCAGGCATCCCAAGGCGAGATGATGTTTCGGGGCCTTGGTGTAAACAGCTTTGAATAATGGGTGTTGGCCTTATTCCTGCAGTCCGCCCTACAAGCAGGAAGCGCCGTAGCCAAGTCTGAACTCTGTCCCTCACAGCACACTACACCTGCTTGAGACACAGTGGCTTGTCCAACCAGCCTTTCGTGTTGTATTCCACCTGTCCAGCATAGTGCTTGACGATGAAGCCCTGGCAGCATCGACGATGGCCGCGTTCGTCCCATGGATAGGCTAAGTGATTGGCATACGACTGTACACTGGTCATGCCTGGCAACGTCTTCCTATCAGAATGTCAGCTAATACCCATGATGCCCGCGAGACAAACACGGTGGCGAAACAACACGAGGAGGCCTCGCACCATACTGTTGCTCATAGCACGGAACATAATTACCACAATTCCCGCCGTTTGATTAGCCCATTCTCACCAAAGGAGGATGCTGTCCATCAGGTGTCCGTCAACTCCGAACCCTGAGCCCTGGCGGCCTCGTTCATTGCCAAGCCTGCTGAGCTTCCACGCTTGTTAGACATCCTCGAGCAAAGGGTTTGGGATCTGGGAATCTAGGGAGTACAATTTCGGGATTTAGGGTTTACGGATTCAGGATTGGGGATTTGGGTTGAGGGCTTCGGGTCTTCGACAGCCGAGAGGCGGCTCAGGACCGCTACTTGGGCAGGCTGCGGGCTGTTGCGATGTTTGCATGGTTCTAAGTGGTTCAATCTTAGCCGCCCTTAGAACCAGAATTAAACAATACTCATATTAATGCCCTGAAGTTATATTATCAGAAGAATGGAACAAAATTCCTACGAGCAGTAAAGCAATGACGATGGGGGACCCGCGCGTCATGCAACCGGTCGGTAGGGTTCATTCGAGCTTGGAGTACATGATCACACAGAGCCAATCGCAATCCACGGTCGCGCTTTAGTTGCGGTCAGCTCCTTCAAGCCGGGTCGGGTCGGGCGCCAACCGCTGCTGCAGTGGAATAGTTGCGGGGTCGCAGATAGACCCGTGAACCAAGATCATGTTCACACCCCATCTCACTATCAAGGCTGCGTAGGAAGGTGCTTGACTGGTAGAGGTCAACTCGCAAACCGGTTCAATCTCGCAAGAAACTCGGGGTGAATGGGTCAAGGCTACACTGACACAGGTTTCGGCCATGCTTGCAGGGACTCCGCTGTGAATCTCCAGTCCGCGACTCCGCATGCCCGCTGTTGCTGCTCACTAATTAGTGGCGTCTGCCCAAGGCAAGAACTTCACGGCGCATAGGAACAGTTGTCCATGGTTCCGGCATCTTGGCCAACCTACCCGATAACAAGAAAGTGTTTACACCACAGAACCATGGTTGCGCGCTTTCAGGGCTTCACGGTGGCTTCAAAATAAAGCCATAGCTATAGTACTGTAGCGGTCTCAACCAAGCGAAACCCAAATCGCATTATGCATTGGGGCATGCGGGATCAAATCAGGTGCTGCAGTGCGAAAGCAAGGCCTGAAATTCCTAGCAAAGCCAATCTCGAACTGCAATCAAATCGCGCGGCTCAGAAAGGGGATTGTATGCATGAATGTACCGTCAGGGGTGCCAGCATGGTAGAACCAGGCTTCTGGCAGGGTCAACCCTGCCAGAAGCACCTGCATGGGGCCTGACACCAACAGCTGCTACGGATCGAGGCTGTCTAAAAATGTGCAGGACGATGCGAGGGCATATGACAGCTCTGCTTTTCATCCTATTTATTGATCTCTATCATAATATGACGTTACTACATTACACGAAAACAGTATATGATGCTGGTATATTATAGAGAAGATGAGCCAAGACAACCAGTATATTGTGCCATATTGTCGTACTCTGATACAGCAGGTGACAGTACATGCTATTCATGTTCACCTTCAAACAGGACTCGACTATCCATCTCGCAAGCCTGAAGCCCGGTGGCCGGTGACCACAGGGTGCTGCGAGGTTACATCCCGGTGTCCTACATAAGACATAAGAAGACATGCTTACATATCTATATATATATATATGTATATATGTACAGATATAGACACATCATGTGTCTCTATTTATGTATATCTATACTGATCTTTGTAGTGATATAGCTGCATTTGGACTTATACTAATACAACAACATAAAGATACAGCTATGCTAGTTCTATTTAGAAAAAGGTTTGTGCCACTTACGGCAAAGAACAAAAATGCCTCATACTCAAGCAGGAAAACTCAGCACTGAAGGTATTGGAATCCGGTCAAAACCCTAAACACCGAACGACAGTAGATCGCAGACCTCCCAGGCATCGACTGCCTGCCAAACCCAGGCCCTAGTCAGTTAAGGCCTATAGCACCTTACAATGCTGACCGCCTGAAGCCCCACCGCCTCAAACCCCAACGCCAGTTTAGGGTTTAGAACCTTGATACAACCTCGAGCCCTAGACCAAGCGTCTTCAGCGGCTTCAAGACTTCCTTGCGCTGTGGGTCCTGCGGCAGTACAGACAAAGACAAGTCGGATTCAGGGTTTCCGCTCATGAAGCTGTGACTTCCATCTGCAATGGGGGCAGCAACTGGAACAATGCCGACACGGGGGAGGCAGCTTCAAGGTATGAAGTACCAGTACTCGACTTGCAGTTGTAGCCATTTCACTCGCATCAGTTTCAAGAGTGCGTGCGCGTGTGTATGTGTGTAGATAGACAGACAGACAGCCAGACAGACAGACAGATAGATAGAAGTAGATATAGGTACATACACCTGTCGTAAGGATATATCATCTTACTGTGCGTTACCGTGCTCTATACTCTGAGAAGATCCCGCAAGCAGGCTCGGGGCGCCCTCAGGAAGTCCTTCTGGGCTTCCTCCACGGTCTTCTGACAGAAACCCTCGTCCGAGGTCTTCTCAAAGCCTGCTCCACAGGTTTACTTTCAGGCTCACAGCTGCGTAGACGTAATTGTAACCTGGGTTTTTTTTTTTTGAACGCCTTTTTCCCTCTGCCGGTACGTGACTAACGTCAGGAATCCGCATTCACGGAAAGCTGTAACCCTTGCTGCCCCTCAGTTGTACTTGTAACCGTGTTGCACCCTGTCTCTCGACATCCTCATTCTGGCCGGGGTGTCGCCTCTGAATCTGGAACTTCGGTACCCTGTGCTGTCCCAGTTTCATCAAGTTGCGTGTCTTGCCCGTGTACCCCGGTTTGTATGCCTGCCCACATGTTCATGTCCGCAGCCCACACGTTGAGGTACTCCTCCGATACATCCCAGTAGACCATTCCCTGCAGGACTTGGCGGACTTGTTGCAATCCTTGTGCACGGAGTTGACGAAAAATCTGGAGCCATGATTCTCCTTTTGTCTCAGAGATCTCGTCGTCGGTGAGTTCACCCCTGCACCATGAGACGAACACCACTAGGACTATCGTCGCAGGGACCTGTATAGGTGTGGTTGGAGGTGTCAGGGCTTCGATGACTGGACTCGGGTGGTCTTCATGTGGGTCCTGTCGCATGTCGAGCACCTCCGAGAGGAACGGAGTAAGGGCATCTAATCCCCACCGCCGCCAGAGGTAGAAGAGACTGAGCCAACTGGAGCCGAAGGAGTCTTCAATCATACCGTCTGATCGATACTGAGACTTCCATTGACCGTAAACCGATTCGAATAGGGCAAATCGGACTTTGGGTTGGCCGACCTGCATAACAGGACTTGCGGGCCCCAAGGTTGAGCTCGATGCCGTCCCTCTCTCCTCGTGGCATTCATGGTCCTCTGCGTTAGCCACCGCCAGCTGAGCCTGCAGTAACTCCACAGTGTCCGTGCCATGGCGGTTCGCAATCTGCGACAAGGACATTTTCCCAGCCCTCCACGCCGAGTAAATCCGCGCATATTCCGCGAACTCCAAGGCCGGTTGTGGACTGTTGCGATGTGGGTCTGCTGGTGGTTCTGTGTCTCCCAATGGCGGTGTCGGTACCCTCACCGTGTCCACGTCCTCAGGATCCGGCTGCAGTGTAGCTTGCATCGTCACCCTAACAGCGGAACCATTCTGTGGCACCTCGAGCTCCAGTGTGTGCATCACCTTCGGCTGGTCCCTGGAGCCCGTGGCCACTTCCACAGACAGGACGCAGCGGCGCTTAGCGGGTCGGCACAAGGCGTCGTTCATGATACGGTCCTCCTCTGCCTGTGCTTCTGCCGCCTGCTCTTGCAGATGGCGTAGCTCCTGATCACGGAGCAATTGATACTCCTGCTCCCTGAGCTCCTGATCTTCTTCTTCTTGTTGGCGAATTTCTCGGTTCCGTGTTGCTTCCCTTTCGTCCTCCAGCAACTGCTCAAGGTTCGGCGATTCCGGCGTACTTGGCCCTGGCAAAGCCGTTGGTTGTGTTTCTGCACCGGATTGTGAGTCCACCTGTACCGGCAGCCCAAATCCAGGAAGTAGCACACCTGGCTCCCCAAACCACTGGAAGATCCATTCCGTATCCATTCCTGCTTCCCCTTCCACGCCTGAGGCCTCCACATTCATCGCAACTAGGAGGGCACCCAGCTGTAAACACCATTCGCTTTGTCGGGCCGTACAACCCGCAAGTCCCTGCTGGAGGCGGCGAACATGCACTTTCATCACTCCCTTGCTCTGTGCTGCCAATTCCTTGTGTAGACGAAGAATGGCCCGGGACCATCGCTGTGCCATGGCTCCTGGTAGCTCTCCAATCGATGTCTGCATCAGGTTGGTGTTATCTGTGTCACCCTCGAGCTCCTCGGTCTCCATGGTACCTTCCGAGATTCGGGCAATGGCCTCTGCCACTGTGAGCGTTTGACTGATCTCACTCATCAGGTACGGCAGCACTGTTACTAAAGCCACTGTGGGCGTCAGTCTGTTCTGCGGGCACATGGACTCATGAGTCATCGAGATGTTGCGTAGCATCCCAAGCGGCAAGAAACTGTCCGGAACACGGCCCTGGCCCTGGCCCGGTTGGGGTGCGTCGAAAGCTCGCTTGTCAAAGAGGAGGTAGCGCCAAAGGCAGACTGCTTGGTCGGAGGAGATTGGCTCGCGAAGGTTTGGCATGAAACTACCCCGCGTAGTTGGCGCCGGGTCTCGACTGCCTGAGGCCGGTTCTGATCCAGCTGATTCAGGTTCCACCCGCACCGTGACGTACTCACCTCGGGTGGAGGACTTGTAGCTGCGAGACCCTGCTGACCCACCTGTCCCAGCCTCCATGTGCCGAGATCTCGGCCTTGTAGTTGGGCGCGCAAGTGGTGCCCTCCGTGGACTGCGTGAGTCCCGAATTCGCCGCCTTCCATTTCGGTAGCGATGTTCCATGAGGCTGGTCTCATCTGCCCCGACCGTATGCAGGGTCCCTGCATCTCTGTCTCGAACATATGCCTGATGGAGTAGTCTCTCCGCTGCTTCTGCCCAGTGTCGAAAATCCAGGGGGAGAGGCTTGTATCCTCTCCTGCACTGTTCGGGATGGCATTGCCGACTGTGTTGATAGGCCCTCTAGCCCAACTTCGGTAGTAGGTGTCCTCTCGCTGCATGGCCACGTGTCGAAGCATGCCTACCGCCATCCCCACTGCCCTGCCCTCTTCGAACCATTCCCAGAACCTGTTCATAAGGTCTGTCCACTGTTGTTCAAGGCTCGCTGGCATCTGAAAGAGGATCACCTGGTCATTCTGATCCTCAGCCGTCGACGAAGGTGTCGTGGCCGAAGTATCCACTCTAGCCCTGGGCCCTGGGCGAACGAACTCGCGATCGGTCTCGTCGTCCCTGTGGCTGCATGTCCTCACGGCATATCTGCATGCCCTCGGTGAGCGCCCTGATCGTCTCCCTGGTTGCTTCCGCCTGCATTCGGTCTGGCTCAGTCTCCCACCTCCAGTGGTAAAGAAGTTGTTCTATCACCCAGTGAACTCGCCCTTGAAGTTCTGCATGTGTGGGCATGCCCATTCGCTGGATGATGGGGTCGCACCTGTCTGGTACTTCATCCATCTGGTGGGAAACGCCCATCACAAAGGCTGTGTTCGTGGAAGTGGTAAAAACCCCCGACAGCATCCTCACAAGCTCAGTGGCATCCGCGCCTCTGTCCACATCTAGCTGGCATCTCTCAGCCAAGTCTCCGAACCAGGCCGGTTCACGATTTTCGGCCCAAGGGGGATCCACGCCCTCCACCAGTGCCTTGGTGATAGGGTATGCAAGGATCATGGCACGCTGAAGGAGCTCAGTTTCCTCCGCCTCGAGGGCCTCGTCCCGTGTAGCTTCTCCTGCTCCTTCTGCCGACACTTCAGTAGTCAACGGTTGAGCCTCTGACGATCCATGGGTACCAGTTGTATCGAGTCCTGGCGGAGAAGAGCCTGTGGGACCCCAGGTCCCCGTTTCCGTGTCAACCCATATGGCGTGGAAGAGCCCATACGGGTACTGGGCGTGTGGGCTCGGTGCTGCCAAATCAGCCATGACCGTTGTGTCTCCTTCAGCATGGGGCACTGGTTCCACCGGATGTCCCTGAACATTCGCACCTGTCGACACAAAATCCTGAAAGCATGCATATTCCACCTCTCGTGCCCAGGCAAGCTCCGACTCGCTGAGACTTTTGGTGTAGAGATTGTAGTGGAGTCGTCGACCAAATTCTTCCCTGAGGGGACGAAGGTAAGCCTTGCTCCATCGTGTGTAGTCGTCATGTCCACGGCTTACCACCCTGCGAATGACGGCCATCAGCATCGGCTCCCATCCCTGCCCTTGGAGCCGTAGTTGCTGAAGCCGGGCCACCGCAGAACGCAACCATGGGCAGTCGGGCGGTGGTGGTTCCAAAGGGAGTTTCCGTTTGCTCTTCACGTTGGAGGCTTGCCGGGTCGTGCCGTGGGGGGTGTCCTGGGAGTCCTGGGTCCGCCGATCAGGGTCACAAAATTCAGAATCGTGTGCTTGAGCATGTAGTGGCCCATCTGTGGAGCTGGAAGCTCGCTGCGGCTCCAAACCCTGTGGCGCACTCCAGGTGGAGCTGCCGGCCGGTGCTGGATCACGGTTCGTTACATTTGGGCCCAATAGAGGCCCGTGCTGGTCATCCTTGTCACGTGAAGTGGTTGCCGTAGAGTTCCCAAAGGAGTTGGCATCCCTTGCGTTCGTAGTTGTAGGCCGGAAGAACTCCTTAGGAGGGGCCACAGTCTTCATCACAAACATTGCCGTCACGGCGATATGGAAGGTACGGAGGACAGCCATGGCTGCCAGCCCAGTTGGGCAGGATGCGAGAGTCCGTATGCTAAACTCGATCGCTGAAATCAGGCAGGGGGCCTTCACATGCACAATCAAGCACAACAGACGGACAGCTGCAACTGTACACCATGACAAATCTTCACAAAACCCTCTGTCTCTCTCACGGCCCTCCAGTGGTTGAGAGGGGGGAGAGACAAAACACCTGGAAATATAGAGAGCAGACGGTTTCTCATCCAATTGAAAATCCGTTTGGGATCCGTTTGGGGATCCGTTTTGGATCCGTTTCGGATCCGTTTTGGATCCGTGTGGGGTTGCGTTTGGGGCCCCAGCCCCGGAACACCAAAACGGATTTGCAACGGGCCCCAGACGGAACCCCTGACGAGTCCGCAGGCGGGTCCCCCAGATGGGTCCCCGGCGGGTCGCCGAAACCACGAATCCCTCGAGAGGGATCCGTTTTTAATCCGTTTTGGATCCGTTTTTAATCCGTTTTGGATCCGTTTTGAATGCGTTTTGGATCCGTTTTGGGTCCGTTTTGGATCCGTTTGGGGCCCCAGCCCCGGAACACCAAAACGGATTTGCAGCGGGCCCCAGACGGACCCCCTGACGGGTCCGCAGGCGGATCCCCCAGACGGGTTTGTCGGCGGGTCGCCGAAACCACGAATCCCTCGAGAGGGATCCGTTTTTAATCCATTTTGGAACCGTTTTGGATGCGTTTTGGATCCGTTTGGGGACCCAAGCCCCGGGACCCCAAAACGGATCCAAAACGGATGCAAAACGCATCCAAAACGGATCCAAAACGCATCCAAAACGGATCCAAAACGGATTTAAAACGGATCCAAAACGGATTAAAAACGGATCCCTCTCGAGGGATTCGTGGTTTCGGCGACCCGCCGGGGACCCATCCGGGGGGACCCGCCTGCGGACCCGTCAGGGGGTCCGTTTGGGGCCCGTTGCAAATCCGTTTTGGTGTTCCGGGGCTGGGGCCCCAAACGGATCCAAAACGGATCCAAAACGCATCCAAAACGGATCCAAAACGCATCCAAAACGGATCCAAAACGCATCCAAAACGGACCTGCGAAAACGCATGCATTCCAAACGGATTACCAAACGCATTCCCCCATGCATCCAAAACGGATTCTAAACGGATTATTAGGCTTCTGCGCCCCAACCCAGTGTTAGCAGAACCAGATTTTCATAAGTTTAGGGTTGGCGTATGAATCGGGGAGCAGTTTGGGGACTACGGCCAGAAAGGCTAAAGCCCTGAGGCGCTGGGACCTGAATCTCCAAGTCTCATCGCAAGAACTGGCTTTTGACTCTGTGCACATCGCACAACTCTTGATCCCAAATGTGGGATCTAGAAAGCAAACATAGTAACTCAACCACTTGCACAAGTCATTCTAACAACGACTTACTCGGGAGGAGAAGACTTCGCAACCACCTTCAGAACTGTACTATGGTGCATTGCAGGCAAGGATAAGATCGAGCAACGATCACATTACAGAAGCCCAGCAAGCCCGCCCGCAACCCGAGCACACAAGGGCTTAAGGTTTGCTTTACGGCTTCGGGGTTCTGCCTTCAGTTTAGCGGTCAAGGGCTTTGGCGTGGCAACAGCCAGGAAGGCCTTTCAAGGGTTTGGGGTTTAGGGCTTCGGATTCCAGGTTTCGCATAGGGTTTAGGCTTTAGGTTTGTATTTAATGTACAGGTTTGCTGTTTCAGGGTTCGTGAATGAAACCCCACGCCCCCATCAGGAAACAGCCCGAACTCTGTAGTCCAACCTGTTCTGCAAGTCTCCTAAACCCTAAACCAGGTTTGCGGTTCGGAAACTTGCCTGCCGCTCCGAAACAGTCGGAAACCCTGTAGCCTGCAGTCATCCCCTGCCTTTTGCAAGCTGCTGACTGTACTCATCCAGCGTCTTGAAGGTGCAGGCAATGGCAGTCACAACCTGTTGGCTGGGAAGTTCAGGGCTTTGGAGGTGGAGGCTTGGAACAGCTATGGACAGCGATGGCTATGGGGAATATTTGAAGAAAAAAGCTGTTGGCAATTCCTTGAGGCTCTCATCTTTGTCATTACTCGCATGTTGATAGGGTGCTGAATTCTCCAATTTTTCGCCTAGGGTTGCGGTTGAGGCCTTGGTAACAGGAGCTCAATGCTTTGGGCTTTGGGCTTCCGTCTGGAGTAGCTGAGTAGCTTGGACGAAGTGATGGCTCTCTAACCCCAATACCCTCCAGCCCAAACCTTACTCCCTACCCTGGACCTCGGAATTAGAATCCGAGACACTTCGCAAGGTAAACGCAGAACCCGAGTCAAAAAATCCCTAAGCCCTCCCTAAACCCAAAAATCTGAACAGTTTCTCTAAAGAGGAGAAACATCCCGAAGCCTGAGGTTAAGTCAAAGGACAGCAGATGCAGCAACATGCATAATGTTCAACCTCACTGACTCACTGATCGTTTTCAATCTTTCGACCCAAAAGCAAAAAGCAAAAAAAAAAAAAAAAACAAGCCCCGAAGCCCTACTAAAAGCCCTAGCCCCCTGCGAACCTTCAAATCCCTGAACCCCCGAACTTTCAACCGTTCATCCATGCTCTGGACCGGGGCCCCCGGCGGGGGTCGAGTCAGGTAGGGTCAGGCCGGTCCAAGGCAGTCCCTCACGGCGATACCTTGCAAGTGAAATGTCTGTCTCTTCATCCCAAGAGGATCCAGATCATTTCACAGTGCTGGGTTTGGTTACGACGGGTGTTTGGTACGAGTATGTATGCATAAAAATGTATTTGCTGTCGCCCTATGTCTCCAATTATTCCGAGGTGTCTGGATGCATGCATACGTACCGGGCGCTCACATACCGTCGCATGCTGTTACAGACCCATAGCCAGCGAGTCCCAACGAAGCAAATGCTGCCAGGGTGCAAATTCTGCTCTGCAGTGAGCACATTCCTCGGGAGTCACAAGAATGGTCGGATAGCTTGACCATGTGGTTGTCATGCCGAGGCATTTGCAAGTTTGCAAACCTTCTACCATGAATCCCTCGATTGTAGGATATGGGGCTTAAGGTGCAAGGTGGCTCGAACTTGAGCAGGGAGCGCAGAAGCCTGTCCAGGTGCTCCTAATTTGAAGTTCAGACGTGGAACCCATTCAGCTTAGCTATTTTGCGCTATCCATCTGCGCTCAAATTCGGAAGTAAATGATGAGCATCCGTTTGACGGTTACAACTCTTCAGCGATCCTACCTTGTGTCCAGAATTCAACCGGAACTACCACTGCTCTGCTCCGACACCGAGCGTCTCCACAAAGTATTGCTGGAGGCGCTCGTTCGCCAAGTTGATGCACAACTGCTCGAAGGAGTTGCCTTCTGACAGTCTGACATTGATCGGCATAGTCACCGGGAGAGCAACAGGACTGCGGGCGTACCATTTGTTAATGCGTGGCCGCAGTCTTCCGAAGTGAGGATACTGCGGAAAAAACCGCGGTATGGGTCCGACACATCAAAGCAGCCAAACGGCACCCGTTCTCCGGCCAAGCCTTCGGAAAACCTGCGGCCAAGAGGCGCTGAAGACGCTCGAAGCCGTAGATGTCCAGGATGCCAATCTGGCAGCGCTCGACTTCATCCTGCAACAGGAGTTATCATAGCAACGTGGATAACAACTCCAGTGTCCTCAAGTGTCCTCGTCATCATACAGCCATCGCGGGCGGCATAGTCCGCGTCATCATCATCATCATCAGCAGCAGCAGCAGTAGCAGCACCAGCAGTAGAGTCATCATGCAGCCACCAGAACAGTTGTCACTGTCATCAACATTCACAAGGTACCATCATCACCATCACCATCACCATCACCGTCATCATCATCACTGCCGTCGTCATCAGCAACATCATCAGCTTGATCACACCATCATCATCATCATCATCGTCATCATCATCATCGCCGCCATCGTCCTCGTCATCAGCATCTCACCATGGTTGTCATCCATCCTTATCATGGCCATCAACAGCACTATCCGGCAGACCAAACTCCTGGCCAACATGACAATGACATCTTCTTCGGTTCTCCACGCAGCCTTGTGATGCGTTCAGGAGGGTTTCGAGATTGTCAGCATTGGTGATAGGTTCCTCGCAGAATAGACAGTGTCTGTTCTGCCGTTTTTCACTTTGCTTTGCAGATCGGCAAAGTCTGATCATGATGATATGATGACGACGTCGAGGGTGGAAGATATGATGATAATCATGACAATAAGGATGGCCATTCTGAGAATGACTACGGTGATGCTGGTGCACGTGCAGCTGCTGATGACGATGACGATGACGGTGATGACGACCTCGAGAACGAAGAGGATGAGGATGAGGATGAGGATGATGGTGGTGGTGGTGGTGGTGGTGGTCACGACTGCCACGCCGATGAAGACAATTCAACAACGAGCAGCAGCAGCAACAGCTGCTGCTCCTGCCGATGGAACAAGAACGAGCATAGGAAGAATATGGAAAGCCGGACCGAGAACCACAGCAGTCGAGATGCAAGCAGCACCTTCGACACAACTCAGGTCCCGTTGATCCCACATGTTTCATCGTACTAGGATTATGGTAAGCAGCTTTATAAATCTTTCATTGGACGCTTGAGACCCTTCCGCCTCTCCAGTCGCAGGCTTTCGTAGCTCGGAAAACGAACCTCAATGGAGCGCATTTTCTTTTGTGCGGCTTACGGCTTCGACATGCAGGGTGATTGAAAGCTAGGGTAGTGTAGGGATGGGCTTCTCCATCATGTAAACCTATTATTAGCGTTGCCACCAGCATTGCTCAGGGCTCAGTTTGTTGGGTGAAAGAACTCACTAGGCTTTCGGTCGGAACAACAGGTGTTTCCTTGAGGCTTTAAGTCACTACCTGCTGCCAGTGATGGCGGGATGCCCAAAGGCTCGAGGGCTGCTGGCTGCACTGATCACTGCCGAGCGTAGCACACTAAGCTGTTTTGCAGGGCCCCTCATGATAGCATTTCTACAGCAGGGAGTGCAACGGCAAACTGACACAAGCCACAAGCCCTCACCGAAAGGGCCAGCGCTGCTGAGCCGGGTACCGTTGATGCGGGCCACCAAACGCTCAAAAAGACGTTTGTAGAGCGCCTCTCAGATCGGCATGCTGTTTTCCGAGCTGCGGGGATGTTTTGAGCTCAAGGTTCGTAGGGGAGGAACACGCAGGTCCGACAGCTTCCCAGTGTCTCTAAACCCTGACCCCCGAATCTAAGTGAAAAAACGCCCGCTCTTCAGCCCATCGCTAATGTTCGAGGGGCCGGCCTTGATGAGGCTGAACAGGGCATGGCGGAATTGAAGGGTTGTTCGAGGGACCTGCCACCAGGCACAAAGCAGATTGGGGCCGGGTTGGGGCATTTATTCTGGTCTTGGAGAATGTCGGAACCCAGAGCCGGCAAAATCTTCGGGTGGAAAAAGCAATCAGACAACAACATGGCTTTTGTTGCCAAAGCCCCCCCAAAAGACTGGTGAATCTTCAAGCCCGTAAGGGAATCATCGAAAACCTGCTGTGTGTGTGTGTGTGCGCACGCACCAAAGAGGTCCGTGACTCGAGAGCCCAATATCTACACTCTACATGATGGCCAGCAACCAGCACGACCCTTAAGGTGTCACAACATGTCACCTTCTTAGACATCTCCAACATGGCCTTGAAGAGCGACCTCAGAATCTGAACCCGTTCACAACATGGCCTGAATCCCAAGCATTCTCAAGCAACCGAAGAGTAAACATGGCGGAAATGTGTTCCAAGCACGCTCCGCTGTTTCTGGAAAGAAAGACAACCACAGAAAATGCAACGACCCGGACAAAAATCTTCTTCCGAGTGGTTCTTGAATTCTGAATCTGGGATCACAAGCCCTAAACACTATATACAACGTTTGCAAACATTTACAACTAGTTATTTACGTACTCATTTATTTGCTTGTTAGATTCAGACTCTGATATTAAACGGAAGCTCGGCCTCATGGATCGACTCCCGGCCAACACGCGTGATTTTCACCTGCAGAAGGTTTCGGGGGAGAGGGAGCGGCAGCGAAGTTCACTGAAATTAGGGGGTTGTTGATGGGGCATTTAAGCGTTATGTTTCTTGTTTTGTCGGGCTGCTGTAGGGGTTTTTGTTGGTTCGCATATGAAACCCCTGTGTAAGAATGTGGGCTGCCAAAGAGCATCTGTTTGTGAAGCACAGATATGGCACAAGCGTTTCGACGGGGAGAAGGGCCGAAGGGCCGAAGGGCCTGTGGGCTACGGGAGCAAACTCGCGAGCCTCCTAAGCTTTTGGGGTTTTGTTGCTTGAGATGATTTCCTCGGCGGCTCGGGCTTTCGATAAAACTTCAGTTTCTTAGATGAGCGAGGGCCTGTGCACATCGTGTTTCTCCCCCAGAACTTTTCAGCTTGGAGGTCTTGCAGTTCGGGGTGAGTAACGGTGGTTCGAGTGAGGATCTGCTTTGTACTCTATAGTGTCCGTATTCGCAGTTCTCAGACTTCTGGAACTCAGTACCGGATAGCTACGACGGAGCTCCCCCTCGTGCTTGCGCAAGGGTTCTCATGGCCAAAGGCCAAACATCGGACCAAACGACTCATGCACTTGCAAAGCGTGGCACTCCACGAGAGTCTGCGAACCCTCAGTCTTGATTGTAAAGTTTGCTGCAAGCGGAAACTTTGAAGCCTGAATCCTACCCATGCAGCTCCCGGGTTTGTGTGGCAAGGAGGAACCTCTGCCGTAGCTTCTTCGTCTCAACTTCCCAAACGCCAGACCCAGAAATCGAAACTCTGAACCGATACATGCCATTACCTTGTCCAAACTCTACACCTTGCGAAGTCGAACCGAAGCAAACTAAACGACGGTTTGCGCTACCACTGAGACTACTAATACAACGATTCGTACAACCAGTAGTGCTGACTGGTATACTGTACTAGTACCCCAGATCGGACGCCTTGCGCCGGCGCAGGGCGCTGCCCAGTTCGGAAGGGTCTATGCCGAGCAACTCGCCCGCCTGGGCGACAGGATTGAAATCTGCGGAGATCGTGGCTGAGAATGAAAAACTCTAGCTATTCGTCAAGATCTCAAGGAGGGGGTTGAAGACTGCAGGGGTCTGTGATTTGGTTTTGGGTTTCCAGAGCGATGCGTGCCAGAAGCCTTCAATGCCCCCGTGCCGCAGAACCTCAGGCGTAGAAGCCCGGCCTTCTGCAAGGTCTCTTCGTCGAGCTGGATGGTGGCACTTTCGTCATCTGTGCGGCAGGAGATGCTAGGACTGCTTTTCAGAACTGAAGAAGCTGCTGAGCTTGGCTGCGCTGCTCGGGGCATCAAGCTTCCTCGACCCCCGTTCCAACCTCTGACCCGACGCCTGAAAGACTCTATCGAATGGTTTACACTCCCAAGGTCTGTCTTCCCCTCCCTGGGTGCACCGTCGTCCCTCTCGGCCCCGGATAAATCACCCAGGTGGACCAGGCCGGCAAGCACCTCAGCAGGGTACACTTGCTCGGGGATTGTTCAATCAAAGCTTTCTTCGCCGTCTTCAGGAATACTGAAGTAATAGGGTCGCTGCTGGAACGGACGAGGATTTTTGCTGATTAGCTGCCCCCAAACCGACATTGGCAGCCCCTCCCGTGCACAGCGACTAAACCCAAGTTCGACTCTTCACCTCCCGACACAGGTAGGACTTCATGCGGCGGTGAAGATGGACGGGGACAAAAAGCCTTCGACTCCTTCTTCGAGTAAACCGCAAGTGCAACAAACCGCGAATGCTAAACCAAGTCCCTTGGGGGCGCCTGGAAGGTCAGGTCGATGTCTTCCTCACTGAAGCCGACATCGCGGAGAGCAACACACAGCCGGTTGAAGTTGCGGATGTCGAGATCCTCCAGTGCTGGAGGTTCATTCAGAGCCATTTCTTATCTTTCCGTAAATAGGCACGTCCTTAAAGCCTTTTCAGTAAACACCCGCCCATACTGGATGATTGCCATGCACTCGGGACACGCGCATGTAGAGGAGAGCGAAAACACAAGAAGGAGGTCCCGGCCAATCTTGTCTCGTGGTCGCGGGGTCTGCATGATTGCTTGTGAACGCTTTGAAGAATTGGCTGCGAAGGGTAGGGCAACCGCAAACCTAAATCACTCTGACAGTGATGAGGCCAGACAATGACGAGGCTAGGCGCAAGGTGGTGTTCCAAAACGCAATTTGTCGTGGTGATGTGTGCGGCAGTGCCCCGATGCCAATGTGGTGTGATCTATGCTGAGATGCATGGTGCTCTGACAATGTCGTGACCGAATCTTGAGTTTGGTTACACAGGTTATACTATAATCCATCCTCTTCTGTCATCTGCAGTGAAGTCAACACTCCTCCTACGCAAGCCCAAACCCTTCAACTCGTAGAACCCAAACACCAACCCCAGTCTCGACGGAAAACCCCCCAAACACCCTCAACCCTAATACTCTCACTGCCTGAGACATTCCGGTGGAGCAATGTGCAGCAAGACTTAGGCTCCTTGAATTGAGCATGGAATCGCTTCTCCTCGGCAGTCTCCTCCTCTGCCAGAAAAGGTGGTTGGGGGGTGTACATTATAGAAAAAACTATTATAAAAATTATACTATATTGTAGTACCAGATACCTATTTTGGGTCTCAAGCTCGCAAGTCTTCCGCTCTCCATGCGAGTACCCGGAGGGCCAAGGCGGAGATAGAATAGCATAGTACTACAAAGAGCTTGCAGAGGAGGCATGAACTCACTGAAGTTTACAGGCTTCCGACATTCGAGCCATAAATCGCAAAGACTTCATGTAGGAGCGAGTCTCCTGCGTGGCTGATGCCTGGCCCTCGTTCGCCAGCAGCAAGTACAACTTCCTCGATGTGTGAAAGGCTTCCGTTAGAGGTTTGGAACCCCACCTAGTTGCCTCGACACCTTCAAGCAGCATTTCAGTCAAGGTGAGCTCCAAGTCGTACGGACTTTGAAACGACGCGTATGAGACTCTGCAATACCACAAAACCCTGACCCTAAGGCCAAACCCCATATAGCTCAAACCTTGCAACCTGAGCCCAGAGGCCCCTTTATTTATGTGCCGCCAATCCCAACCGAAGATGCGTACTCATAAGACAGGTCTCGCTCTGTCCAAATGCAGCTTCTTCAGCTTCTCATCGGGTAGGCCACTAAGCATCTCCTGATTAGGCTTCAAGTTTAGGCTAACGTGCTTGGTAGGTGTTCTTGGCAGTTGCCGGCTGCGACTTGACTGGTGACTTTGAGACCAGCGTAAACTTCTTCCGTTGTCAACTTGGTTGAAGGCATCCCCGATGTCTCGGTACGAAGCAGACCGGAGCAGACCGAAGCCAGTGGCTCGGAGCCGAATCATTCGCATCTCTGAACTTGAAACTTTCTACCCCAACCGTGCAGGCTGTAAGCCAGTCGAGGCACGTAGAAGCAGTGGTATGTCCTTTCGCGCTTCGCATGCACGACGACCCGAGAGCTTTCCAAGAGATACGTGGTAACCTGGCTTCCACAGACGCATGAAGAAGGAAGCCGAACATTAAGAAAATAGAGGCTCCCTCTTGCGGCTTGGTGGCGCTGGCGTCACACAAGGTGCCATCCTCATCGAAGAAGATGCCTCGCCGCACAAACATGGACGAGACGCGGAACCCCATTCAGGTCGAGTCAAAAACAAAGTACTGCTGAATGGTCCGGGTGCTGTTGTACTTTCCGAAGCGCGAGGAATTGTTGTTCCTGGGAGGACAGGAGTCGCTGCTGTTGCGATCCGGCATCTCAACATACACTTGCCTCAACATTTTCAAGCCAATTTTGATCCTGAGAGTTCTGTGCAGAGAAAACAGATACCCCAACTCCCCTGATTACCCTGAACTCAAACCGCTGAACCCTGCAGTCCTCATAGTGACTGCATTTCCGAATGACTCCAGGATCGGCTGTGCTTGTAGCACTCGCCTCTGGATCTGGGCCTCGGAACCGACGCCCTCTGCGGGCTTTCTCCATGGCATTCCTATGTTTAACTGCAGCATCTTACGCCACCTCCCACAAGATCCAAGCACGAAACCTCGAAGCTGGAAATCTGCCAGCCCGGGATCGCAGCTGGATTCGAAAAAGATGCGTGCCGCCAAGTGCTATCTTAAGCAAGAACTGCACAGATGGAGTAGCCCAAAGCGGCGGCTTGATCCATCGCACTTCGCACGGTGTGCCAAATCTCAGGGCTCTATAATCGACAGATGCGCGAACACTCCAGAAACTTACCTCGCAGAATTCAAAACGCCCAGTCGCGGTCATTTGATTCGTTGACCCGGACACGTAGCCCAAGTACTCCATGACCTCGGAAGTGATCACAGGGAAGGACACATACCAGAGCTTCGGCGATTCTGGCAGAATGAAAGCGGGCAGCGGGCATGAAAGATGCCGGCCGGGCAAAGAGAGTGCCCTCCTCCGCGATGCTCGGCTCAAGCTGTACGCTTTGTTGGGAAGTGTTCGCACTTCCGGATCACGGTTCGGGTTACAAGTTACAACGTCTTGTCGAGAAGCTACCGCATCCCGAGCCGAAACCCCTACTTTCCCTCGAGCCGAGTTGCGATTTTTGCAGTCTCGGTCTTTCCAGCACCGCTTTCTCCAGAGATAATGAAGCCTTGGTTCTTGTGATCTCGTACCTGGCCGCCGCGTTTTACAATTTGCAGGAATGTCCTGGCGATGAGTAGTCCAAGAGTGAGGCGAATCAAGCCCCGATTATCGCAAGTAATAACTGCAACAACCACCTCACCATTATTTTGCTGGCAAGCAGATGATATAGATATAGAGAAACCATCAACCCCAGCCCCAGCATGCCGGTGGCACCAGGGCCCTGTAGGCCGTATCTGCGATTGCGTAGGGATGCGGTGGCAGTGCTCCGATGTGCTTCCCACGGTATCCTTGGACCGCAGAAGTCAAGCTCGGCACAGACATTCCCTATATAAGTCTGCGCAATTTCACAGACTTTCCGAGCTTGGAGATCGGACTCACAGATTACGGAGGCGGAGAACCAGAGCACAGTTTCCCGTACTGGCTGAATTGTCGACATGTCACGAGCACACTGCGCCTCGCCGTACAACCTCGCAAAAAGTCGAAACGAAAATCACAGGTTGCTTCCGCAGTCGCATGACTTCATAAGGTCTGGTCAAACACAAGGCGGGCCTTTGTGTGCTGTGCGTCTGCAACCCGTCAAGCTTCAAATCTGGGGGCAGGACCCAGTCACATCATGGTACGGGTTCACTGCAAGGAGCACCTTGGGTACAGCAGCATTGTGGAGACAGAGGGTGTGGCGTCAGTAGTCGGGTGCGGCACGCTGGCTGTGTAGGTGTAGATCTCATCAGCCTGCCGAGAAAAGTCATAACCCAGCTCTTCCTTCCTCATCCTGGCCGCCTATTATAGCCCCACGGCACGGTGTGCAGGCACTCGCCTCATGTCGCGCACGGAGATTCTCCAGGATCGTCGCATCGTTCAGGTGCACCAAGGCGGTGTTGTCTTGGCCTCATGCAGAGTTTACAAGCTTTCGGGGTGGAGATGCGCTGAAAACTTGTGTGGGGAAGACGTTGATAGCAAAGCTTTAGGACGCCTTGGAGCCGTCAACGAGTTTCTCTACAGATGTCAATGTTCGAGGCTAGAGCTCTTCCTGTATTTCTGTACTTCGTTTTGGAGACCCGGGCAGGAGAGTTATGGAAGGCTCCATGTGTTCAAACCGTTCACGCACGTGATCCCATGCCTCTCTAGATTTTCTATGTCTTACATCTCGGGGCAAGCACTGACCACATCTGCGCTTTTCTGTTTCATCCACATGGATCGATTTTCGCCCGGGTCCCTGGCAGGTGGCGCCATCATCACGAATAAACCTGCACAGATGGGAGGATTGATGGTATTGAAATGCAGGTGGTGATGCTTCGTGTGTTGATGGATGCTACACTGCTACACGATTCCCGAGAAGGCTGAACTCAAGATGAACGCAGTTTTCAGCTTGATGGGAAAAGTCATAGTTGGCTGAGGTTGAGGAACTCCTGTATAGGATCCTCACGTTTACGTGGGCCTCTTGGGCCTTACTTACAGCATCCCTCTGCCGCCGTAGGGTTCCCGCTGACTCAGGACATCATAAAGACCCCGGGATGAGAACAAGAAGAATCTTACAAATCACTTAATGCAGCAGTAAAGCGTTTGTAGTCCTGCTGATACTATTAACTATTAAGCAAGCCTCTGAGAATGACTAGAGCCGTAGAGTCGTAAAGGCCTCCGGCGCAGGTTCGATGCTGGGACGCGCTGCTGCGTTTTACCGACCTTGACGACCTCAGGTGGGGACAGGAAGGGAACATCTCTGGCAAAATGAGCCATTCAAAGCTCCCTCGAAGAGCCTAGGCATCAACCCCAGGGTGAGGTTCCAGCACCCCTCAACGCACTCCCGCAATCTTCCGCAAACGTAGACCCTGAGTTCAAGACACCTGAGTGTAGAGATTGAAGCGTCGCGAGGCCATATGCATCGTAGCCCAGGCAAAAACAAGTCAACCTCCCGAAGAACCCATGACCGAAAGCACAACCGAACCCTCAAAACCTTAGTCCTCAATGCTTGCTCAATCCCACTGCCATCCCTGAAGCCCAAGAACCCCTAAACCGCAGGCCCAAAACCCGACAACGAAAACCATTTCAGCGGCCGACCAGATCGCCCGCTTCCGGCGCTTCGGAAACAACTCCCGACATGAAGGGCCCTTCCTTTCCAGGTCGAAGTTTCGAGCTTCGGGCACTTCGGCTGCCCAGAGGGCCGAGCGGTGCCCAGTAATCAGGGGCTCGGGTGCTTGGCGCTTGTTTTTTGGCGCAAGCGCTCCTAAGACTTGGCTAGTTGGGTTTAGAATAATGGCTACTAGGCGAGCACTATGACGAGCAAACATCTGTATATAAGTGTTAGGTACGGGACCCTCAAGGAAGAAATCATTCGAGGTTCAGGTCTCCTTGTGCAGCTTCTTATCGGTTATTGCATGCCATAGGCTCATGATGGGAAGCCCTGGTCGAGCCCTGGCTTTGAAGCTGAAAGTTTCGTGGAAAAGGGACGAGTGGCAGGGAGCTCGTCGAGCCCTGTTTTGAAAAGCTCCAAACTTTGCTCTTCGGACCTTGCGAAATCTACGCGAATAGGAAGGAAGGGTCAGGAAGTGTAGATGCCGACCCTCCTTGAGAAGCTCGTCATGGAGGCTTTGCATAAGACTGTAGCCTGGGAAAGATGACGGTCGCAGATTTGACTAGGAGGTTGCATTCTATTTCCGACCTTCTCTGGCCTATGGTTTCCAGCTGTGCTCCTTGCGGATGCTCTGATCCCGTTAGCAAGCATTAGGCTCCGCTCAAGACTGTGAAAGAAGAAAGACTTTTCGAGCCCGCTGTTTTCCCCCTAGAAAAATTCCGGTATCACTCTACCACACAACCAATCTGAGCACTTTGCTACTGCAGTAAAGCCTGAATTCTAGCAGATTCTAGCATCTCCGAGAATCACGACCCAAAAGCCCATCCCGGGATCGCCATCTTTCTGGCTACGTCATGCTTGGTGGTTGGTCCGTCACCGATTTTTTGCACCCCCTAAACCTCGGGAAGTTGACGAGGCGAGGCTCCTCTGCTTTGCCTTCCGGGCATGGCACGAAGACCAGGTCGTTCACCTGCAACTGGGCATTTAGGGTTTAGGGGTTTAGTGGTTTAGGGTTTAGGGGTTTGGGGATTTAGCGTTTAGCCGTGGTCATGGCAGTGGTGACGACTTGGCCCCAACGCCAGGCCAAAACCTCCGAGCCCCAACCTCCTAAATCCGCAACCTTGGGAACAACACTCACCAAGGATCCCAAGCCACGAACTTTCCCCCTGCTTGGGGCCTTGAACTGCGCACTCGGCATGGTGGCCTTGGCCATGGTTTTTTTGCCAGAAAATAGTCTTTGTGAGGGCAGAGTCCGAGTTTCGTGCATCGGTGTACGGCTGAGGGTTTTGGTGTTTTCGGCAAAACCCTCAGCGGCCACAAGTAGGAGACTGTCTAAAGCTTTGACGGTTTGAGTCTTGTGGGCCTTGTGCAAAAGGCTTGTGGCTCTTCGGAGATCTGAAGGACTGCTTGCAGTTTGTGATGAGCCATGCGGCCAGAATTGCAAATGAACGTGGCAGGACAAACAATGAAATGATGCGTGTCGTCCCGTGTAAACAGTGACTACACTTGTCGTTCCGGCTGTAATCAATGCTGCAGGCCGTTCCGGATTTTCGGCCCTCCTCGACACGTCCAAAAAACACATACCGATAGAACTGCGACCCCAAAAGAACAAAATCAAGAACACCCAAGAAACAGCTATGTGTCCACTGCCTGCATCCGAGGCTCACTTATCTGGGCGTGCCGTGGCCTCTAGTTGATTCCGCCCTCTTTGAGCCAGGCGCGTCAAGAAGATACCATCATGGGCCGTGCATCAACCCCGAGTGGATCCTATAACCAAGCTTCAGTCTATGGAGACCTGAGAACCCCCAAATCGTGGCTCACCATCGGGATTCCCAAAGCAAACAAGCAGGACCCGTGTCAGAAGCTCGAGGTCAGTCAATCCGAAGGAAACCATCATAAGTTTAAGGTCACAGACTTTGGGTTTGAGGCCAGCTTGACAAGTAAGCGTGGCAGACTGATGGAATCAAATCTTGGAGCTCTAGGACCGAGCACAAAACCCAGCCTGGGCCCGCATGATAGGGTTTAAGGCGTGTTGCCGTGCTGGGGCTTCGCGACTTGAGAGTCTCTCGGTTTTAGGGGTGAGGTGAGGAACGGGGACTCATCCATGTTGTCGACTCCACTGCTGGCACCTCCTCAGTATGTAGCAGTACTACTCCTTGGATGGCAGAAGCATAGGAGATGCAGATCACACAGGCAGAAGCAATGCCAGTGCCACAACTACCGTCTGTACGTATGTTGATATGTCTGTCATTTACTGATGTCTTTTCATATTCTAGAGGTGCTATTCCAACTGCAGCCTGTGATCATAAGGCCCGGAGAGTCGACCCTCGGAGTCTGCGACAAGGACCCCGAATTTCACTAGGCAGCGATCTAGGGCCTTGGGCTTGAGAGTGCAAAGCGTTGCCAAAAGTCTTACCAGGGTTCATAAGGGTGCGAAACATGCCATATCGGTTCTACAAGGGTCTAAGGGTGTGACGGGTTTTTCGTCAGTATCCTGCTCTGCCCGTCCATACTAGGCTGCCTGACATATAACCTCAAAACCCCCATCTAGAAGCAGAGACAACGTCAGAGCTGAGTCTGAGGACCTCCTTCGAACACTGAGGGTGAACTCCCCTCTCCCCCCCTCCAGCGCCGTCTGTCGCGCTGGTCTGGCTGGCCCAGCCACTCATAAAGAAAAAACTTCCCGCGTGCATAGTCATTAATTGGGTGAAAACGAAGCACTCGAAGTCAGTGCAAGCAGCATGTAGCATTTCGCACGCTGCAGGAGGTTGGCGCAGCACAACAGCCGAAGAGTCCGCGCTGGACTTCATTAGGCAGTACACGAGCTACGCAGACGTGCGCCACATGCATTTCTTGTTTCTTGTGCTGCTCAATATGTTCAACGAAACAGCGTCACAAGAGAGCTGACGTCCGGGAGCAGCTGCTACCTGATCTTGCGAACAATACTACATCATGTAGCAAAGAAGAACTAAGCCCGGTTCAAAGGCAGTAGCCACCACAGATGACAGCTTGACGAAAGTGGGAATGCCAGCCAGGCAAACGGGGATCGAGGTTACTTAGAGTGACGTTCAGTAGAGTGAATTGTCCCTTCATCCGAAGATCCCTGGAGGTCGAACCCAACCTGGGTCTCTTCAATAAGTACAGTGACGGTACAAATAACATCTGTCGCAGCCGCTTAATGCTCAGAGTCCTGTGCCAAAGTTCAACGCTTGAAGGCTTGAAAGTACAGATGTCGCATCAAGACACAGGGATATACGTATACATGCACAACTAGCTATACACATCCGGTATTTTCGATAGTTATTATGCCAAGCATGCATTGGATTTGCAAGGGCTAGACGAAAGTTTCGCCGATGTTGTCGCTCCAGACGTTTGCCAAGTTACAGCAACACGGGTACTCGCAAGAATCACGCCATTCGGCAGTCAGGATTGGAAGGGGGATTGGCAACCCCGATCAACCAGATTCGACCAAAGTCAGCATTGCAAGCAATGCCCGCCTTAACCCTCCTCTTAAGTCTAAACCCCAAACACTCGAACCGTAAACCGTGAACACTGAATTGAAATGCTGCTGGCCCAGGTACAAGAAGTCGTTCTCTGAGATCTGTCGTTCGATGTCCTGCCGAAACTCGAAGGAAGCCATGCCCCAATGCTGCTGTCTTGTACTGCCACCCCGAAGAGTTACAGGGGCAAACAGCATGCCCTGGGCACTTCGGGACCGAGTGGACTTGCTGAATCCCATATTAAGGCCTGAAGCGTCTGAGTTCGTAGCTAGAGGCCTGCAAATGACCGAGCATCACTCAACTTACAGAAGCTGACATCGCTGTTCAACAGCCGCGAGGCCTCCGGACGGAACTGAAAAAGCCTATAGAAGCTGAGCAATACCTTAAAGAATCCAAGGAATAGCATCTCAACTCATACAGACGCTCCAAATACATGGCCCCGTTCCCACTTCCCCTTTCCTGTATGAGCATCTGACGCTGCTGATGCCACCACTCGCGGCTGCATTGCATGTGTTGGTGTGGACTCAACTCGCTTTCATCTGACCTTGCTGGCCCCCAGCCCTCCCAGAACAACCCTGAAGCCCGAAACCGAGCCTTGCCCACTTACGCTGCTGTCAGTTTTCCGTCATCCGGTTGGATTACAAAGCCATGTGCCAACAATGGCAGGCCCCGCCCGGGCACGAAGCGGTTTCATAGCCGCTAGAGCTGAAAGTACAAGGAGGTATGTGCTGGTACTCTGCGCAGGCATCTCTTTGCAGGTCTGTTCGACATGCAAGCGACTAGTGTGCCCGTGCATATGTATGTATGTATGTATGGATGTATGTACATGCATGTATGTATGGCTGCGCGTAACTAATCATACTGATACAAGGATGGATGAATGGATGGATGGGTGGGTGGATATATGCAAGGGCGAATGGATGGATGGAAAGTATCCCTCTCTGCTCATTTTCTACTTATGCTTCCACGAGAAGAAACCCGGGTGAGTCACTGCAGCAAGACATCTGGAAGTACCTCCCGGAGGCACACATGTCGCCGTGTCTCCAATGTGATCCCAGCAACTCCGCCAGCGACCGCCGGAAAGTGGAGACCGTTTGCTCTCTCTGGCAGTCCGCTTGCCTGACTTGAGGGACCATTGCATTTCTTGCAGGCGGGAGTCTTTTGGTGTTTAGGGTTTCTTGGGGCTTAGAGGGCTCATAATCAAAGCAAAACCGCACTGACGATCGGAGCGGCACCAGCCAATGAAAGTTCTCACCGAACTTAACTGACCGCCGCCCATGAGAACTCAAGGAAAGATAAGGCCGGGCCCTCCCTTCTTCTGTTGAGCTCAGGGTTGAGGATTTGTGCTTGGCTTCGCGTCTGAAGCTCCTCAAAAAACCTCGAATCGCCCGCAGCACCAACTTCCAATAACCTGGTTCGAAGGCCTCCGAAGGCAAGATTTGAACACACTGGGCTTTACGACTCCCGGCCGTAGAAGAGCATTGCCGGTGGGCAAGGAAATTGACGAACCATTATGGAAGCACAATGAAATTCAGCAGGGTTTTATAGGGCATAAGAAGCAGGTGACCTCCCCGAATCTTGCCGATCTGCACGGGATTCTCATGTAAGTAGACTATAGCAGAGAAGTCTGTGTCCAAGACCTATAGCATGCCTTCCAGCTTCAATCGAGTTGCGGCTTCTTGGGAGTTGTGCGCCTCTGCATGTTCACAGCAAAGTCCTCCGGATATAAGTCGGAGTACATCATTTTTCCTCAGGCTCAGCGACGCCCATGATCACACACGTGTCCAAGCTTCTAAGATGCTTTGACATTGACGGGTCTTGACTCATTCCGAGCAGGCACTTCCTGCAGGATCGAGGGGCGTGTTGCTTCTCTGGACTCCCAGCTGTCGGTGAGGACCAGGTCCCGACGGGACGGCGTCTGGCAAGCAGAAGAGATGTGTACGTTGGAAGGTTGAGCGCATGCCAATGCCCAACTGTGGGCATGGGATCCTACAAGCGCGCTATACGTGAACCTCAGTACAATACTCGTTTCGAAACTATCCAGGCCGGCATTCACGGCTTGATGGCCGAGGTAGCTGGCTGACAAAGCCTTCTACAGCATGAGGCACACTCTGTTATGGCCGTAAACCTTTTCAACGCATCTTACCCAAAAAGGGTCTGAGTCTGAAGTGCAAGCAAGACTCAAAACATCTCAATGCCGCTTTGGCTTTTACTACTGCGACCCCTCAGACTTCAAGCTCGAACTGTACATTCCGAGATATGGGAGTGCACAAGGACATGCCAGGCTCAGGACAGATGTGCTGCTGTCATACAAGCACAATGATGTGTCACATGCCAGCTTTCACAGCCCTGAGCCTTGCAAGACTCCTCTAAATTCCCAACCCCCCATAATACCCTCAAAAGCCCTTAGGACATGCCACAAACCTTATAAACCTTTAAACATTATGGAAATCCTTGTATGCAAGTAAAAACCTTTTCAGCCAGTGTAAGGCCCAGGACCCATCTGATCGCTGGGGCCTTCGGAGCCCGCTTCCTTGAGCCACTCGCCTGGAGGCCGGGATACTCTGGACTACAGTGAGGGCCAGTAAGGGCTAGGCCGCGATGCGGACTTTTGTGGTTCTGTTGGTGGTATATTTGTTATGTGATTTGACAGGGTTACCGGGTAACTTTTTTCGAGAGACTCACGGTCTGCAGGACCTCAAGGATTTGATCCCGGTTCTCAATGTAAGACTGCGACCAGCAACCCGCGTAGCCTTACCGTCTAAATCTTTGAAAACACCCTCATACAAGAACCCCTTCTAGACCCCTATAGCCCGCTCAACCATTTGGTTAAGCTTGCGAACATTGCAAGGGTTTTTGCCTCACAAGATTGTGACTGGGTATGATTCTGCTGGTGTCCTGAAAGCACCCAGTCGGGGTTGACTCGTTGTCGGTCTTTCGTTTTCCTGGAGGGTCTTGCGCAAGGCGCTGTGCGAATGATGAGGTTGACTTAGTGTAACTTCACTCAGCTCATCCATCAACGAACGAAAACGCGAGCCCTCTGTCCGGAACCCCAAATCCAATGGGTAGCGCGATGATCTGACTTCGAGATTACTCGTGCTTATAGCAATAAGTGCAATTCCTTAATTGCGACTGCTGCTGCAATAAGGCTGCTGCACGCACTCAGTCGCACGCCTCAGGGGTCCCAGACAAGCGATGGCTCCTTTGAGGAGTGCCTGACAGCAGTGCGCTCTATCTCTGTTTCTAACTCGGTCTGTAACTCTCTGTACAAACAGATGAGCATATACGAACAGTTACAAGTTACAGAGTTGAGATGCCAGTAGCAGCTCAGTAGCAATACTTTCTCGCTTCTGATGAATATGCCGTCCACACAAGCACTATTTGGCGACTAACTGATCGATGTAGCAAGTTGCATGCCGTCCTGTCTTCTTGTTCACTTTCTGCACGCTCACGCATCGCATACTGAATGTTCTTCGAGCAGTCGTTTCTACGTATTTGTTCGAGTGAAGCCTGTTATCTTGTGTCCGAAAAGCCGCGTGGATCCGTCTTCTTCGAATACCAGGCGGCCTTTAACTAAAACAAAGCCAGCATCACAATGGCAGAGCCTTGTAGGCCTGGCGAAGCGCTCGCCGGTGCCTGCGGCTGTCGAATCTACGGCTTAGGGCTTCGGGGCCGTGGAGTTTTTGGAGCCTTGCACAACCAAGTCAGTATAACACGAGGCTGGCGCGGGCTCCGAAGATGATGAGATCCAAGAGCCCGTCCCACTGCCCACCACCTGTATATGTAGAGTCAAAACAGACTAATTATCGGACGAAGCTACCACGACTACCTCGCCTAGTTTTTCAGCTACAGCGACTACGGCCACAGGTAATCAAGTTGAAAGCCTTCATTCAGTGCTTAGATCGCTAGGTCTATTGCGACTATAGGCTTGTGAGAGCGAAGACACTCCTCACCTCCCCTTTGCAAGACCAACGCGCCTGAATCTGTTCTTGGAGCCTCAGTGGAACGTCGTGTGAAGGTTGAACGGTTTTACAAGTAAGCATCTACAAAAACGCTTAAAATTTCAAGTATGAAAACACTGCAAGCATGCACCTCCCAATCTGTAGCATAAAGGGCTATCTTTAGACCTTGATCTCTAAACACACGAAGACATGCAAGCAGGAGCGACTCTAACACGGAAGTAGAGCGAGAGACAGACAGACAGACAGACAGACAGACAGAGCATGGCCACAAGGTCCTATCGCACCCTCCAAGAGCGCCGGGCAAGCTCTGCCACACGAACAACGAAAGAAAAGGACTACAACACGAAACATCGGACTTTAGGGTGACCTGAAGCCAGGGCCGGAATCGTGCATGCCTGATTTACGGAGAGCCGGAATATTAACGAACGCAAGACCACGAGAACTTGACTTGGAATTGCTGGAGAGAGCATCGTGTACATACCAAAGACGTGTAGGTCACAGATCAAGTCCGAGGTCTGGAACCCTGAGCCTTAAGCAACGAAGGAGGCTGTATTGACTGATCTAACGATGGGAACTGTTATGCCCGTCTGAGACCGTCTGAACCCGTCATGGAATCTGTTCCTACTCGGTCCTAATTTTGGCTGGGCTTTGACGCAGTTTAGAGTTGGGGTTTGAGGCTTCAGGTTGTTGAAAAATGGAAGCTTTCATGCTGCCACGGTCACCGGGTAGTTTCCTCGAGAAGCGCCTGCAGCTGCCGCTGGTGGGCAGCGCCCCTGCGATCAGGCTTCGCTCAATCTTGAAGGATCCCCTCTTCTTGCGAAGGCCTAGAATCCAAGCCGAAGTATCGAGACCAAGGCTTCCGGGGGCAAGTCAGCATTGACACCGGGTTCTTCAGAAGCCTTCTTCTTCGTTTCGCTGAGTTACCGCGCTTCAAGCTGTGCAAGAAACATGTAGGACCGCTCAAGAAAACATCGCGGTGTGGCATTCCAAATCAGACCGTCAAGATCGTCAAATGACCACCAAACCCTCTTTTGATAGAAATAACCTACGAATAGTAGAAAGGAACCCGAACATGCACAGTGTGTCCAGCGAAAAGCTTGTTTGTAATGGCTTGTGCCTAACTGATCAAGCTCACCCTGAGGGGCCACACCTAACATCCCAGGAAGCACCCACCCTACATCTCCTAAAACCCATGACAACCCCCGGATCACCTCGAGTTCATCTCCTCTGAGAGGACCGCCATTTTCGCTTCCAGTGCCCTACCTGTGTCAGGCATGCAGCCTGAGCTTCTTCTAAACTAGGGCGGCCCTTTTGGCATGCTCTCCTAAAGACGAGTATCTATACCTGGAGACCCAAACACACAAGCCCTCCTTGGACGGAGGGTCTGGACTGGCTTTTGTCATTCGATAAACCTGCTCTCGCTGAACTAGAAGCAAGGGCAGCAAGGGTATGCCGAAGGGCAACGGGATATTGTTGGCACAGACCTCTCGTGGAAAGAGGAGCTATGGTTGGATTTTCACCACTTTCGGAAAGATGCATGTGAGGATCCCAGTGTAGGGCCACTTGTGAACCAGACGCCCCCGATCCAAAACACACAATAAGTGCGTCTCGGATGCTGGCAGCCGGCGAGTGAAATTCCTGGCACACTTCGAGAAGAGGGCTGCAAAGGCGCATGCCCTGTCTTAGTCGCACAAGTAGTTCATGCTTTTCTCGACGCCGAGCCCTGACGACTTCCCTGAAAACCGATCACAAAGCGTGCTCAGGGCCACGGCCTGACCCTGAACCATGCTTGAGCTCATGTTACCCCGAAACCTTGAAGAGTTAAAGCAGCCGCACCTGGATTTCCGGCAACGGCTCCGGAAGCCTTCCGGGATTGAATCGGTCACGAACTACCCAAACAGAACCGACGGCGTACCGTCTGCTTCGAGGTTAGCACCCGTGCACAAGATTGGTTTTGGAGGCGGAGGTTTTTTGTGAGCATTGGCCCTTTCGAGTCGTGAGAAGGTTGCTGTAGGATGCCTTCCGGATTGCGGGGTTGCCTAGTCGATTAAAACATGAAGAGGTAAAGCAGTGATGAGGCTGGAAACGGTGTCAGGCCTTGAGCCCTAGGCCCTAGTACTCGCTGCTTCTGGCGTGATCCGACTTATGCTAGACTTAGTATAAGCATGCAACATAAAACCTACAGGAATCATGGGAAAGTAGTGGTAGGTATATTTCGTTCTCTCACAAATGGCACCCGCTTGGAGGTGAAAAAAAACATAGCGATACAGGATGATACAGAGCGAGGGGACATGTCACTGCATGGCCATGATAAAGTACACAACAATGTCTATGGTCTATGAGTGTATGACGCTGGCAATTGCAAGATGGCAGCCGAGCAAGAGCTCATTTTTCTTCAGAGGCGACCCAGGATATTGTATTCCAAGGCGAGGCGGCATCGTCTCCTCTTGACCTCGTCGGGAGCATCCATCAGTTGCAACACAGCGGCAATACAGAGGCACCGGTCAAGATCTCTTGTCAAGCTTGATGCCGTGCGAACCAGTGCGGGGTGGCCGGGTTTCCAAACCATCACATTGATCTAGGAAGGTATAGGGTGCACCTCAGCCAGGTGCGCAGAACCGGCAGGCCTGAACACGAAGCTGAAAAACCCTCAAGCCTTCCACTGCACCTCAAAGCCTCCAACTGCATAACGAGCTGAATCACGACGTTGAAGCTGAGATCGGGGCAGAGTAGGCCCTCCCCATGTTTATTGCACCGACCACTTCCACCTGATTCCTCGGTACAGCAGGCACTTCGTGTCTCTTCTTCGGTGACGGAGGCAATCTCACACATCCTCTCAAAGTCCGGAGCTCCTGTTTTGGAGAACTTCTTCAGTCCGAGTCATAGGTGAGCTCACGATTCCCACCAAAGGAGCTTCAATCCTGAAACCTTCCTGGCCCCAGCTTTTCAACACTAACCCCCCTTCCCGAGTTGGCGGTTGTAAGTGGGAGGTCCAAGTTGCCACATCTCAAACTCGGGTGCTAAGACGCTGAGACCTGAGCATTTGGAATGTTGGGCCCTTCTTTTTGTAAGCGCCTTCCGACTGCAATGGGCTTCGTTGTTCCCGGTTTGGGTTTTATGTTCGAATGTGGGTTTGGGGTCTATTGAAGGCCTCATTCCAAGCAGCGGGGTGTGGAGGGTTAGGTTTCGGAGCAATTGAGGTCTGGGGCCTCGTGACTTTAGTACCTACAACATGTCAAGGCTCTTGCTCTGAAAGCTTTCGCTGTCGTCTCTTGGCCATGGGAGTCTGAGGTGTACAGTGGTCTTACTTAAAAGTCGATGCGGATCTTGGCCTTCATGTCTTTAGCAGACGGCCATATTTCCCGAAGCTCCTCCGAATGCTGAAGAAGTTTAACCCGAAAACAGACGATGCGTTTACTACACTTCAGACTTCGGCAAGCCTGCGTGTCCGTCCCTCACAACCGCCAAAGATTTAAAGTAAGCCCAAAGAGCCACGTTCAGCCTAATATGATAGTTGAGTTCGGCTGCTCCATTTGCAGGGCTGAAGACCTCGGGCCCAGGCTGACGAAGCGTGTCCCTGGCCGCAGCGCTGCGACGACAGGGGCATCTTCCACCGGCCTCGCTGCCCGAATTCTTGGAGCTCTGGGAAGGCATCGTCTCGACTTGGGAGCTGTGGGGACAAAACAAGAATCAGAAATCCTGCCTGTCTCCGTTCAAGCCCAATCAAGCATTGCTTTGCTTTTTCAACTTTCTCGAGTCGCAGGCTTCCTGATGTCGCGGTACGTCCACTGCCGGTTGGCTTGAACACCCGGCAAAGGTGACTGAGCCGCCGTATGGGGCTCTTGCGGCAAGACGAGTGGCAGCGGAGCTACATCGACTCCAAGTGCGCCTGGTCCATGGCCAAGCATTTGAGTTTGACATGCGGCGCGGCTCGGGCCTGCGCAAGTGGGGCTTACCAGGTAGCGCACCTCTGGGAGCGAAAAGCAGATGCTAGCCAAGCCTTCCGTCCTCCTGTAGCCAGGCCCAAACATCCGAAAGAGATCTGACGGTGTTGGCATCAAGATCCGCAGCCGTGGTGCCGTGCCTGTTCAGAAGGAGAGCTCGGCAGCCTGCTGCTATCGCCCCGCAGTAGTCCTTGCTGTAGCTGTTTCCCACGTGCAGGACGTCTTTCAGCTCAACTTCTGCTCTACGTGCAGCCAGCTGGAAGATTGCCTTGTCTGGCTTCTCTACACCCTCCAGCTTTGAGATTACGCAGAAGTCTATGTACTCCGCCATTCCCAGAGCGGGCAAAACACTCTTCTCGTAGCTCTCCGTGGCATTCGACAGCACGCAAAGCTTCAAGCCTTCGACCGAGCGCGCCCACCGAAGCAGGGGGAGAGCATCCGGATATGCTCTGTAGGCTTCCTTGGTTTGAAACAAGGCATAGATCTCGGCGAAGCCCTTGTCAAAAGCTTCCACATCCCTGGACAAGGCGGTGTCCTCCACAAGCTTGCTGGCCACCTCTCGCCAGAACGTAAAGGATGAGATGGTCCCATGCCCGAAGAGAGGAAATTGCCGGCTGGTGGAGGTGAAGGCTGCAGGGAACCGGGCGTCGAGCTCTGCCGCTGGAGGCAGCACATTGGCTGCCACTCCACCCCGAAGGAAGCCTCCCGGGGATAGGGCCAATGATGATACGTTTGGCACTGGCACTTCGAATAAGCATCAAAACGAAGCAAAAAATACAATAACCTCTAATGATATCTGATAGCCATAACAACCCTGATGCAATAGTCTGCCATGGGGGCCTCGGTGATAGAGGGTGCCAATAGTGGCAGACCACTCCAGCAGTGTGTCGGTGACATCAAGGCTCAGAAGACGAATGGGCATTGTGCCTGTGATCGTGACTTTGACTACAAGATCCTGCCCGCAAAACTAAAAGTTCTCTTGCTGAATGCGGTGCGGACCGGCTATCTTATCTGACACTATCAAAGCCTTCCCGGAAGACGGCGACTATGAACATTCTCTCACTCAGGGTTTCAGAGACTCCGGAGCCCGAACTGGCTTGAGCCTGGGTCTCGGTGTGCTCGGCAGCAGCAGGGGGGCACACGAACCGGACAGACAGTGACAGGCAAAAGGACACAAGCAAGTCAGCCAGCCAGCCAGCAAGCAAGCAAAGCAATCCAAATCAATCCAAAGCAATTCTAAGGGATATACTACTCAGTTCACTGCAAGCAAGCAAGCAAAGCAAAGAAAAGCAAAGAAAAGCAAAGCAAGCTAAGCAAGCAAGCAAGCAAGCAAAGCAATCCAAATCAATCCAAAAGCAATTCTCAGCCATATTCTACGCAGCTCAACGCCAGCAAGCAAAGCAAAGCAAAGCAAGCGAAGAAAGCAAAGACGGCAAAGCAAGCAAAGCAAGCAAAGCAAGCAAAGCAAGCAAAGCAAGCAAAGCAAGCAAAGCAAGCAGGCAGGCAAAACAAAGCAAGCAAACAATGCAAGCCAAGCAGGCAAAGCAGGCAACGGGAAAGCAGGCCATCCCTCTCTTGGAACCTGAAACCTTAAGCCCAGTGCCGGATCAACCAACCCAATCAGGACCGAAGAACAAGTTGATTTCGGATGGTTTTGGGAGTTGGGTTTTGAGTTTACCGTTTCGGGCCTTTTGGCTCTAGGGTTCACGGCAGCATCAGGGATTAGGGTTTCGGTGTAGGCAACGCGAACACCGATTTCTGGTCAAATCATAGACCTTGACCCCAAGCACAGCGAAACCCCTTAACTGTAAACCCTCAACAGTGCGGCCTGCAGGTTGCTTCACCCGTGGAGAGGTCATAGTCAGCCAGGCCTAGGACCCCCCAATGCAGATGATGCGCCCGGTTGAATACTCAAGCCTTGACAACTGTCAGCGAACTAAGGTCTCCAATATGCTAGTCTTCCGTGAGAAGCGCTGTCGAGGGAGGATGCTAATCATCAAGGCTTTCGGTAGAAGAGCTGCTGGTTCTTCGAGGCTTGCAGTGGATGTTTGCTGGATCTTCCGATGTCGGTTGGCAATCCAAGAGCATGGACGAACCTCCTCAACGAAGCCTCGCTAACAGTTTGCATCTTCAGATTCAGATAGGTTCTACACACACTGGCAGGCTCACAAGCAAGATGAACACTAAACGAGCCTGCGATCAAGCCCGAAAGGTAACAGCTGGAAGATCCGGAACCAAATCCAACCATGCCTGCCCCTAAACCCCTAAACCCTAAACCCGAAGCCCTAAACCCTAAATATGCTCTAAATCCTCGCCAGCGGCTGTTGGAGGCATAGTAAGCCACCGTTGTGCTTTCCACTGCCTAGTCTCCGGAGGGAAGCTCAAAAAGAAAACCTATAGCCCGCACCAGAGCACGGCTTTACAAAAGCAAGTCCGAGATTCCGAATTCCGAGCTTCGGCTTGGGGTCTGCGAGTTCAGCTATCATGTGCATGTTTGAAGCTCCATGCAAAGTTATACTAGAACCCTGGCCCTAAACGTCTTAACGCCATGTATAACCCAGCACTGGCCAATCCTAATCCCGCCCAAGCTGGATCTTGCGAAGTGAGCCCAGCATGCTGGCCTCGGCCAGTCTCGGATCGGAGCACGCATTGAAGTCCCCCTGCAGGAACTGGACCTCTGGAAGAGACTTCGGGGTTTCGGGATTTGACTCTTGGCAGGTTTAGATGGCGGCTCAGGGCTGTGGAGCGTAAGGTTATTGATTTTCCCACACGCTATGGCAAAGCTTTGCTTTGGATTTCAAGCTGGTTCAGGAGTTGGGGTCCCCAAAGACATCTTACGACCCTTGCAGGCTGGGCTGCTCACCAAAGCTCACAGCATAATGCAAAGAAGCCAGAAGCCTGTCAACACGCAACACAAGCAATCCTCGGGCTCCAGGCTTTGCTAGCTGCATCTGGCCTGCACGTATCGATGATTCGTATGCTGGAAGGGATGGTTGGGGAATACACATATGCCCAAATCCCTTGCGAGCGGTCCGCTTCTGTTTCTCGAATGCTCTAGTCCAATTGAAACCTTTTCGCTTCTTTCCCTGGCCAAATGCTCTACTACGCACGGTCTGCTCGTTTCTCGACAAGTTCACTCAGTTCTCCCTGTTGAAGTGATCTGGTTCTTCTTTTCACTCGTAGTTGTACGTATGGAGCGGTTTGCCCATGCTCTCAAATGCTTGAATCGCTTTCGAGCGATTTGCTGCTGTTTGTCAAAGGCTTTACTCCCTTCCGGGCGGTTTGATGCTATTTTTCGCATCTTTCGCGCGAGTTTCTTTCTGTTTTGGGCGGCTTGCTCCCTTCCCGCAGACGCCATAGTCCCTGTCAAGACAGTTGCTCATTTTGCTTCACATGCTCCAGCCCCTTGCGAGTCGTTTGCTCCTTCTTCGCAGAAGCTCCAATCCCTTTTACTGCGTGCTCCTGTTTCTGAAGTGCTGTCGTCCCATTCGGCCGGCTTGCTGCTGTTTCTCAAATGCCGTGGTCTCCTTGGGGGAGCGTTTTGTTCCGTTTTCCCCAAGTGCTCTAGTCCCATTCAAACGGTTTGCCAGATGCTGTTTCTCGAGCAGCTTGCCCTTTCTGTCAACGGGAAAAACGCAACCTCTGGGACACAGCATGCACTCCAAAGTCAGCTTCACAGATTCCAAGATTCATGACATTGTGCGGCCTAGGTTTGTGCCTTGAAGGCCGCAGTGGCGAAGCGGAGAAACCGGTCAAGCGTTCCACAACAAGATACGGGGTGTCGAAAACAATGGATGGGGAGGCGGGAAAAAATCCAAACCCTCAAGCCCATATCCTGAATCCCTTACAGGAGCCTTCAGCCTCTTCAGCCTCCGCTCAACCGATAACACCGCTAGGTAGCCTGAAGTCGGCCCGGAGCCTCTGCTCTGCCAGTCGCTCCAGGGCAGCTTGGGCCTGAAAGAAGCAGGCTCTTATCTCCGAGGTTTAACTGGGCATATTAGAAGTTTGTAGGGCTGATAGGGCCTCTGAGGGTGATGTAGGGTCGATTGCTTTCTTCTTCTGCGGGGTTCACTAAAAGTCCAAAGGCTCCGGTGGGGTTTGGGGCGTTGGGAGGAAAGAATTCAGGATTCGAGTGCCTTGGAGAAGTTCGTGCACGGGGCATCGGGTTTCGGAGTTTGGTCTGGAGTCCAGAGATTCAGTTGCGTCGGGTTGGTTGGTGGTTAAGACTTATTCAAGTGCCAGTTAACATCAACACCGTCGCTCGTGTTTGGCTGTGAGCTTCACACTGTTGCTGAAAACGAGTGTCTGTCACTCCGTATACTGAGGCCAGTGTCAGCATCCTCCGCAGAAAAAGGATCTCTTTCATCATCATCTCGACCATGAAGTGGGGCATGAAATGCTAATCCAAGCATGAGCCCAGAATTTCTCCAAGACTGCCAGGCCAAATTTTCGGCCAGCCTGAGTATGAACCTGCCCTCTTAGACCGTTCTAGGCCAATGAACGCAGACCCTAGGCCCCTCTATTCAGTCCGCCTCCGCGTGGCGAGAAGGAGATAGCTCGACCCCGATCACTCTGCGCGCCTCAGACTCAATGCGTCTTCGAGGGTTCAGAGGTGCCCAAGCGCTGTTGTTGGCTCAGCGTCGCCAATCCAGTGATACACAGTGCTTGACTTATTCAATCTTATTCACGAACTCTACATGGCATCACAGCCATCAGCTTCGACATGATGCCCAGGCGCCGGAGAAAGCAGCGCTGCAAGAAGGACGAGGGTTCCTGAAGGAGGGATCGCTGTTGCAGGGATCTAGGGTCAAGGCAGCGCGAAGTGAAGTCATTCTGCTCCCCTTCACCTGATAAAGTTGGCGCTAAACCTTCTCAGACCATGCCTGTGCTACAGCCCAGGTCAAGAAAGACGTCGTCCAGGGTCAGCGGCCTCAGCAGAGACCGCCCGGTGTTGGAGGAGCCATGAATCTGAAACGTCTTGCTTGCCTGCTGTGAGATGATGCCTAGAGAGAGCAGATGGAAAGTACACTCCGCCTGGGAGGAACGAACGAGCTGATGCTGCTCGCGGTATCAGCAAAGGGAGCCAGCAACTCACGATCGAATGCAAAAAGAAACATGGCTGTCTTGTGGCACAGTCTGTATGTATACATGTGCATAGACATATACACATACATGTACATGTGCATATACATATACATATAAATACATATACATAAGCATATCATAAATATACATATACATGTACATATGCATATACATATACGTATACAGATACATATACGCAAGTATGTATATACATATATAGTTTGTATATGCACGCATGCATGCATGTATGTATGTGCATACGTACCTACGAACGTGGGATTTATGTATGTATGCATGCATGCATGTATGCATCTGCGCGTGTGCTTCTGTCTGCCCGATATCGTGTGGACCGGCCACTGGGCACCATCTCAGAGACCCTACAGCCTCCAATCATCTTGGACCCCGCAACCTCTGAGGTAACACACGGGCATTACTAATCAGAATCGGGTTTTGGAATACGTTACAGTATGATTGCAACCTGAGGAACAGCATAAGGATGTATTCAGTACCTTGCATTCGGAGGGAATGACAGACATCCCAAGCCGAGGTGCAAGGAAGACAACAGCCGAGCCCCGATTTCGGGCCTCATTTCGCAGAGTTCACACGGGCTTCTGGGTTTGAGAGTGTAGATTTTACATTGGAGTATCAGAATGTATGGGACCGTATCTTAATTGTAACATGGACAATAGTCACACGTATCCCCAGCCCTAGAGCTCGTAAACCCCTGCAGCCTTAAACCCGAGGCCCAAAACCCTAAACCCTGACACACTAAGCCCCTAAATCGCAACCCAATAACATCAAACGAAAAAAGGGCTCATGGTTGGCTCAATATTCCTCGGCCAAGGGATGTTTGGGGACGAGTAGAAACCGCTCCGCAACATCTTCCTTTGACAGTTCGAGGAGGGTACAAACTCCAGGGGCATGCCTAAGCCACCAGAAAGAAAGGCTGCAACGGCCACAGCTCTGCTGTGCAATACGACAGGGGCCTCAAACTACTGGTGCCGCCAGAAAACCACGAAACAGAAGGAGCAGCTTAACTGGCTTCTGAGGTACCCCAAACTCTCAGAGGCCCTTTTGAAAATCCTTGCGCCAGGCCCTACCGTGCCCTTAAGAAGTTTCTTTGGGTAAGTTGGAATATGCTGTGTCTGGCCTGGCGACTCCAGCTGCCAACCGTTGTTGTTCGCCCCGGCAGCATTGAAGTAGTCTACCTGGCGCAGCACTTCGGGGGGGAGTTACGGATTACTTCGAGCCTCAGGGGTTTTTGGGTTTGGGGCTTCGGGGGGTTCTGGCTTTCGGGTTTTGGAGTTTGGGGTTTCGAGCAATGCGCCTTCACGTTTAGGGTTCCCGGTGTAAGGGCTTTCGAGGTTTAGGGTTGCGAATTTAGCTTCCATGCGCCAATGATGGGGTCATCGAGGGGTGTAATGTTGCTTGGGGGTGACAGCGTTTAGGGTTATGATCACGATCATCAAACATCGTGGGACTTGTGCCCTTGATCCGGCCAAGAGCCATCCGAGACTCCGGCATGACCGCATGGTCGAACCTATAGTTGACAAAGTCTCGAGAAGTACAGACCACGCCTGCTCTTCCCGACTGGCCAGCTCAGGATCCACGACATCCTGAGCGTAAGACAGGATGTGACGGCGGATCGCTTCGCTCTGGCCTTCTTGCGGTGAGAGTGTGGAAGCAGTGATCATCACGGTGGCGATGCTGAAGCTGTTACTACAATACAAGAACCGCTGCCCTCAAACGCACAGCCACTTCCAACCCAGCCTACCTTTCAACCCCCGACGTCTAGGATTTAGGGCCTGCATCTTCGCTGCTCGAAAAGCTCAACTCCGAACTTTGGTAGTGTGCGCACAGAGTGTATGTGTGTGTGTGTGTGAACAGTTCTCGCAGCTTCCAGGTGGCTTCAAGCCGAGTGTCGTAGAACACATCCCGCGAGGCGCCTGCATCCTTCAAAGTGGCGATCCTCGAGCGGTTCGCTTCTAGAGATGGCATGGGCCGAGGGTGCCTGGTTGCAAGATGAACGGTTTCTTCCGGATCGGGTGTAAGTTGTAGCGTCTTGGTCAGCGCACTGGCGTTCACAAGTCGGGGCTTGAGACAGTACCGAGCATCCACAGTTTATCTGAACGCGCAGCTGCCACTTTGGTCGCGCGCGCGAAAAGACTGAAACCACAGCCACAGTTGCGGGCGAATGTCACTAGAACACGAGTCTGCCTCACTTTGCTTCTCTCCCACAGATAAGCGGTTTTTTGGGTACCTTCATCATTCCCTGCATGCCAGCGCAAACCTAAACCCCTGCAGACGACTGGAAACTTTGATTAGAATGGTAAAGACCTCATAGAGACAGCTCGCCTGCTCCCCGAACCTAGTCTGTCCAATGACCACCCTCTGACTCGAAGCTTCACACTTCCGAGTTCTGAGAAGGTTCTTGTCGGATACCACGAGTCTTCCTCGGAGCCTCACTCCTTTATTGACTTACCCCTCGGCACCCACAAAGGCCCTGCTCTTTGCGGCACCAAAGAGCGCTCGCCGCATCTCCGCCGTGATGGGCGGCAAGGGCCGCGCCGCCAGGGCGGCGGCTCTGCCGCCACGAATCCGTGGGATCAGGCACGGAGGCCTGGGCAGGGTTCTGGGGCTTGGGTTTTAGTGTGCCTTGTGGGGTTGGGATTCCGTGAACTTTAGGCTTGAGGGTCTTCGGCGGTCCAGAGCAATTTTGCTCGAGGATGATGTGTGGTAGGCTTCTTGGTGGGGGGCGCTTCATGAGGTAACTCTCTCGTTTGAGCAAACACTTGTTCGACTCCCCAAGGGCCGCCACATTCATCGAAGCTCTCTGCTATGTCGCTGCTATGTAGACTTTCCACATTGACATGTTTTGCGGTTACATCTGGGATGCTTGAGCTCTTGGGGTAGGCAGAGAGCTGCCCTTCGGCAAGACCGAAGCCTAGGAATATTGGGCGCCCGTTCCTGGCGATCGGTTTGGCCTTTGATGGCACCGAATTCCGTGAACCTTAGACCACATGATACGGCGGGAGCATGGCCAAAACTTGCCCCCAAATCACAACTGATACCAACGACGAAAACAACAACAACCAACAACCAACCATGGCCAAACCAAAAACCCTAATCCCGAGACTCTGTTCCCCGTCCTCCAGACACACAGCGCCGAAGCGAGCAGAAGCCACGGCAGGCCCCACATCCGAAGCCGCCATCGGACCGTTGGAGGGCCGAGAGCACGTCGGAGAGAAAGTAACATGTGTGCAGTCCGAACTCCGTACATCCCAGATGGTCTTGTGAGTTCAAGTTCAAGGATGGCCTCGCGTACTTCTTCTGGTTTCACGAGCTCTCTCGAATCCCTGAAGTTGAACGTCATACGATCGGCCTGAATTATGACCTCCCAAGGCTCGTATTCACGGCTGGTGCTAGTAGGGTTTAAGAGGGGCTGTTTGTATTTAGTCAGCATGTCTCAAGTTTTTGGGTAAACAATCTACTTGATGCCATGGTAGAGCAATGACACAGCAAGCTGCTCGGTCCGAAAATCAGTCTCCGTTGGCCTGAATCTCAGCCGAGTTGCGGGGTCTGCCTATAGGGTCCCGAAAATCCAGATACATCAAGCATGGCCGAGGGTGAGGCACTGACCGGTGCGTCCGAGACTTATGCCCCCAGATGAAAATCTGAGATGGCCAGTTCGTGGTGGGCAATGTTCGCCCAAACCGTTCCCGGCGGTACCCTGAACCCTGGAAAATGTTATGTCGATCCTACATCCTGAGCCCAAATCGCTGCAATACACTCAGAAACCCCTCAAATCACACGCCTGCTGCCAGAACTCCGACAGGGAGAAGCCACCTCCATGATCGAGTTGCGTTGCTCCTCGTCGTGGGGCTCGGGCTTTGGATAGCTTCACAGACTCAGGATCTTCGAAGTGGGATTGGAGGCTTCGGGGCTGACAGCTCGCTTCGATAACGGCTTGTTTTTGTCAGGTCCGCGGAAGGTGGCACTGCAGCTTCAAAGACGGTGCTAAGACTGCTATGACGAGCGAGATCCCGAGGAGTCTAGACAGTCTAGCTGATTTCTGGCTGTGTGCTTCCACCCGTCTCGGTAACTTACCGGTGCTTTGGCTTCGTTCCCTGAAAGGATAGACCACCATAAAATCTGAGAGCCTCCTGGGCAGAATTTTGAGAGGAGTGATTCAGATCAACATGGCATGCCAAGTGGAAGTCCTCCTCAGCGTGCTTTGTATCCGAGAACCTTGGGTGATCCTCACCAGGGTGTGCCTCCGCAGACAACGCGCTGGGCCCTCTCGTTGCACTTTCACTCGATGGGACCTTTCGCTCCCTCCCCCAGTTCCTGTTCATTCATGTGCCCTCCACGCTAGCTGCCTACATGCTAGACTGCTGAACTGGCAAACGACCATACTTTCTGTCCTGCAGGCCTCGTGAGTTTGCCTCCTCTCTCTTTGCTCCTCCTCTGGTTCCACTTCTTCCTCCAACTCCTCCCGGTATTCCTCTTCCTCCTCTTCCTCCTCCTCTGCTTCTTCGTCTTCCTCCTCCTCGTCTTCCTCATCTACCTCCTGCTCTTCTGCTTCCGGCTCGTCCACTCTGTTCCGATAGCCCTCCGGATCTGCCCGGCTGAACATCTCCGGCTCTGACTCGTCCAAGAGTTCCTCCGCTTGGGAGGATGTCTGATCATGCTCCTGATGCGCCGTCCCTCTGTCGGCGGGATCAGCTGCGCCTCTCAACCTTGGCAGTAGACGGTTCAAACTCACATAAGTTCAAGAAACTTGGGCAGTTGTCATCGACCTTCGGGGGGCGTATGGGAACTGAAAGTTGCAAGCACAAGAGTGCATTTAGCAAATGCAGCCCCGCGACTCCTCGAGAAGCTGTGAGGAAGACGCAGCGGCACCATGCGGTGGAATGGTCTCCGAAGAGCAGTGCGTGACGCCCTGCATTGCAGACACAAACCAAACGTGGCCCTGCGACTGCTCTGGAAGATTGAGCTCTTCCTGATGGTCTCTCTCCTTGGTTCGTTTTTTTCGACACTCAAGACAGAGGATCTACTTCTCGGAGTCCTGCCTCAAAACAAACAGCAAAGGTTTTTTGAGCTGAGAATCCTCTTCATCGCGCCTTCGTGCGAGATCGTGCTGGTGTTGGAGCTCTGCTTCGTGCCTCTGGCGCTGCGCTTCTCTTTCTCGCTCCCGCTCCTGGGACGTATGCGGAGAGCTCAGCTGGGTGAGTAAACTACTTGGGCGAGGTCCCGCATATCTCAACAAGCGCTCCCGAGAGCCATGCCTGACTACAACGGCGCAGGGCTGCTGAAACCCATGTTCTTAGTGATATCCAATAATCATCTGGCAGAAGTAAGTAATGAGGCAGGTTGGCTATGCGGAAACTTCGGCACCTATCCACACATCCCGGCCTCCTCCTCCTTCGCCATGTGCAGCTCCTCTGCCCTGCGCAGTTCTTCCTCATACGCCCTCCGACGCTCCTCTTCTGCCTCTTCTTCCGCCCTTTGTCGCTCCGCTTCCTCTGCGGCCTCGAGCTCCTCCTGTTCCCTCCGCAGCTCCTCTTCCTCCGCCCTCCGGCGTTCTTCCTCTGCCCGCTGGCGCTCTTCTTCTTGTGCTCTCTGGCGTGCCTCTTCCTCCTCCAAAAGAGCCTCGCAAAGCAATAGACGGCAAACGGCGACTGCTGTTTCGGTCATACATCGCACTGAAGACCAAACTTAACACTTCAACGCAAGTGCCCCCTCCCCCTCCATGTCAACCCAAGCCAGTCAAAGGACTTGAAAGAGGCACGGTCCCACCTGGGCTTTCTCCCTCAACCAGGTATCCAGCCTTTGGTGGGCTCAGGTAAGGGAGCATGCCGATTTATCCGAGAACCATGGAATGTCGTTCGGAGGCTGTGAAGCCACTCGAAGATGAAAATTTCCTACATTCTACGAGGCCAAGTCCACACCGAGAGTCCGTGAACGCAGCAGCCACCATCTGCGCATGGCCTTCTGCACGCGCTGCAGGCGTACCTTCACCAAAGATATACTGATCAGCTACTCAAAATCGTCCAATTTCGTGCTTTATCCTCGGGGCTGCGTTTCTTGACATCCTGAAATCTGACTGTAGATTCCGAACTCCGAAGCCTCCACCCTATCACTCGAAACCTGGGGGCCGGGTTTGACGAGCCTCAGCCATCACCCACAATGTCAGCCGCACCGCGCCCATGGCAGCTTTCAGCCGGCGCTGTGCCCGCAGACGCCGTTGGAGGAGGCGCTCCCTTCAGCAGTCTGTTTTGGGGCCCATCATTTCCGAAAATGCCAAGCGCAGGCTTAGATTCTGGAGCCGGCATCTCCTTCCAGGGCCTTTGTTCGACGATGTGCAACTGCCTGCCTGATTTGCGAATGGAAGTTTCAAACGGCCGTGCTTTTTCCATGAGTCGTATCAAGACTGTGGCCGCTTGCTCGAGTCTTGTCGAAAAATCAACTCTAACAGACGAGAGAAAGGGCGCGGAACCAACATCGCCCGCAGAGACGGTTTCTGGCGGACGACGATGACTGGCATCGCACGGGGGTGTGTCGAGTCTTGCCCTACCAAACGACCCGGCAACTCCTCATATCAAAAAGCATGTAAAATCTGCAGCTTGCATCGGCGAGCACAATGGTACCGAGATCAAACGCGGCTCACACGAGATTTCATCACACCACAGTCTCTGTGCCTGTGCTCCTCTTCGTTCCTGTCTTGTGGACTCTCAGAACATTCTGATCTGAACCCCTCATAATTTCTTGTTTGTCACTGTGAGCAGTAACGCGTTGGCTGCTGTTGTATCGCGTGTTCGCTTGGACGATTCAACACGAGCGACTGCAATTGCACATTTTGATAGTTCGTCTTGTCGTAACTCCTACTTGCAGACGTTGAAACCTGTTGAATGCTCCGCACACATCTTCTCACTCTTGTCGTTGCTTGTTGCTGATGCTTCGCATGTCGGGCTTGCAAGGCACATGATGAGGCACATGAAGCGCGCCCAGCTGAAAGGAACGCTACTCGGAGACCTTCTGCCGTTGCAAGATGAACAGTTAGTTGCGGTTCCTGCAGCCCAGGCCAGGCCCCTCAGAAGGAAAGGTAAGTACGGCTCTCAATTCTGCTCCTGCCTGAGCAAGCCCCGAAAAAGTGCATCTGCATGACCCGTGAGCTTGAAAAGTCTGAGCCCAAACGTTCAACCAAGACGCGAGAAGTGCAATCAATGCAGTGCCCCAAACCTGCCTGGCGGTCGCGAGCAGCGGCTGCAACCGACCGACGAGTAGCGCAGTTGTGGCCAACCTTGTGTCCCAGTCGAAAAACGTAGTTTGGCGGCTCGAAAAATCTCGACCCTGGCCATTTGCATCATTGTGACTATGTAACAGTGTAGAACCCGCACCCGCTGTACATCATCTGCTGTGCTAAAACGACATATGCTACTACTTAAGACAAGAACTGCCAATGGGTACAAAGACATACACTCCTACGGGAAATTGATATTCAACATGAAGGCAGGTAACCACAAGCCTGACTTTTGGGCTGCGAACATGCTTGTGTATGTATATACACACACATGTACATATATATATATATATATATATATATATATATATATATATATATATATATATATATATATATATATATATATATATATATATATATATTACACATGTATATCTACATATCTAACGCATTGATACTAATGCTGACTATTTAGAAACCCGAAGCAATACAACGGTAGACAACAAAAGAATTTTCAGAAAGATAAAAGGATATGGTATAGCCGATAGCATCTTCTACAGAAACTCCTGCGACCGCAGCGACGCTGCGGAGGCCCTGGCAGCGCGAATCTCCTCGAGAAGCCTCGGAGCAGAAACGGAAGCAGCCGGAGAGAAGCGCTTTGGGAACCGAACTCCATATCTCGGCTTGGAGGCTGCCAGCAAAAGGGGATAAAAAAGGGTTCGAAGCCTTCGAACAAGAGTGTGCAAACTTGAAGTTGAAGCTACGCTAGCAACAGCCTGTCCTTCTGTCTGCCACCAGGGCACTTTGGTAGGTAGTGGCAAAGCTGCACCGCATGTATTGCCCGAATCCACCTGACGTCTTGCCAAAGTACTTCGGTGGGCCAGTGGTTGTACGTATGTAATCGTATGCATTTGTGTGGGTGCACCATACCTGGGGTCGTGGGTGCCTGCTGCGTGGTCTGTGGTTTAAACCATCCCGCAGAGTGCTTCTGGCCAAAGCCAGCCAGAGGGCCAAAGTTTGCATGCAACTGCTACTGCAACCACGGCCACTGCTGCTGCTCCTCGGAAACTACACTAGTACCGCTACCACTACCACTACCACTACCACTGCCACTGCCACTGCCACTGCCACTGCCACTGCTACTGCTACTGCTGCTACTAACTACTACTGCTGAGATGCTACAGGTCCTTCTCGGTACAGCAATTGCACGTCATGCTTCGGGCTGTGCCTCTTGCGGATGATGCCTTGCACGATGCGCCGAAGCGCTTCAGGATCTGGGACAGCGCCTCGAAGCAATGAGGACTGTAGGGTTTGAGCCTACAGCCTAAGGGTGGGGAAGTACAGGACATTAAATTCGAGTTGCTGAGTAGTTCTGGAGAAGCTTCAGGTTTGGATTGAATCGTTGGAGTCCAGATTGAAGCAGTCAAGACGCATCTGTTGATAATCGTTCCCTCGCTGCAGAATCTAGTCTAAGGCTCTGCCGTATGACCTTAGCAGTGCACAATTGTGTCTCATTTCCGCATATGGAGAGAATTCTCTACTGAGTTCTTATCCCGGTACACTCCTATAAAGCTACAGCCGTCAGCTAACGTTACTCTTGGCATGCCTACTCTTTCTAGCCGATGTTGTTGAGTCACCTTTGCGGTGCCAATATTTTACTTCCCTAGTACAGTGCCTAGCGGTTGGCAAAATACAGCATTACCACGCCTGTGTACCGAGACGTCTATACGTGCATGTGTCCGACTGCAACCATCGTGCCAAGAAACATGCAGCACTACATGTGATTGTTCGGTCGGTTGCGTTCTGTTTTGATTCAGGTAGCATTGTATATAGTTCCGATATCTGTACATGAATCTACACGCCTCCTGTTACAACACAACTTACTGTTGTTGTGTCGCTCTGCTCGCACAGGGCTTGTTGAAACGGCCATCTATACATCGCTCTCTTCCCGCATCGTGGAAACACACTGACATGCTATCGCCGGTATGTACCATGGTATTCCATTGGGTCTGTTCGCACCATCTCGCTGCATCGCCATCATAACACAGCTCTCAGCTGTCAAACAGATCTGATTCTGGAATTAACAGAACTTCGGGGTTCCAGATACGCTGAAACATGCAGAGGATGAGACAATGGCCGTAGCAACTGTTCCGGCTGTCCATCGATCCCATCTATGCCACGTTCAGCAATCTTCAAAACTCCGGAGAGAAGCTCCAAGCCCTGAGCCCTCAATCTAAACAAATGCAATCCTGGGCCTTCGGAGCGTAGATCCTCGAGGGCCTTTAGACGCCCAGCCTTGCCGCATGCCGTACAGTGACCCGATGCCAACGATCAACAAGCGATTCCGACATGCCGAACTAACGCTGCTCTGACACGATAGCAACCTCGCAAGACAGAGCATCATCTCGAAACGAAGGCTTATCACATGAAGGGACAGTGGGAGGGAGAGCGAGAGAAGGACAGAGACAATGGTCTGCAGCCGAAAGATGCAGAGAGTCTTCGGTGCACTCCGGCCTTGAGGAAAAGCCGCGAGACGCCCAGCTCCCAGTCCTGACCGAGAGTTGCTGCTGCTCCGAAGATGCTGGAAGGCTGGAAGTAGAAGGTTTCCAAGCCCGGGCTCTAGGCGTTTGATTCACCGCGCCTCCCAACCCGCATCGCTTGCGCGAAGCATTCGAAGATTCTGACCCCATCTTATCAACACCGCCCGAACTTCAGGCAAAGGCTCCCTACATCGCCCTACATACCCTTGTCGACAGCTATCAATTGCCTGGCGTTATGCTGTCGCAGTGACTGAGTCATGGTAGGACAACACTGTTGCGACGTTGCCTCGTTGGGCACGTCGTAGGCCAGCATCAGGGCTTCGATGAATGTGCGCATCCCATAACGCTGGAAGCTCTCCGGCAAAAGGCTCCCTGAGGGCAAGCAAGCGACCAAGAGAGATATCATCGTAGAACAACAACAAGCAGTAACTGCGACAAGAAGAACAACAGCTGCACAAAAGCATTGGAAATCATGTGAGATGAAAAGAATGATCATGACTATGACTCCATAGAGCAAAGACCTCCCCCCTGGATGTGCAAGCAACGTCGCGGGGAGGGAGGAGCGTAGCTAGGAGGAAGAGCACGAGTATAGTAGAAAGCACTGATGGTGCGACGATATTGCTAACAATAGTGAGCATCATGGCCATAACAATACAGCTGACTAAGTAACAGTCCCAGGTCAGTACGAACAATATCAATGGTAATGCTAATAACACCGAGCTGAGAAAAGAGACAGCATCGCAATAGCTAGCGATTGGCATACAGCACCTTGGTGTGGTATTGTAACTCAAAACAGTGGAAACGACCCTGGCCGTAGTAAGTGCCACCATGACTCGGGAGTACATTTATGCTCGTAGCAATAGTGACATCCATCTAAAATCAACCCATGAAGTGCAACGTCTGAACTGCCCCAGAAAATCGCACCAAATACACAAAACGACAACAGTCAGCGGCAGTACGAGACGTGACCGCACGAACCATGCTAGCAACAACGACGACGACGGCTGCTTCTTCGTCGTAACTGCACGGAAGTGGCTGAAGCGGCCCACGATCTCCTCGAAGTGACAGCGGTTGGGATAGCCGTCATGCATTATCCGGACCAGCTCGATAGTGCCACACCTTCATACTGAAGTGTCGGGTTTCCGGCTTTAGGGTTCTAGGGCTTAGGATCTGGTGATGGGCACTCTCGCTCCACCTTGCAAAACCCTCTTCCTGTGCTCGTTTCAGCATGGTTGAACTTCCGATGCATGGCAGGGCATGCCGAAATGCCGCTGCGCGCTTGTTTTTGACACTTGGGCGGCAAGGGTGGGAGGGCCCGCATCCGTGGTTTCAATCACACGTAAGTAACCCACGTGCTTCCGAACAAGTCACTAACAAGTCCTTTCTTTCTAAACAGGGCCGGATGTTTGTTCTTTGTCAGCGTACAGACTGTACAATGTCAGCAGCAGAAGCACGTAAGTACCAGTTTTTCATACCTTTCTCAAACAAGGTCGTGGGGTAAGCCACATAAGAAGTCCAGCAGGTCAGTGCGCACTATTTGCGGCAAGGTAAGGCTTGTCAACGTGTTCCCAGGAACCTCTAAACTAAAGCCTGCGCAATCAGAAAAGACACGTTTGCACATGTGTGCGTCTCTTTCTGGACGATAGAAATTGGCGCGGTGCCCGTTGGCACGCATGCGTGGATAACAGCATCACGACGTTAAAATTCCTCCAGTTGTCGCAGGTGAGGTCCCCGAGTTTTGGCATGTTCCCGGAAACCGACAGACACATGGTAATGCTAAAGTGAACATCGATGGACGCATTGCGATGCTGGAAATGCTCGTCTTGCCCAAGCTGCGAGTGCGGAGCTCCTCGACATTGGCGGTTTGCGTGCAAAAACAAAGACCTTTTAGACGAAAAGCCAATAAATATGCTGCTTCGTATTGCTTTCCGCAAATCGAGACAAAATGCTTCTCTGCGTTTCGACGAGCGCGTGAACATATGTGTGAAGGAGTACCGACTGCTGCTGGAAGACTACAGAGCTTGAATGTTGCCGGTGGAAAGCGTTTTCGAACAGCTTGAAGACTCCAACCTGTTCCCTGCGTCGAGTTGACTACACCCTACTCAGGCTCGAGCTGAATGATCTGATCCAGGACGAGGCCCTGGTCGAAGATACTTGGCTCCTGGAAATCGTTCGGCTTGAAGCAGCCTCACAAGGCGGATTACGATTTGGGATCAAGGCGCAAACCGCGATGAGGGCACAAATCCACTAAACTCGGATGCACAAGAAACCAAGGATGCAAAAACCTTTCCAAACTCCAGGCTTCGTCCTAGAACGGCAATGAGCTTAGCTTACATAACCGAACGAAGAACAAAGCGCATCAGACGAGAATGCAGACGCTTCCACAAAGCATCCACGGGCTCTTACACCGGGAAGCACAGAGCCGGGCGCGATTCCCTGAGGTGCCGCACTCCATCCCGGGGCCCAAAAGCCTCAAAGCCTAGGCCCCAAAACCCTGAACCGTGAAGACCTCGAACCCTAAAACCCTAAACCCCAAAGACGTTCTGCAAACTCCGCAAGAAAGAATCAGAAGGGGAGCGTATGTAGTGCAGCTGGCAAGTGTTTAGCGTCTCGAGGAGGCTTTCGAGATCCGTGCAGTACTTCCTCGAGCTGTTTGGCATCATGGGGCCGAGGTGGAGGCTTGTTGGGCTTGGAGTTTGTTGGGCTTGGTCTCGGGACCGAGGGAGTTCGCCGGGTCAGTTGGGCTTGTAACCTCTGGAAACTCATGGAGGCACCAGACTGCATGATGGGAAAGCTCCTGGCCCTAGCCCTGGCTGTAAATTGGGGGGAAAATACATAGGAACCATGAGTGTGACGGCAAATGCAACTACACGTCGGACTCTGAATCCATGATTCATGGTTCGGCGACAATCGTAGTCAAGAGGGCAATCTCAAATCCTAGCAGCATGAACCAGATTTTGCGAATTTGCTGCCTAGTCTCTTGCTGATGGACCGGAAGGGCACCTTTCCCGGATCCTCCTCGCCCAAGGATGCCACGAAGGGAAAGGTCGAGTCACCTTCCACGTGCTCCACAGGGGCTCTATACTCTCGTTTCGGATGTAAAGTTTCAAAACCCAAAAATTCCACAAACCGGCGTCGTCGTGGACTCTTTCATCTGCGGTGCACGCACCTGTTGCTATGTCCTCGTGTCATCCAGCCAGATCATTACCGCAGGAGTCGCGGCTTCAGCTGACCATGGGACAGGCTTTCCGAGCTGAAGCCGGTATGGAATGTCTTGTTCTTCAGCGAAGCAAACCCAGCCAGATCCAATGCCCTATGCTCTACACCACCGAGTAAGCGAGTGGCAGATCAGCTCCTCACACTCGGGCAGGAGCCGGTCATTGTTCCTCGGACGCCGAGGGTTTGAATGCAAGCCGGGGGTGCGAGGCATGCAATTTTTTCAGGGCCTCCGGTTCTGTCTTGGCTAGCTGGAATCCTCCGAAGCCCTAAACTTTACAGCTGGAACTCCTCAGAAGCCACAGAATCAAGCTAAAGCCGGTTTTCCTGCATCTGGGCTTGGGTTTGGGCTCGAAAAGGGAACAGCCTGATGTGACAGTCGCCGCGCTGGGATCTTCAGCAGCGGTGCGTTCTTTCGCTTGGGGGCTCGGGTATCGATGTCGGGAAAACTCATCCTTGGACCTCGCCACAAGATGCCCCAGACCAGAATCGCGAAGACTGAACTGGCACAAGCTGTCAAAGTGCACACAAGCAGCTTGTCCAGCCAACCTTTGGTGGTGTACTCCACCCATCCGGCGTAGTGCTTCACCAGGAAGCCCTAGGACTGTTCACAAATACAGCATGGGGCGTAAGTCAAGATCTTCCCCATGTGATTTTCATGGCCGCTGCTTCTTGACAAAGAACCACTGGGCAGCCCGGTTTGCTGAAGGCTTTTAGAATGGCCAAGCACCTTCCTTACGGAACCACGAACACGGAGATCTTTCTGCAAGACTTCCTGTTGGTTTTGGCGTGCCAGTGGCTTGGCGGATATTCATTGTCATTGTAAGTTTGTAAGACAGGTTACCCTCAAAAAGAATGGTCGATTCCTTCGCTGCAGGAGTCAACGAAGGTTGCTGAAGCCTCGAACTCAAACCGACTAAGCGCACAATGGGTTAGAGTTGACGGCTCAGGGTTTATGACATAGGCTGTACACTAACCCTTTAGTTTAGTTTAGGGTGCCGCTCTTGACAACAATGTGCGAAGCGTCATGAACATACGTTGTTGTATGAAAAGTACAGGAATGAGAACAGCAATAAAAACTAGCGGAATAACATAAGAGTAACAACCTATGTGTGTGTATATACATATATGGTATGGGGTGAAATATGTATGCGAGTATGTATGTATGCATGTATGTACGTAACTGTGTGTGCATGCATGTACATCCAGTATGAAGATATGTATATGTGGAGAGAGAGGAAATGATATCACAAATGTTCAAAAACTGTGCCTCGTTCAAGAAAAGCCCGGTGCCGCTCCCCCGTCGGTTGGACAGTTTCAGCTGCCTCTCAGTCTCAGGCAGCTTGGGAGTTGGGGGCGGTCTTGGGTCTCGGTTTCGCGGAGCGGTTTGGGTTTTTGGGGGATTCAAACTTCAGGTGCGGTTCTTGAGTGGGTGCCAGGATGAAGGGCTCTGGGATTCGAGGAAACTTACACACTGTCGTAGAAACACATCGCCAGCCACAATCCGAAGAACGGTCAGAATTATGTAAGTAGACAGTGCACCCCAAGCTATGAGGCCACCCCAAAGCGCCCGTACCTTAAGAATCGCGAAACTCAGGACCAAGGCCCCAGATGCCTCAGAACCTCGCGTCGCCGCATGTCCTCACGCAATCTCCGCACCATGGCAATGCGGGCCATAATGTAGCTTCGTGGCTACTGGTGCACAGGGTCCAGCGCTTCGGGTAGCGTTGATTCTGCTCACAGATTCTGTGAGTTCGAGTGTTTCAGGGAGCTTCACAAGAACAAGGTCTAGGTGAGCACCCGACAGGTCTAGCAAGACCTCTCTTTTAGAGATTCGGGCACAGGCTTCGGGAGTTGCGGGTTTCAGGGTTGAGGGGAGTTTTGGACTTTAGGGCTTAGGAGTTCGGAGCGCTTAGAGAGGCCATGTCCTTGGAAGCATCCTCCACGGTCTTCTGGCAGAAGCCCTCATCCGACATTCGCTCGAAACCTGCACAGATCCACGTGAGGGTTCCGGGAGCCTTGCTGGTTTGGAGTTCCTTAAGCTCACCAGCACTTGCGATCATGAAGAAGAAGTGCTGAAGCTTCCGAACAAAACATGTTTCAGGGTCCTACTCGCTAGGAGGCATCTGCCGCTGTGGTAAAAGCGTGGTGACAGGTTGTAGGTGGCTATCCGGCGACAGGTCATGCCACATGCAAAACGCGCTGGTATGCAGAGTGTATACAGAGCAAAAGCTCCATGTGCGTCTTGGGTGGATCCTTGCCGTCAGCTCAGACGCCCACTTGACACTCGAACAGCACCAGCCCAGAGTCAAGAAAACCAGACAAAGCAAGCGGGAGATTGGGGTCTTGTATCACCGTTCCACAGCCAGGAAACAAGAACCGCGGAGGTCTAAGTTCCGCAATCCCAAAAACTCTGTTCATTTAAAGAAGTATTGCTGTCGGTACCACAACGGCGCACCTTTGGCGAGCTGCTGGCTGTACTCGTCGAGAGTGCGGAAAGTTTGCTGGATCGCCGACACGACCTCAAGCTTGGGTTCGAGGCCAAGATCACGGGAGTCCAGTGACTAGTGAGTCCTGGTAGCGCCCAAAAAGGTTCACCCTGAGCCGCGCGCGGGCGTCGAATCCGGCAGGGCCAAACCTGGGAGTCGATCCGAAGGCCGAAGGCTCCCTCTCTCTTCTTAGCAATTCCGAAAGCCACTACGAGTAACTACTCGAGGCACTCAACTTCAGGGGGATCGTTTCCTTCGGTCAGTCTCGGGAGGCGCGAGCTTCTAGCAGTTCAGTAGCAGGCTTTCGAGCTGTGGCTGAGCATCGCACCCTGCCAAGCCAGGCCCTCCCGGCGGTAGATTGCCTGCTCGGCAACCAGAACGTTCCTTGGCCAGGCCGCACAGTAGGGTAGTGCTCATGCGATGCGGAGTTCTGGCTTGTGGGCCTTTCAGACTGGATCTGCTGTCACTTCATGCGGCAGTCCATCTGGAGTCCTGCTCTTCTGAAAGGCAAGGCTTGTCACAAAAGACTGGAGGACCGGACCGAGCGTCTCCACAAAATATTGCTGGAGCCGCTCGTTTGCCAGGTTGATGCAGAGCTGCTCGAACGAGTTGCCTAATGGTGTTGACAGGGAGGGTTGTAATGATCCATGCGTTGGGAAAGTACCAATACCTTCCACATAATTCGTGCACGTTTGCTCAACTTGCGAAAGCTTCGGATTTCCAATGCTTTTAGGTGCAAAAATTGTGGTGCCCCCAGCCAAAGCCGGGGTACGCTCTAAACGCTCGAAGCCGTAGATGTCAAGGATGCCCGTCTCACACCAGGGCGCGTCCTGCAGGGAAGTGGGGATGAAGCTGGAATGAACAGCGCTTTAGAGATCCGTGTCCACTCCGCTTCTTTGCAATCGCATCACTGCCTGAAACATCCACAGATCTTCGTGAATGGCAGATCCTGAATGCAAGTGAAACCGTTCCTGGCCCAGAACTTTCCCGGATCGGCTGTCCTCACTGGGCTCGCGGGGGCACAGCTCGCGAAAAGAGCCTTGTCTGCACCAAAAGGCTGCAGGATGGCTGAACAGATCTCTGCTGGAAAGCTGTGCCAGCTGCTATTGCTGCTCATATTGCCAAATCCTGACATAATCCAAACTCGACCATTCCTGAGCCCTGGCCTTGTAAGCTACAAACCCCGACTCGATCCTCCACTTGTGCTCGAAAAAGAAGCTGAGCTCACGGCTGTTGATTCGCTGCACCAATCTTTCGAAAAGCCGCTTGTACAGCCTTAGCTGGATTCCGTAAGTGTCGGTCTTGGGCACTTGGACGGCGTTTCGGGTTCAGAAGCAGGACACAGGGTGCCTTCGAGCTCGAAATGGATCACGTGAAGAGAAAGCTACATGGTTTCAGATGGTTTCAGCGCCAATCGTAGAAGATGTGTTTTGGTGCGACATCAAGCTGTAGGACACAAGATTGAAGTCGGCATCTGCCAGTCGGTCTTCCAACAGCCACGGGGCGCTTTGATCAGGCTGTGCAGTGCGTGTCTGAACTGGGATGTGGTCCGCGGAACCTGCGGCAGTCTGTGGCACTGTCGGCGTGACGATTACGAGATATTCTGTACTAGATAAGTCGTCAGTATGCTTGCTGTGTTGCCGTAACTTCTCAGGCTAACTGTTCTCGATGGTGGAGAGCTGTTGCTTCTCCTCCGCAAAACCATCTCCCTGCCCTTCTTGGTTCTGATGCTCTTCAATACTGAAGTTTGAACTATGATATCCATGCTGATGATCGGGGTGGCTCTTGGTGGTGTGGCTCTAGCTCTAGCTACTGTGTCTACTGTTGTCTCACTCGCGTTGAAAAAGCTGTCTCCGCCGACTCGTTCTTACCGGCGCAGCTACCAACATACATGTGCGGATGCATACGTACGCACGTCATACACCAGCACAGACAAGTATGTATATCGACAAACATACGTGCATGCGCACAGACACGCATGCATATGCACATTATATATACATATACATATATATATATATATACATACATATATATATATATATATATATACATACATACATACACATATACATATACATATATATATATATATATGTTTAGGCCTCGGCACTGGATAAAACAGGAAGCCACTTCATCACACCCACACATCCAATGCATCCTGTCGCATGCCACGAGCACCGAGCCCTAAGTCTCGCCGATTGAACTTCTGCAGAGCAGGATTAGGGCCTGGGGCTTTCAAAGACAGTAGAGCAGCTCTCATGACGCCCTGCCTCGGTTATCGACTCTCGGCCAGGATGCTTCACCCGCACCTCGCTTCTCAACATCAAAGCGCGAAGACTAAACTCTCTGAACGAGGTCCCAAGTTCAGCCGGTTGCGGTGCTTTCGGGTTTAGGGTCTCTGGTTTAAAGCTTTGGGGTTCGGCTGGGAGTCCGGTGGGCCTGGTGGGTGATGAAGTGAAGATCGAATCAAACTAAAGCCCGAGGAAACGGAACTGTAAGCCGCAAGCTGAGACCCGGATTCCGTAAAGTTCTCGCTACTGTAATTGCCCCAGTCCCAACAGTATAATGCACCCTGTGTTGTACGGCAAGCCCGAAAAGCTCAACCCTTGCTGCGGGCTGCGGACCTTCCGCCGTTGGAGAGCCGTGCCCAGCTCGTCATCGTCCAGCCCGAGCAACTGGGAGGCCTGCCCGGCTAACCGTAGCCAGGGTTGAGTGTTGGGGCTGAGGGTTTGGTAGGGTACTGGGGTGAAAGATTTAGGCTTTAGGGTTGGCTCCAGTTCCAGTCCAGGCCTCTTACATACCTACAAGTGCAAGGTACGTAAGAGTGCAGGTTTTGGGTCAGTGGAGGTTGCCATTTCGGAGCTCGCTCGGAATTCTGAGCAACAGCAGAATACGGTTGCTGTCTCCACGATTTGTCAAGCGCTGCTGGCATTTTTAGCGTAGAAGCTTTTTGCCTGCTGCATGTTCAGGAAGTCAGTGCACAGGAACACATCGACTGCCTTCTCGTGGGTTCGGATTCAGTGCTGGGGTGCCTTTTCCAAGATCTCCTCATCGAGCTCGACGATTGCTGTGACGTCTTCTGGGCACGGGCTTCACGCGTGGGATATGCTCAAAATGTTTGAACTTATGAATTTCTACTTCTTTGCCTGCCTGCTCTCCTGCCCACCTACACATACCTGTCCATCCATAGTCTATCTTGTCTTTGAGTCTATCTATTTATGTTTGTCGATCTCGCCTCTCTCTATCTCTCCCTGACTCTGTCTGTCTTTTTTTATCTGTTCCTTTGTCTGCGTGTGTGTCTGAGTGAAACTCTGTCTCTCTCTCTCTCTCTCTCTGTCGCTGTGTCCTTCCCTCCGCTCTCTCCTTCCGGCTGCCTGCCGATCTGTCTGGATTGCATGTTCCGCACCTTCGTCCCTCTCCGCATCGGAGAGGTCTCCAAGATGGACGAGACCGGCCAAAACCTCGCAGATTCTCGAACCGCTAACTGCCCAAATCTAGTCTCGAGCTTCGATGAGGAGCCATTCAGTTGTCAACAAACGTGGCTGCTGCCACTGCTCGGGATTCATCTTGTAATAGGATGTTCATCTTCATGTGTCGGGCTGCCGACCATCTGCTTTGCGGCTTAGATATCAGGGCAAGAAGTGACCTTGCTGAGTTTGGACCCGGAAGTTGGACGCGCTTTCAAGACACACTTGTGCCAATAGTAAGTGGTCGACATACCATCTGTCAGTAATGCAAGACCAGCGCTAATCATGAACCACGAGTAGAAAGGGCGACGATGATGATGATGATGAACATGAAATAGCAGTCGCAGTAGTGGTCACAGCAGCAGTAGTAGTGCCACGCTCATGCATAATAGTGGTGGAGGTGGGGGTGGAGGTGGAGGTGGAGGTGGAGGTGGAGGTGGAGGTGGAGGTGGAGGTGGAGGTGGAGGTGGAGGTGGAGGTGGAGGTGGTGGTGGTGGTGGTGGTGGTGGTGGTGGTGGTGGTGGTGGTGGTGGTGGTGGTGGTGGTGGTGGTGGTGGTGGTGGTGTTGGTGGTGGTGGTGGTGGTGGTGGTGGGGGTGGTGGTGGTGGTGGTGGCAGTTGGAGTGGGATTGGCAGTGGCAATGGCAGTGGTAGCAGTGGTAGCAGTAGTAGTGGTTATTTCGTTTTGTAGCTGTAGGCTTTAGTTACAGTTGTGGCTGTTGTTACGGGTCTGCTTTTGGACTTGATGGTCATAACAGTAGCAGCGGAAGCAGTAACAGCAGTAGCAGTAGCAGTTGTTGTGGCGCTGGTAATAGTAGTAGCCGTAGTTGTGGGAGTAGGAGTGGGAGCAACAGTAGCAGTAGCAGGAGCAACAGCAGTTGCAGTTGCAGTAGCGGTAGCAGGAGCGGTAGCAGGGGCGGGAGCGAGAGGAGGAGTAGTAGTAGCAGCAGCAGCAGTGGCAGTGGATCGTAGAATTGTTCAATAGGCCGCATCTTCATCGCTTCCGTTTCGGTTTCCAAAATGATGCTTCAGAAGCCTGGAAGATGGCGTTGATGTCCTGCTCACTGAAGCCGACCTCCGCCAAAGCAAACCAAAGCCGGTCGAAGTGCTTCTGGTCGCGCTCCTGCAGCAGAAACCGTGTTTGAGGCTCAGTTTGATGCTCGAGGCTTGTGGGGGATCCAAGTTGGTGGTGAGGCTTCATGGGACAGCACAGGCATATGCTGACTGCGGCAAGACGCGCATCCCCATCCTCTCATTGCACGGCCCGCCTCGAATTGAGCATTCCAGTCGAGATCTTCGGCCTGCACAGCAGGCACCCTGATTTGCGGGGTTCACGGCCATGAGACAGCACACCGAAGACAGGTCCTCGCCGGTCAGGAGGAGATACGGCTCAGTTCGATCCAGATGCAGCTTCGAGAGCTCTTCATCGGAGAGTCCACTGAGCATCTCCTCAGCTACCGTCTGGAACACAGCGCATGAAAGCTCAAAGCTGCCGCAATGCCCCTGAAACACTGCAGCTCTGCGTCATAGAAACAATGATAGGTGCGCTCGCGCTTGCCGTGGGACACAACCCTGGAGCTCTCCAACAGGTAGGTCGTCACCTCAGCTTGGGGCTTCGCCGAAGCTAGTAAGATCGGAACCCTAGATTCAAAGGTCGTTGCCGGGTTGCAGAAGCATTGACGAGTGTACCAGACTCGTCGAAGAAGATGCGGTTGTACTTGCCGAATCGTGAGGAGTTGTTGTTCCTCTCCAAAGTGCTCCATAGGCTTAAGCGAGGCGGCGATCTGAATGCTACCTACTCTCGATACTCTCCTAGACGTTTTCTGAACGGTGCGAAAGCTTAAGATGCCTGCCCTCGAAACTTAAGAGACAGAAACAGCCAAAGACGAAAACAGACAAATGACAAATAGATACAGACTCTTTATGTGCACTGTCTCGCCCACAATGCCCACATATGAGATGGCTCCATTGTGTGACGTGCAGTGTGATTCTGTGTGTTTCTTTTCCTATAGTATGCTGGCTCCTCTTATACCCATTGTGAGCTTCGAAATTCTCGCTGTCAGCAGCAACATTATGGCCACTGCGATCATGGTGCTCAAGAGGCACGCATGCTGCTTTTGTTGGTATCACGTGTTCCTTCATTCTGCAGGTGCAGCTACTGCTACTCCTGCTTCTACTCCTACTCCTGCTGATCCTACTCCTGCTTCTGCGGTTAAAGTGTCTTGTTTGCTGTCGTTGCTTTTTGCTGTCGTCCCGGGGGGCGCATTACTTTTTGCTGTCGCTGCGGGGGCGCGCTTCTTTTGTTGCTGTCGTCCCCGGGGACGTGTTACTTTTGCTGTCGTGCCGAGGCCGGGGTTCACTCACTGGCTTCCCGGGTCCGTGCAATGACAGCAAAACACCAACATAAAGCAACAGCAGAAAACAAAACCACGGGCTCCCTGTTTCTACTCCCACTCCTACTCCTGCTGCTACTGCTACTGCTAGTTACTTTTGACATACATACAAACATGAACACAAAAAAAACACATATGCACAGATATACATATATACATCTATGCAGATATTCATAGACACATATGTACATGGGTACTGACATACATGTGTATATACATATATATATATATAGAAACAGATTAGTATATATGCATACAGACTGACATACATAACATAACATTGCGTAGCACAGCACAGCATAGAAGAGCAGAACAGAACATGCATACGTGCGTGTGCATACAAGTTTGATGCTGCCGCTCTGCAGCATCCGTCTCCGCATCTTGGTGGTCGAGGATTTCATGGATCCGAAACCCTCAGCCCGAAACCGCAGTATCCTCATGGTGACGGCGTTTCCGAAGGACTCCAGAATAGGCTGCGCTTGAAGAACTCTGCGCTGGATCTGCGCCTGATCACTTGAGTCGAAGGTTCATGCGTAGCCACACGAAGGCTGGGGTTGAGGATTGAGGGGATCAGGGTTTAGGGTCGAATGTTTGGGGTTTAGGGTGTGAGTATCTTAGTCGAGTTAGCGGTTTACAAGTAGAGCTACTTTGCGTATACTTAGTTGAGGCGACCTAGCATTACGGCCTCTGACAGGGACCTCATCCTTGAGATGACATCAGATGCCTAGAGATAAACTCTCCAAACCAATTCCCTAGCCTTGATCGAACCTCTATCCACACAAGCTGTCCTGCGAGGGCAATAGCAGGCAGAATGAAGGCTCAGCTTGTGACGGGATTGAAAAGGCTTGAAAAGGCTTGCATCGAAGGCACCGTCGTCTGGTTGCAGGATCCGGAGACATAGCCCAAGTACTCCATGACCTCGGCTGATCTGTAAACACTCTACTACTACAGTTGCCCAAAACTTGCGACTACGCTTTCACATGAGTGGGCTCAGAACTGTACAGTCCATGCTTATGCATATCTACAGAAGCTGAGATCGCAGTTGCGGTGGGCTCCCCTGAACTTCGTGCCTAAGCCACAGGTTTCTGCTGATGCCGGGGTGCGATCTTCGCGGTTTCCGTCTTTCCCGCGCCGCTTTCGCCAGAAATAACGAAGCCCTGATTTCTGCTCTCTCGCACCTGATCAGGGGCTCCGGGCCCGGGTTCCAAGTTTAGAGTTGCGAGTGGGAGAATTCAGAATGCACGTCTGAAGCTCGAGGCACAAGGGCTCGGTAGGCGGTATCGGCGATGGCATAAGGATGCCTCAGCTAGGCAGTTCTCTTGATTGAGGATCTGTTTGGAAGCTTGAGATGCGGGAAACACCTTTGTCCATGAGAAAGCTGTGAGACATGAAACCCGTGCGCAAAGCTTCGACGAACTAACCTGCGAGAAAGGCAGCTGGAAGCCTCGCCTCCGCTCAGGGGTTTCATTCGAACTTCTGATTCTAACAGCCTATATAAGAATTTCAACGTTCCAAGGCCATGGAGATTGAAACTCAATCCGCTCCAGAACCACAAACTAGGCCTCAGTCCTGAAAGTCTCGGCCGGGGGTTGAAAGTAGAATGTGAGCAATAGAGTTTCTGCCGTTGGTGCTACAGCACTCCGTGCAAATCCCAGACACGGCGGTAGCGCACCGATGTGCTTCCCACGATAGCCTGAGCTCTGACTTACGCAAGGGGAGCAGCCGCGAAGGAAACGCTCGAGCTGTATCGCAGAATACTGGCAGTATGCGTGTGTATTATGCATGCATATGTATATGCAGGTCTATGTGTACATGTGTATATATATATATATATATAATGCGTACATACACATATATACACGCACATACACATTTGTGTGAATTACATGCATGCATGTATACAGTCATGCATACATACATGTTGTTGCACATTCGATGCATTTATACATGTATACATACGTACTTATGTGTGTACCATAATATACAAAACTATACTGTACTTTACGATATTATACTATGCTAGACTTTCCTACACTTTTCAGGCTACACTAGACTCTGCTAGACCACACTAGACTATACTAGACTCACAAGACTATTCTAGTAGACTATACTGTACTGCACTGTACAGATCAGACTAGAGTATACTATAACATAACATACTGTACGATGTGGATAGATGTTACGCTTGAAACCTGCGTGCCCTCGGAGAACTGCGAGAAATCGATAAAAACATGTGAACGGAACAAGGTCGCGGCTGTGTGAAGATACCAGAGTGTCAGGCTGCGCCAAGACTTCCTACTTGCCCTCAATCAAGCCGTGAATGTTGCCTCACAAAAACCGGAAAAGTATCATTTGCATCCAGCAACGTGCGCACTGCGTCTCGCCATAAAGCCTGCAGGCTGGCAGAGGAAGCCGACGATTAGCAGTGAAAGGTTCAGACATGAGGCTTCTTCTCACACCGAGCAAAACCAAAAGGAGCAACAGTGGGACGGGAAGGGCGAGCCACATGTCCATCAAGCATAGGCGGCAAAGGACATACATGGGATCTACCAAAATCTGCCCCATATAAACGTTTTGCCACCTGCGGTGTTGCTACTGGTACCCAAGCTTTACGTTTGTTCAATACGCTTCTGTCCGAATATGCGTCAGCATTTAGTTTCCATTATTGCGGAGACCGCCAATACTATAGGCATTGCTGTCTGAGGATGATGATTATGATGATGAAGACGATGATAATGCAACAACGAAAATGACCGCAAACAGTGTCCTGCAGATGTTGATGGCAACAGTGGAGATAGGAGTGCCGAAGCGCAGTACGTACAGAGCCACTGATAGTTGACTAGCAGTAGCAATCGGATCATCATCATCATCTCAGTCGTTACTCACTACCCGCTAATCCAATGCCGATCGCCGTTCTTATCTACTATGAGCATCTCGACTCGCAGCACTGGGTAGTTTCAAGTCGCGGTCTGGCTACTTAGCACCTGTGAGCAGTCTCATCTTGGCGAACATGCCAAATACTTCCGCGATCCACGGCAAGTGGCTTCCCATACTGGTGTCTGTACTGATCAGTTTGTATCAACCTGTCTCTTGACATTTTCGGCTTGTTGCTAGCATATCCTGCGCGACGTTACATCTTACTCCAAACGCTTAACGCAGATCGGAGATCTCTTCGAAAGGCTCGAGGCCCAAGCCCTTCGATGTCGTGGTACGGGTTCACAGCCAACAAGACCTCGCCGTACAGCTAGGCATCAGTGGAGTCATTGCTGTCGCGCTTACTCTGCGTGCCATTCAAAAAGTGCGGATCATTGCTGCTGTGGTTGTGGTCGCGGCTGATTCAACCATGTGCGCTCTGCGCCAGCGAGCAGGAATACGGAACACATGCTGAGACATGACAACGCTCATGAGGGAGCTTGGGCCAGTACACTCGCAGTGTATGTATAGATGTCGTCCACCTGTGGGGCGCGGAGCGCTCTGCTTGCATAGACCGTTCGGTGATCCGTGCGATGCCTACCTGCTTCCGAATTTGCGTCATGGTCTGTGGGTCCACCTCGTGTCGCACTCGGAGATTTTCCAAGATGGAGGCATCGTTGAGGAACACCAGGGAGGTATTGTCCGGACCTTGGGCACGGAGACAGCGCAACTCCGAATCTGCAAATCCAAGACGTTCTGGCGATTGCCGCTCTTTCAGCCGAGATCCTCGCAAATACCATGCATCCCAACACAACCCCGGTACAAGGACCGTCATGCTTAGAAGGATTTCTTGTCATCCTCACAGGCACATACGAGCAGTCATGCCCGAAACCTCTCCAGAGTTGTCGGCATTGACTACAGTGATGATCTATACCGACGAAAATCACAGGCCTGATAGCGTATTGAGGTGTCGAACAAACGAGAATGACCATGCTCATCAACGCCTTCCAAAATGCAACAACCACAACAACAACAAAGACAACAAGAAGAGCAATCACAGCATAAGAACAACAGTACAACCCTGATGAGCCTGCCTAGTCCTGGATGCAAGGAACGATTGGAAAGTGCTGTCTGAGCCTTGCACTCCATGATCCTCTCCCAATCCACAAACACCGAACCCCTAAACACTAAGTATCCAAAAGGCCCTAAACCCATAACTCTGACAACTCTAAACCCTGGTTCTAGACCCCTAAACCCTATACAATATTGCTACCCCCTTGCCTAAACCCTCGACCCTACCGGGCCCCAGGCAGCCCTCGGACTCGAAGCGCCGCCGCAGCGCAGCCGGAGCACAGCGCAGGGAGCCACGGCAAGTCAGCACGGCCTTGAGGCTAAGGGTTTCGGTTTAGGCTTCAGGGTTTCGGGTCTCAAGTCTTAGGGTTTGGAATCAGGCATTGGGGCTTGGGGTCTGAGTTCTCCTTTGCCTTCATCTGCAGTCTGCTTGAAGTTTCATGACATTCATATAGGAAATATGCCGCGGGTAGGGTGACTGGGTTAAATTTTCATACGCCCTCATGCAGGGTTTCAGCACTTGCGTGCTCTGGGTCGGGTCATGATGGCGTGCCCAATAGAGCAAGGCTTCTGGGTACCGCGTACATTCCAATGCAACTGTATGGGGGCCCCTGTAGTGCGAAAGACGTCTCGTTCCAGGCTTCTGGCGACTTCGCTGCCGGCGTGGCCGACGACGACGCCCCCGAGGAAGGGATCCTTGAACGGGGCTTTTTAATCGAAAACCGTCCTCCTCGTCGCCGTAGAGGTAGCAGCAGTGGTCGCAGCAGCAGCAGCAGCAGCAGCAGCAAGAGCAGCAAGGCAGTAGTAGCAGAAGAAGTAGAAGTACATGTAGAAGTGGAAGTGGAAGAGGAAGTAGAAGTGGAAGTGGAAGAAACCTCACTCACAAAGCCCCAATCTGCAAGCCCTGAGAAGAATGCTACTTACTGTGCAGTCGCACTCTTTCCATCCGGCCTCCCGGCCCTCGGGATTCGGCACGTAGACCAAGTCATTGACCTGCTTTGCCGTAAACTTTACACAACATGGATCTTTGTGGCTGCTGGGGCTTAGGCTTAGGGTCCAGAATAAGAAGGTGCTTAGGGCAGAGAGAGAGCCTTCTGATCCCCTTCCGCCCCTTCGGAAGCACCTGGAACTTCTGCTCGGCCGTGCTCATCTTGCCGACCTGCTGGTCTTTTGGAGCTCTGAGAAGCACAGGAGCTTTGGACGTTTCGGAACGCGGAGAAAAAATGCTGAGACGATGAAAGAAGACCAGTGCAAGTGTGTGGAAAAGTGACGGTCGAAGTACTACCGAAGGACGGGCAACCAACCACAGCACAAATACCGTGACCTCCGCGACATTAGTCAGATGGCAGTACCGACAGTCGGAATACGAATACAGCTGACAGTAGTAACTACAAGAAGAAGTAGGTGTAATCACCACAGTTCTCGCTGCAAAGTATCGCCTTCTCCCATTTACACCGCGATGCGCTTCTGGGCCGGTTGAGCCAGAAGGCAGCGGTTAAGAATTAAAGCCAGCACCACACCATGTGGGAGCAAGCATAGGGTAACCCACAACCTCATAACCATGTACCCCCCCCTATACTTTTAACCCAATTCCCGAACAGGATGCCTAAATCAAGCCTTCAAAACCATCCAAACCAAAGCCACTAGCCAAAACCCTCACCAAAAGCCCTAAAAACCAAAGCCACCTAAGCAAAACGCAAAGCCTCGCAAGGCACTAGCCGTAGCGTCCTACCCTCAACTAATCCTAATGAGGTTGGGGGTTAGAGCCTTATCTGAAATCTCCCCAAAGATTATAGCCCTTCCATTGGAACGGCAACCCACATCGGCGAGTTCAACATGGAGAAGGTGCGCCTTGCTCGTTTAGGGGTTTAATTCCGAGCCGTGAGCAGGTGCATTGATTGAGATTGGCACAGCACATGCTGAAGCCTTATTCGTTGTAGCATCTCTTTGCTACAAGTCGCCACTTAAAGCATTCGTGAAGTAGAGCTTTGCAACGATGGCTTTCCAGCACAAACTGCCTTCGTACCAAGGGAAATTCATGGTCCTCCAACATGGTTCTCGCTGGGGGGCGTATTTCCTTCCGGCGGGGCTACCATCGCTCCCGACCGATGCCAGCCCTTTCCGGTTATGGGACACAGCAATTGTGCAAACTCATCTGCTTGACAGCTTCACCCGCAATGAGCTGACGCGGAAGGCGGATGAGTTGAACGTAGCCCTTCCTGCAGGCAAGCTTAACAAGACAACCTTGTCTGGCATCCTAGCGAACTACCTGACAAAACCGTTGGACGCTGAGTTTGCCAACAGCACTACTCCGATGGGAGCGCTCCCCGTGACAAGAGATAGTGATGCACTTCGCTTCCTTGAGACCCAGAATGCCGAAATCTCCAAGGGCATCACCAAGGAGGAGAACAAGAAGTGCAAAAGACTTGCCAAGAAGGTGGTCAATGTTCTTCTCCACGACACAGACCCAGATGCTCAGAAATTGGTGAAGCAGTTGCTGTCGCTCTCGCCCTCGGACATCGTGAGTATCCGCAATATGATTTCCGAAGGCATCCCAATGGCCCTTTCCTCGGACACCGACACAGAGACCGACAAGGAAACAATCACGCTTCTCATTGGCTTCAAGGATATGAGGACTGATGTTGGGAGCTTCTACGGCAACTTCGTTCAGATTGACATTGACCCGAGCCTTTCCGCCTCCTCCCTTGGTGTGGCAATCCTTGAAGGCTACGACCAGCAGATGGTTGGCGACGACCCCTTGAACTTGGGCGACCGCGACTTCAAGCAGGTGCTCTACCTCGGCTGGTCTCCCGAGACGATGATGCCTCTGAATGACCCCATCCGCTCCTTGAGCTCTTGGGGCATCGGAAACCACGACAAGATTGAGATGCGGATTTTCAATGAAGGGGACAAGCGCTTCTTGGAGTTTTGGGGTGTTGGCGACACCAGCGCCAACGAGCAGGATGAAAACGTCCTCATGTTGCTTGTGAAGGGCAAAGACTTTGACAAGCAGACCATCAACACCATCCCCTCGTCGGAAAAGAAGGGAACGATGACAATCAAGCTGTGCGACAAGGTTGTCTTCTACGAGTTCGGAGAAAGGAACACGGTGGGAGACGCATGCAAAGCGTTGGCAGACCACTTTGGGGCGGAGCTTGACTTCGGACCTTCGGGCAACTATCGCATGAAGTACCTCAACAGCCCTTCCACCCTGTACCTCTACCAGTCCATTTGGGCAGAGTTGGCAGAGCCTGGCCAGACCCCGAACGTGGAAGTTGTCCCCGTCGGCCTCAGAGGCGGTGGCAAAGCATCCGTCATCAAGGCGAAGGAGAAGAGCGAGACCTACAAGCGCAGGGCATCGGAGATGGCAAAGAAGGTGTTGCAGAGCACAAAGACCACAATCAGCGATGTTGGTGTCTTAGAGGCGATGATGACAGCCTTCCATCAGAAGGCCGAGACCAACCCCGCCGATGCATTCGCTGACATCTTCAAAAGCCATCACAGCGTGGATAGCATCAATTCCCTCTTGGAGGCTATGGACGAGGTAGGTGGAAATAGCGGGGATGTGCGTGTCCGCAAACTTTGCCCGTACCTTGTCGGCCCATTGATGAACATTGACTCCCAAATTAAGAGTTTGGAGGCAGTCAAGGAGAGCGTTGAGGCGTCCATGTGCTGGGGATACAACCTCGCTGTCAGCAGTTCTGATGATGGGAAGTTTGATTTGAAAGTGCTTCGTGCTTTGGCGCAGAGCGCTAAGGATAGAATGTTGGGGGCACTGGAAGCAACCTCATCCATGCCCGTTCCTATGGCAACCTGAAAGCAGACGGTGGAGTAGCGCCCCCGCACTCCCAACTCCCAAGTGTAGCGCCCCACACTCCCAAGTGTAGCGCCCCACACTCCCAAGTGTAGCGCCCCGCACTCCCAACTCCCAAGTGTAGCGCCCCGCACTCCCGAGCGTAGCAAACCGCCACCGCGCTTGTGTATCCTTGCTTCGTGCGACGGGCGTAAGACCCGCTGTGCGCACTGTGGATTGGCAGACTTGGTGAAACATTCTTGCTTGAAGCAGTGCGATGTGCTCAGCAGATTTGGGACCAGTCTGGCAGTGCTCCACAACCCCCCCTTAAACCCATAAATAAAAAATCAAAGCATACAGTATTTTAAAAAATATTGGGGGCTATAAAAATATAGGCAAATCCCATACAAAATACACTACAAACTCTCAAAATAGTAAATATGATACCCCGCAAAAAATAAAATCAATAATCCCTAACATACCCTATGGGCTTTAGTAACAAAATATGATATGAAAATATATCGCGACAGGCGAGAAAGACAACGACACCGGCGAGTTCAATGTATGCGGTGCGCCCCCACTCGGTTTCGGGTTTTAGTTCAGGGTTTTAGTTAGGGTTTTGTAGGTTTAAGTTTTTAGTTAGGGTTTTAGTTTTAGTTTAGGCTTTCGGGTTTTAGTTTAGGGTTTTAGTTTAGGGTTTTAGTTTAGGAGAAAGATGAGAGGAGAGACATTTTGGCTCAACCACCAAAAAATAAATATAATATACAAATATATTATATTTATCGTTTTTTACACCTTTAACAATTCGTGAAGGCTGTTGAAAATAGCCTGAACATGTATTGAAAGTTACACTTTCAGTAACTCATGGCGCAAATAACCTCGTTTATCATCGTTTTCCAAATAATAATAATTTTGACCTAGCTTTTTATCAATTCTTTTAATTGTCTGTGGGGTTTTAACCCAATGCGAAGTACGTTCTTTTTCACTTATACCTTTCTTACGCATTATTTTAACATCATCACCAACCTCTAGTTCAGGGTAGGTTCTATTGCGCTTCGCTTGTAAAGATATGTTTAATTTAACTTCTAATTCGTTTTTCTTTTTCTTAGCCTCTATTGGTGTAAATTTTGTAGTGGATGACACCATTTTATTATTATATGTTAATAATATTTCAAAATTATAATCTATCCACTGTATATTTTGCTTACCCTTTTTTTCATCTGCTTCAACCCGCTTGAACAACATATCTTTATATGTTCTTATAAACCTTTCCGCGAAGGCAGGGTGACCTCTAGTTCTATGTATTTCTATTTTTTCTTTGTCCAAATATTCAATAACTGTTTTACTATATAAACTACCCTCTTCGTCTGAATAAAACATCTTCGGTTTATCGCCCATTTTTTGTAGCCCTTCCATTATCCCCGCCAACATGTCAGGCGGTTCTTTGCTATTAATAGGTATAACAGTAGCATATTTACTAAAAATATCTATTAAAACTAATCCTATTCTAAACTTTTGGTTTTCTAAATCGTTCTTACTTATAAAAAACAAATCCACCTGATATTCAAAATGCGCGTGAGGAGCTACAAAGCTATTCTCGCCTCGTGGTTTCCTTTTAACTTCAACATTTTTCCTAAAAAACTCCTCCACATCCTCTTTCGTTATCCGCTTATCTTTCTCACGAGCTTCTTTAAGAGTAGTCGCCCTACTCCCGAAGCCAGAGCGGTCAAAATAAATATCATTAATAATTTTTTGTTTATCCATATAAATATTAATAGAAAATTTTTTTATTTAATGAGCACTTACATTACAGTAGAAGCAGTAGGCACAACAGTTGTCTGAATGGTGACTGTAGTCATTGCAAAGCCTCTGGGCTGTGAAGTTGCTACATAGCTTACCCTGTTTGGTTTCAAAGTTGAATGGTGTGTTGCACTTCTCGCATCTGCTTTTAAACCTCTGTAAGCACCATTCGGGTGTTATGTATGCTTCTTCGTTTATCTCTCTTCCTGCTCTTCTGTCTTGAACTTTGTAATTCTCCACCTTGTTCTTAAAATATCTCATAATCATATTTTTATTCATTCGTTTATCATACTCGCCATTCTTGTAAAACTTGACTTGTCTGAAATCAACACACCTTGTTACTGCACACCACAACCACTCCCTACTTGCTATTGGTAAGTCGTATTCGTGTATGGTTATGCTTCCTTTTACGCTCGCCCCTTGACTTGAATGACAAGTGGCGCAGTATGAGTAAATAAAATTAGCATCTACAACGGGCTCATATAACATAAACTCGTCTTCCTCGTTTGCTATATTTTGTAGTGTTATTTGTGTCCCTAGCTTATCTGGCTTTAGTCTCACGATTTTATACCTTAAATTCACATTTACCCTCGGTTGTTTAATCCATTTTCTCGCTATTAGTACCTCCCCTACTTCATATTTATTCGTTTTGTTCATCCTTTCCCTTATCTCGTTTGCTACGTTTCTGCACCTCATATTCGTATATGCGATGTTATGCTCCGATGCCATTATGTCGTCAGTTGTTTCAAAATATTTCGGGACAATCTCTTCAAAGGGCAACTTCTTTTCCCAGAAGTCTTCATACATATCATTTATTATTTCCCTGTTTCTTTCGCCGTCCTCGCTGTCCTTCGCTCCTACCCTTTTACATATTTGTAAGAAAATGCTGTATCTAAAGACTATATCAAGGCAGTTGTCTATATACGTCGCTGGGTTCTGGCAGTTGGTCATTACTTCCACTCCTTGCAACTGCTTGACGTCGCCGGTGGCAACCACGATTATATCAGGATTATTTTTTACAAACTGCCTGACCTTATCTAAGACATATATGTTGGACATATATATCTCGTCAAACACGATTATCTGAAAAGGCGAGTAATCAAAACTCGGTAGTTTCTCTCCTGCATTCTCATCCACAGCGATGCTGAAAAACTTATTATACGTTGTCGCTTCAACTTCCTTCTCTTGTAAAAGCCTATTGGTTGGAACTACAAATAAAACGTTATAGCCCATTTTTTGGAAATATTCGCCTATATAACTCTTTCCACTACCGGCGAAGCGGGCGCGGATTAAACAAGGGTTATGTGTTATAATTTGTTGGCATATCGGGCGAGTGTCCCATTCGTCTTCTACTGCGATATTGACATTTGTAACTTTCGGGATGCTGGGTAGTTCGTTGTGTTTGTATGTGTATAACTGCGTGGGTATTGTGATGGTTTTTTGGTCTTCCAGCCTCCACTCGCCAATTTCATTTCCGAACTTGAGGTGTCCTTCTCTCCAGTGTCTTAAGAACATGTATCCACGCACCTTCGGGACATCATCTTCATGAATTGTCAGGCAGTCTGTTTTAATACTATATACCTTGATATTATTATCATTCAGTGTCTTGTATGCTTCATACATCTTAAAGTTGTGATACTGTAGCAACAGCTCCTTTATGTAAATAAATCCGTTTATTAAGGTTTTCTTTTCAGAGGTGCTTAACACATAATATTTAGCTCCTTCTGTCTCTTTTGTTTCTATCTCGTCCTCATTCACTTCATACAGTTCCGTCTGGCACTCGCTTATTGTATATATCTTTCCTCCATAAAGGCTTTGATAATAACACGCCTCGCTCAAAGAAGTAAAGGTGCTACTTCTCTGGCTTGTGTTATGCGACTTCTCTAACATGCCGACGCTGATGTTCCACAGCTTTTTGTGAGTTTGTTTGTTGAGGTTTTCGTCGCTTGTTATTTTCGTTGTGTATAGTTCCTCAATCAGTTTTTTATAATCCACTTTGAACACTTTACTTGGTTGCTTATACCATAATATGTTAAGCTTAACGTTGTCCTTCAGCATTTGCTTTAAAAACTTGCCATATACTAAACAAAACTTTTTATTGAAGAAGAGGTTGCCCTCATACACTTCTACTATGTATAAAGTCAGATTGTTAAGCTGATTTATATCACAACTCTCGTTAAAGGGTCTAAAAATGTCAAACTGTGTAAAACGGGGTATTTTCGTTATTGATGCTCCCGCGTGTGTGAAGGCTTTGTTAATATCTATTTCTCTTACCTGCTTAACCGCATCAGCTTCAACAAACCTACCTGTTGGAACGATTGTTTTACACTCCTTGAGTATTTCTATATCTACTTCGTTATAATAGGATAAATGGCTTTCGTTAAACAGCTCCTTCTGCAGTTTAAACATAGTCTGAGTTATTTTGTTATACACCTCTTCGTCATCAACCACCACGTCTTCGTCAAGGCGGTCCTTTGACAAACTCTGTGATACAATGTTGTATTTAACATATTTCTTCAAGTTTTTGTAATAAAACTTACAAAATATATTCATAATCTGCCCCGCTTGATACTTTATATGTGGTTTGTATCCAGCCTCGCTGAGCTGATGAAACACCTTTGTTAAATCGTTCTCGGAGTGTATAAGGGAATATTCTTCTTTATCGGTCATCTTTAGTAGCTCGTCTATGTTCTCAAACATTTTGTATTCAACAGGTTCGGTTCTGTCGGTAATGTAAAACTTACTCGTGGTGAAGGCGCTAAAGTTCTCCTTTGGCTGGATGTGTTGTAACGTATCCAAGTCATTATTTAATAAGTATATGTGATTATTTTTAACTAAGCCTCTGAATACCTTTACTCGTCCCTTTTCATAATAAGGAGGGTTGTAGTCATAAATCATAGCCCCTGTGAAGTTATACAGCCTAACAGGTATGTTAAAAAACTTAAAGACCTTGTCCATCTGATTTATAGAAGCCCCGTTATTAACGAATTCATCCTCACTCATTTCCAGTATCTCAAGGACTTTTTCACGGGTTAAGGTTTTTACATTCTTTTGTTGTCGCTTTACCTTCATCAGCTCAGTTCCTTCAAAGTTTTCAAGCAATGCGTTTATCCAGCACTCGTTCTCTCTATAGTTCTTCTTCTGTAGCGCCTCCTTAATGGTCTCGGCATCTCCATCAACTTCGGTCTGAATGTATCGGTAGTAGGTGCTGATGTTCTGGGCTT